GAAAGCTTTGAGTGCACCTGCTCGTGTGGCTGCGTCGCCAGAAATAGTGGTGCAGTTGGCAGTCGCAGGGACGAGCTTATGGACAAGCTCGAGCTCCCTGTCAACAGCCAATAGCACCTTGCCTTTCCCTACACCTGGTGGACCTTGTCCGATCGCTATAAAGGATGGAGGCATACGCTTCTTCATCAACTTTCTAGATCTGATCAGAGCCGAAAGTGTTGGTGCGTAAGAACAGATGTAGAGATCCTCCGGGCATGGCTCCTTGGAGCGATCTGCCTTTGTTTGAAAGGGTTAGCTGCGTGGAGAGGAATGGACGTGAAAGCTGCAGTTGGACACAGCCAGATTCGAGAGTGGCGCTTTAGTTTGAGGACGTGCTCGAGTACGTTGACAATGGGAAACATGATCTCGTCCCATATTATCCGCGAGAGTACTATTAGATCCGTCTCGGCTCAGTTGGATTCATCCGAGATGCTTGTCGTATTGCCCTGGTGAAGCGATCATTGAGATTGTTCAGATCTGCGAGAGTGACAGACGGAAAGGGAACATGATGGGGGTCTCCTGACGTCGGGATAATGATGGCGCTGCACAAGTGTTGACTCGCAATGAGGATAATGACCGGGCCATGGCGTGCTGCTGCTTGTAGGTCTTTGTATGAAGGTGGGAGTAGGAACCGTGAGAACGCTCGAAGATCATGTATCTCAGCTACCGCAGCTTCCCATTGCTTCAGAAGTCTCCTATACTCTGTTGCTGCCCGATCAACAGCAGCTCTGTCGGTGATAATTGCAGAACTCTGTGCGAAATTGGAAATGTGCTTGCTCAGCTCCAAATAATTGTGCGCCAGTCTCGGATTTGCTGATTCGAGGTCTGCAACTGGAGTCCTGAGTCGAGATGCCAGTGACCATTGCTGGCCACGACCTTGCTCCAGAAGTTCAACTGCCTGTTGTAAATTACCACAACGTATGACACATGAGGCTGCATCTACAGGAAATGATTGTGCATCACGAAAAGCGGTTGCAGCCTCACGCCGTGAGATAAGCGATGATCGCGTCATCACGTGGCTGTCGAAAAGCTCAAAGCACATCTGGTATGCTTCGAGGGCAGATTGATGTTGATGAAGTTCTGCTTGGCGAGCCCAGTCAATAGCCTCTTTGATACGCCGAGGAAATCCTTGACTAGGATGACTGGATGCCATTCGTCGGAAGTTCTCCATTGCGAGCGATAAATCAGCAGAGTTGTGTAGAATCTGGTAACGAGATAAACAGGCCGTCCGCAGCCACGCGTAGCTGAAACACCTGTCCGGGTGTAGTGAAGGCAGAACCGCCAATGATTGTTGGCAGAAAGTAATGGCCTCCTCAACATCTTCATTCACCTGAGTGTGCGTGAAACGAGAGCAGAGCGCTGAGCTAAAATTGTAAAGATTCACATGGCGCCTTGGATCGTCAAGCTGCATTAAGCGAAGGGATTCGCGATACAGATCAATGGCCTCGTTAAGATCGTCGCTGACATCTGATTTATCATATCTGGTTTCAAGCGCGTTGGCCAGGTTGCCAAGCGTGGTGTCACGGTGTGGATGCCCAGGTGGGCACAACATCAGGGCCTCGCGATAGAGGCTGATAGCTCGGGTGATGTCATCAATTTCGCCGCTTATGTCGCTACGGGTGAGGAGGGTGCTCCCTAGGTTGTTCAATGACGAATACCAAGATTCGTTCCCAACAGGGCGCAGGTACAGCGCTTCTTCTTGCAAAAAGATGGCCTCATCGAGGTCATTACATTTGCCTTGGTGATTAAAGCGGAACACGAGTGATAAGGACAAGCTGATCAGGTAGGTATCGTAGTCAGCATGTCCCTCGGGGCACAGTCGAACGGCTTCACGACAAAGTTGTATAGTCTCGTCTATATCATCAATGCTGCCACACTGTTGGAAGCGGGCTTCGACGGCCTGTGCAAGCCAGTGAAGGGCACTGGGACGGAGTTGATGGCCCAGAGGACAGAACTCGAGGACGACTCTTCGAAGGTGGATGTCTGCATCAGATGCATCAGTTGGAAGATCGTTGCATCCACCAATCACATAGTCGACACCATTTTCCCCTGCCGCAATGCTACAAAGGTAGGTGTCCTCTGGACAGAGGTAGTAGCTCATGATAGAGTTGTACGGCTTCACGGATGTCGGCAGCAGTACGTTTCTTCTTGTAGCGCCAAGTCAGCGCTGTGGTGAGATTATATAGAGATAAGGGATGATCGGGATGGTGCTGCGGACGCAATGCAAGGGCGTCGCGGAAGAGGGAAGTGGTGGTATTGATGTCCTCACGATGGTTTTCGATATAGCCTTCAAGGCGTGCATACGCAAGATTGGTAAGAGCTGTTGCGTGGTCTAGATGGCTGACCGGACACCGGTCCAGAACTAACTGAAAACGCTCTACAGCATCGTTCAGGTGAGAGACCTTCTTGCTCGTCACGTATTTGGCCAATCGTGCGTGGCCCACATCTGTGTCTCGCGCAATTTTGTAGTCTACGAGGGACTGCAGTGGGTTTCCGTCAGAAAAAGCTAAGATGACATAGTCCGGCATCACTCACTTCAAACAGTGCGCCGTTTTGATTGTCGGAAGTATGTATAATGGCAACCTTCAGTGTGAGGAAAGGATGGACACCGCGCACGGGTGGGAAGGATATATCTGCGAGACATTAGTATATGGGCATGAACGAGGGGCAAGTTACTCACTGAATGGCTGACCTCCATGATTGAGTAGTTCATCCCACGACATTTGAAGTTTTCCGATCACTTCTCCACTGCCTAGCATTCGATCGACCTCATAGGACGCCCTGATTTCCGCTGATAATGCAGGTGAGGTATGTGATGATCTATAAACCGATGATCAGTTCTCGCATCGCGTCAGAAAGTCTTTATGGACTTTACAGAATCACAGTATCCCCCCACGCTACTGATTGTTCGGATGATAAGACCCTGATAGCCGATTTCCAGCGTTTCCTCGAGTCGACATCGATGGACACATAAATGCCAGCGGGCATGCGCCTGGAGGGGACTCAAAGATTCTTTCCGTTGATGACTGTAGATAGAGTGTGAGGATCATGAAACAAATACCAAGATAATATGGAGGAACTCACTTTCAAGTCTGATATGTCGTTCTTCTGGGCTACTACGCGTAATTGTGGGACGAAATTTCAAACGACGAATGACACGCAGCATCAGAAATTGAGAGGGATTCAGAATGAATGGTAGGAGAAGGCTGAGGGTAGGCGGAATGAGTGGGACTGTGGTTAGAGTTCAACTTAAGAGGGAGAGGAGAAGAGGTTGAGGCCTGGCGCCTAGGATTCAGGCCAGAACATGCTGCAGTGCACGTGTATTTCCATGTTGTCGCTGGAGTCGGCACGATAGACGCTGGTATGACATCAAGCGCTGGGAATCGAGATCACCAACCACTGACCAGGATTAGTGGAAGAATATTCGTAAAATGATGACAAATGCTAACTTGGGGAAGGTTCAAGCGCTTACGCGGCACACCCACTAAGAACAGACGAAGGAGATAAACTGAACTCTCCTGCGACACACTCGAAAGTTGAAACGTTGAAAACTTAATGGCATAGTACTTACAGTATATAAAAGGCAGTGCTTCTATTGCAGACGCGGGAATTCCCTCTTGTGTGAGATTCAAGGCAAGGCCGCGCCCTCGACGGCGATTTTGCAGAATACATCGTATAGTAAGCACAGCTCAGCGCTCAGCACACTAGTACTCATCCTTCCCATGTGATCGAGTGATCCCCATTCCCAATTCGAATTTCATGTCGTAGCCACCAAAAGAAGCTATACAAGATCAAGAACCTCACAGATGAAGAATCCACCCTTCTGGAACCAGCCGCATGCGCAATACACGGCCTCGATAAACTCATCCCACCCGTCGGAATCGAAGTCCTCATCTTAGGCGCAGGCTCTACTGGCCTCATCCTCGCACAGCTCCTCAAGCTCAACGGCGCCCCGCATCGTCATCGCCGCTAACTCAAGATGGACATTGCCCGATAACTCGAGGCTGGTGATGAATACATACAGCTTGGCCGCAGGAACCCCGATGCGCAGTGGCAAAAACTCAAAGACGATAACCCGTATGGATTTGATGTGGTGGTCGAAGCTACGGGGGCGGAGAAGATCGCGGATATGTCGATTGGGTATGTACGGAGGGGTGTGTCGTTGCTGAGCGATGATTTACGGAGTATGTGGGAATAAGGCGCTCGTTCATTGGCCACGTCCAAGATATTTGGTGATGAGATTACTGTGAGTGTGTTATTTTTAGTGCTGAGATGTGATGCTAATGATGTACCTTCTATATCTGAAGATCATCGGCTCGTTCTCGCAGATGTACTGCTTCCCACGAGCAGTCGCATACCTCGATAGCGGAAAAGTCAAAGTGAAGGGAATGGCGACAGATGCCTTCAAGCTTGAGGATTACCAACTAGCCATAGACAAGATGAAGAGCAGAGGAGTGTTGAAGATCGCGATCAAGTCATGAGCGCAGATCCGCATCGTGATGGTGCTCCTGCACATAAGTAATACCCTTCATCTGTATCTTATCGCGGCTCGACGCCATGCATGATCCCCATCCCTGTGTCGTCAAAGCCGACGTGAGGCTCCTAACTCATGTATCATGGCGGCACGACTTGATGCGTTCGGCTCGTAAATGTCACAGTTGCTGTACATATCAGAAGGAAACTGAGCGCTAAGTACTGATTTTTGACCCTGTACAAGCCACACAAGTATGATAGAATTCGACGTGTCGCCACAACCCGCCCAATTCTATCATACGCATACGCCTTGTATTCGAATGCAATCTGCTCAATGCTGTGGAGTCGTCTAGGTGGCTTTCCACCCCCGCACGGAAGGGTGATAAAGGCAAGACGAAGATGAAGATCAAGGCGTCTGAGCACTGAGTCGTGGTCATGGACCAAGACCCGTTTCAGTGCCCGCTCGTTATCTTGATAGAATCATACTTGCGATTGTCAATTTGAGGTCGATTCGCTACTGATTGAGGACTCACGAGGAACAAGAAAGTCCAGTCTCCCAGCTTGGGGTTGAGTAATAAGAATCCAACGCCACGCAGTGATGTTTGGGTAGTGCAAGCCGCTAACGCATAATAGGATTCAACGTGTTGACACATGCTTTTTTCTATTATACGAATGCGCCTGGTAACTGGGTATTCGGTTGCGGTGGATGCAGTGCTGTGGAGTCTAGTCTAGATGGATGGTTTTCTAATCCCGCACGGTGATGGTGGGCGATAGAAGAAAAAGAATCAGATCAAGATCGTTGACTCAGTGGGTTCAAGGTATCCCGTCTGAGTGATAACCGATTTGTATGCGGGCCCCCCTCTACGCCCGCCATGGCAATTGTCAATTTGAGGGCGATTTACTACTGAGCTGAGGGACTTACCGAGGAGTTTCTACAGTTCCTCATCTCCCAGGCTGAGTACTGACACTGTGAAGCGAATTCAAAGGGAGGAGTGAGGTGATATTTGAGTGCACTTGCGACCATGCAGGAGCAAGCGACGCACCACTGAAGACTAGTGAATCAGCTATCGAACCCGCCGAACATCCTCCGAGTCCTCTCCAAGTAGGTTATTTTCGTAGCTTTTGAACCACCTCGGACACCATCGATAGTCTACATAGGAAACGAGTGCTGAAATGATAAGTTCAAGATAGAACCGCGCATAAGTCACGGGTTATTGGTCAGCACTGGCAAGTTAACGTTCAACGTTCAGGTCTTCAAGTTCACACTCATTACATAGTACTTACTCTAGCACTTCCAGACTATGAACTCATTTAGCTGGTAAACTGTCGTGTCGGAACGATTGGACTACTAGCATCGGCTGGTCGTAGAAGTCTCACCAACCAAACCCATGCCTTACTCTCCTCCACCACACACCATCTTTTCAGCGAGGTTATGCCCTTTCTCGATTTCCAAACCGAAGGACCAGTTTTGGAAGGACTCCGAGTTCAGGATGCAAACCCACCAGGAAACCGTGCCATCTCAGTCTGTTCAGGATGGACTCATCACGATTTACATATGAGGAACAGTCCTCTGCGCATTTGGGACGCAGGCTAGTAATCCGGAGAAGGTTTGAAGCGCCTGTTGGTCAATAATAATACGTTGGTCATCGCAAGGTGTGTTTTCTTATTAAACTACATAGACGACCGTTGAGCTAATTTATCATGATTGTAGAATGCTTGAAATGCTGAGCATATTCATGAGTTTTGAGCAGTCGAACCGGTATACCATTGGTACGTGATATTTAAGTCTTATTGTGCGTCAGCTAACAATTAGAATCATCGACATTTGCATTTGTCCTCAATCAGCCAACGAGGCTGGTGAACGCTTGGCTATATTGCTGAAGAACCGCGAGCCGTCCTGTCGATGTTTGCCAGATAAATCTTCCGTACGCATCGTCCTTTTCGTGTTTTAGTCATGGACCTCCACGGTTCACATATTCTCTGGGTGCGGTTCATAGCACTCCCTCACCAATCACACTAAATTCATCCAATCCCGCAGATTCACCGACCATTCACGCAGATGAACTCACGCATGTTCGTCCAAGTGGCGTTGACATTCATCTGTCGATAGCAGTTGCCTACAGTTAGGACCAAGTTGGCGAGAAACTTCAGAAGTATCCTGTGGCATAGGCCCACTGTATTATGCATTATGATAATGAGACGAAGGTTTGGTGCATATTATAATGAGTCATTTACCAGAAGAAAGATGATCAGTCTTTTTCGCGCACATGTTAGCCTTGATCTTTGGTACTCCTGACTGGCAGAGAATGGCACGTATCTTATGGTTATTGCAGGTCCTGGGTATGCTTCAAAATGAAGTACCGTCAACACTAATGTCACCGTTCCTACAGCCCCAGTGACCAAAGATGACGCCTTGCAGCATTCGGGGAGCGTTGGGCTTGAGATGCAGGATGGCTTCCCTTATCTTGCATTATCGTGGTTTCGGCGTTTCTGAAGGAGAACCACGCAACGTTGCTGATTTCGAATCGCACCTGCAAGATTGCTAAAGCGTCATATTTTGGGCTCGCTCTCGTCCACAAGACTTCATTGCGGATAAAATTTTCGTGATAGGATCTGCAACGAGTGGACTCCAGGTCGCAGAATTGGTGGTCAACGACGGCGCTCTAGAAGCCGGTATGGCGCATTGTCCCATTCTGGATAGTATTTTGAGTTTTTCGCTACTAATGCCCCCATTGAATCACAAATTCCAGCGAAAGCGACCATAACAAGCGCCTCCCGAACCTGAGGCTTTCGTTTTGGGTGCGTGTTGACTACACCAGAAAAAGACTCGGTCTCAGTCCAATTTTTACTTGCGCTGTCGGAAAGCCGGAGAGTCGCATTTGTGAACTCCCCTCCAAACTTGCTAGGTATTTCTTTAACTCAACTTTGGTTGGCGGAGGAAGCTTCTCAACGATACAATAAGGGAATCATTGTAGATCGACCACAATTCAACTGAACTGCGCTACCTTTTGCCACCAAGTCGCGATGAGTTGCAGAATGGCATGTGTGGTTTTTTCGGCCCGAAAACAAACACCTTCGTGAGACACTGTCAAAAAGTGCGTCCCGTGGTGGGGGGCCCGTCCGAAGTTTGATTCTACGCTGAGTCCGAAGCTTTACGCAAGGTACTAAAGTAACTTTGCTCGTAGGTAGTATCACCACATGAGCTTAGCTCCAGCCTGGTTCTTCCTCACTTCCTCCAGTACGAAATTCCAGCTATTACACACGTATGTCCCTGGTCGCACGAAAAATGGTTGGGATGAATTTTCCTTGCTTGCTAATAATATGTTTTCCAGCTGAGCGTCACCTCGACACATTATCATCTGGCGCAAGTAGTTGAGGCAGTGACGGCTCAGAGCTGCATTGCTGCTTTCTCCAACAATATTTTCTCGTAGGATATCGAGGCAACGCAATTGGTGGAACATCGAGATCGAGAATGGGTGATCAGGCTGTTCCCCCAAATAAACGAGCCCGTTACCCGGCGTTAGGCTGGCCCACTCCGCCCTCCCATCTTCAGTGTTTATCTGATAATGTGCTGAATCCTCGAAGGCCATCAGGACTGGACTAGTCTGTGCTAGGGGCAACAGTCGAGGAAAATCGTCGCCGACAAACGCTGCGGTGAAAGATCAATGCATGATTCACTTCTTGGCTGCAGGCTCGCTCACAATAGGCCTTGTTCGTTTTTTCATCGACTTGAAGTCTGCAGAAGAAGAGTATCATGCTAATCTTCATAAAAATGCAGAGAGCGAGAATCCAGAGCCGGGTTTCTGGAGTTGTTAGTATGCATTGTTGCGTCCATACAAACAAGTCGTCAGCTTACTCCTGCACTGTTATATTAACAGCAACGGACGTACTATGCTATGCGTGTACACTTCCTTGTTCTCGTTTTGCTCATTCTGATGTAAGTGATATTTAAATAGCTCTCATCGGCATTGATCAGTTATGGGCAGTGTCTGGCAGAATATTTACCCGGTATGTTTCTAATTAGCAGAGTGTTACGGCTGCCAGTAAGAAGACGGCGGTAACACTACTAAGATAGCGTTGATCATGATGCTGATGAACACTAGTGTAGTTGGCAATCAATTCACAGGCTACACCGGAAGTTGCACAAGTCAGACAGATCACACGTGGTGGAAAAACGAATAGCGATGGACGCTAGGCTTAATGGGCGGATAGATGAGACACCCTGTGCAAACCTAATATTAGGCAAACATTCGTATAGATCACATGAACTGTTACGGTTCAGAAGATTTCTGTTGATTAATATTGACCGTCGGTGCTGCTTGCCGCACCGTCCAATTTGTCGCAAAGCTTACCCGTCACAATACGGCTACTTAATATGTACCAGGCTCTCTCATGAAAAAAAAACTATTTTTGATCCAAGAGGCGTTCGCTAGTAAATCCACATTGTACACTGGCGTTGTATATCCTTCATTTTTCTACCATGTTCTAAGGCCACAAAGTTCACGTCAGACTTGGTGAACGAAGTCTCTGCCTGCGCAGCTCAGTTGCGTGCCTAGTTAAATCGTTTGACTCTGATACATGTATAGCCCTGCCCGTAAGACTAGTCAGAACACCATTAAACAATAGTAGACATAACGGTCTACCTGAAGGTCCCATATCCTTGCCTGTGACATTCACAAGACAACCAGGGCTAGAGCAGGAGACTGCAAATGTCTGGTATGACTGCGACTTGCACTGAAAGCTTGGCATACGATATGTATTTCCATATGACGCATTCATGTAGCCAATGTGTACCCTCGGTCGAGGAAGTTTCGACCATGACAGATTGTATAGGTCCAACTTATGTCTAGCTGGTAGAGACCAGACATCAAGAATTACAGAGTCGCCAAGATCCGAATAGAGCAAATCTTCTGTGCTGTTTCTTGGAGGGACAGTGAGTGAGAGGCTGCAGTTTTCCATGCCAAAATCAAGCACGCGAAACTGTGCGATGCTTTCGAACTAGAAAAAATTCAGTCTGTTGAATATATTCTTTATGAATAGCATACTTCTTGTGTTACGATAAGCCGTCGCTCGTATATAGGAGCTCTACTTTGTTCCACGGACTTATAGCGCTGAAACGGAGGGAGGATTTTCTGACGCTCTCTATTGGAAACTTGAGCGATTACTGGTGCATTGTTATAATTGGCTCGTGGGTAGAGCTCTTGAAATCAGGATTCTTATAGAGGATCTCGAGGTTGAGATATGGATTCTGGAACGGGAGTAGCTCGTCTGAAGTTGAAGCGGAGCGAAGGTCAACTCGAAGAAATCGATCCCAGACAATCATAGAAAAATCCAGATAGTGCATACAATCATTGATCGTTAGGAGCCAGATGGACAACGTCTGGTTGTATTTTGTCCTCCGCGGTAAATCCTCGAGATCTGGGTTTTTCAGCATGGTTTTCAATGAAATATATTAGCGAATCTTCTTACCTTCATCACCAAAATGAGTGACTTGATTGAGAGTTTGCATAACCTTCTCTGGGATTAGAAAATCTATGCAACATAACTGAGCGAGATTAGACGTAGAACTCAGTGAGCTTCAAGTTGATGTTGGATCTGCTTTCGAAATTTTAGAATGGTACTTATCTGAATAAGACAGTTTGACAACGTATAGGCTAGTAACTTGAAGCTATGATACCAGGCAGCGCTGAGAAGGATGATGATCAACGTGGCTGCGTGGAAAACTATACTTACAGCAAACCATTTGTGGGCAACAGCTCACCACAGGTGCTGCAGAAAATCACACCGGTTGTCATGTTCATAAGTTGCTCATATCGTAATCATGCCTGCCGATAATGATCCGATCGACAACTTGAATGCGACCAAAGACAGTACTGGTATAATCATTGATCCTCTGGAATTAAACTGATTCGCGCCCTTTGTGCCCTGCTTTGTCGGCTCCGTGATATACCAACCGAGCAGTGTGGCGAAGTTCCGTGGCCTGTTATTTGGCTTATTGCTTTCGACCGTACGCTCAGAATGATCTAGCATAGTATCATATTACTGCCACGGGCCGTGGCAAGTGGCCTCACAAACAAGGCTATGCCAGTGTACCAGACGGATTGTCGCCAGAAATTCTGCATTGCTGTACTGCACGCATTGATCCCGACGCGGATGAATTGACGCTCGAAGGTCTTGCCAAAACACCGTGTCATGTGTTTATTGCCAAATCGGTGGCGGCTTTGCCCATCCAACTCAACTCACCATGAACAACTTTCTGTATAAGCTGTCCATCATTAACCAATTATCAGGTATCGGGCATCTATCGTCACCACTACTTGTCACATGACTCAAGGACGCTACAGAATCTCAGTTGGACGAGTCAGTCATGATATGTATCAGAGGTTATGTCGATTGTAAGATAGCCTTCGAACTATCAACAGCATAGTCATGATGTCTTCAAATCCAGCTCCATCTGTTGATGCCATGACTGGTGGGAACAAGAGTCTCGAGGGGCCATTGTTCCGCGCGATGATCAGGGCCTGCCAGCTTGCCGGAAGAGTATACATCGCAACAGTGAATGATACAGGAGCCATCGCTGGATTAGCTCTCTGGTTTCCTCCAGGGAAAGTTCTTTGGCAAAAGTCAGTTGCGATCATCGCTGGTTACACAACTTCGCTGACCGTCAGAAGTGATGCACAGAGGAATCTTGGCTTTAACCAGTTCTTGGCGTCTCTGTCACCCAAGACCAGAGAATGGTGGATTAACACTGTAAGTAGTACTGATTCTTTCTGATTCTTGTCGTTGATATCTCTATCAAAGTACAGTGGTCCTGCGCTGGCCTCATTTATCGAAACGGCGCTGTCTCCTCATGTGTGTCCAATCCTGTTGTCCAAATTTTTTCTTTAAACTTTTTTTCAGACTGTTGAGAGCTCCTGGTATCTGAATTGTATTTGCGTCGATCCGAAGTATCAACATCAAGGAATCGCCACAAACCTGATCAAAATGGTGGAACAGCAGGTGTGGCGTTCCAACTGTTCGTTATGTGTGCATGATTTCATCTCATTTGCAGGCAATGACGACGTCCATCCTTGCGCTCTGCACAGATACCGATGACAACGTGCGTAATTGAAGGGGGTTGCTAAAAACTTGCTCATCGCGCTACAGGTTGCGGTATACAAGGCGCTCCACTTCCAATACAAGGGAGAAGCGCCCCTGCCAACTCCAGAAGATGAATATATCAATGTACATTGTTTCACTAAGCCTGGCGCAAGGGTGTAGGAGTCGCGTTCAACTGTATTGGCCCAGGCATGTCACGGTGGCGGCAGTTCGTGCACGGATCGTCAGAGATACAGGCGGTCTTATACCTACTGACAAATGTCTTGAGCATACTACTTTCAACTCGAACATATGAAATGAATAACCATGAGTTGGGAATGGGTATCCTGCACTACTACAATACTAGTTCTACTACTAAAAAGGGATTTTGTTCACTCACTTATCCAGAAGAGAGTCAGCTGCTTTGATCGCACGAGCAGTCACTGGACTTACAGCTGTATGATTGCTAATGGAGCAGGTTGCCGGTCTTTCCAATTGACAGAAACACTGTCGTATATCTCCCCCCAGTCTCTGCAGACGTGTGTAGCACCAACACGGTGCTGTTCGAAGTCTCGTGTGGTAAAATCTCCTGCTTCCAGTGTGAGATCTGCTTGGCAAAGTATCCATTGTCTTAAATAATTAAGACAGTGATGATTATGATCTTGATTATGTTGACCAGTGAGAGCCGCTCGGAAGAGCCTGAGACAGTGAAGCTGATGGAACATGGCCACGAAGAAAGCCCGGTTCTCTGCACCCAGAGCTACGTGTCCAGTCCCTGGGGGAGAAGTGGAAAGCCATTCGGTCTTGGCCTCTGGAAGGTCTAGCGTAAATCGTACACTTTCCTCCTCCACGAATCTCACTCTGCCCGCGTCAGTACTAGGGACTCAGGAAAGTCGTCACCCATGAAAGCTGAAAATATAAGTTAAGCTTATCCTAATCTCGGACAGAAAGTACACTGACTAAAACTTTTCTGCCGCCTTGGAGTGTGCTTTCGAGAAATTCTGGATGTTCAAGTTCTCCCTTGAGAATATTGTCTTGAATATGATGCTAGTAAGCACGATAGACACAATAGCGAGGGATACCATCATAATCAGGGAGACAGAACGTTCAAGTCGATTGTTGAACATGGTTTGAATCTGTGGACAGACGGATTCGATTGCAAACTAGTACTGAGAATTGTTAAAGGGTGTCACGGTTCGGGGTCGCAAGCACACATGCGAACAGGCTCATGTTTGGCCTGGAAGGTATTATGCGATGCATAGGATAGCATGCTAGGCTATTCAAATCTGCAGTGGGGCTATGCAATGCATCGTTGATGCAGATTCCATGGTCTGCGGCCGTGAAGAACCATAAGTAAGTCTAAATATAGTGCCCGAGTTGGCGTTGGCATCGGTTATCAGCCAATTTTAACATCGGTCCGTATTGGATCTCCGATCTGGATGTTTGTTTTCCTTTCCGCGTGGAGACTTATCATGTAAAATAATTCTACTTTCCTTTGTCGTGGAAAGCACACTGCATGACGAACTGTGCATGACTTCACTAGGGGACTTGCGTTGCGAACCTTGCTAGGCAATTATGTTACAGATTTAAGTTTTCTAGATTTTAGATCTAGATGTATATCAACGTTGATTACACAGCATGATGTCCATCCAACCTCCCCACTCCGAGTCATCTAGGCTATTAACCACACCAGCCAACGATCTACGTTGTAACTTTCCTCTCAATTCCACACTTCTCAGCTGTGAAACTCCTAACTAATGGACCTCCCTGCCAAGAAATACAGGCTCGTGTATCACTATAGTATCCTCCGAGTCAGCTCTAATGGCGGCATAAGCTCCTAAAATATACATTGAGTACGGAAAATGACGACTTCAATTCAATCCTAGTCACTACAATTACCTCCTCCAATATCCTGATGAGGTCGAGTGTGGTGCAGCGATTATATAGACCACAAATGCTGAGAGGATGATAAGAATTTTGGCAACCATGTTACAATGACAATGGGAGGATGGGTTATAATGGCGGAAGGAGATATCTTCCACAATTTATGTCTACGCGTTTCGCCGAATTATGTCCTAATTATTTCTGTCCATCAATCATGTTTAACTGGTATTTGCATGTGCGCTCGGTAACGTAGCATCGGAAGACTGATCCCCAAATCAGCATCAGCTGTTACAAGCTAGTCTCCCCTAGACCATATACGATATTATAAACCGGGAGGTAGTTGTTATCATCGCATGGTTTGTCCATTTCACCTTCCCAAACTGCTAGCGAGACAGTGATGGGTGAAGGACAAGGTGATTGTATCAACTTTAATACCTCGCTTACACCTCCGAGATGAAGTTATGCAAATGAAGATAGTCGTTCCTTCTTACTGTGGAACTGAGCTATAGCTTTTTCCCATACATGCATCGGTGAGGACGTAATTTCATCGTCAGACGCGCAGTGTGAAATAGCCCCTTCGTTCTCAGGCTGACCATTCCACAGCCTCATACATGCACCGGTGAGGACGTTAATTTCCATCGTCAGACGTGCAGTGTGAAAACACGCCCTTCGTTCTCAGGCTGGCCATATTACGATGCACTTTATTTGGTTTAGGCGAGGTTTTTTTGTAACTCACCAAACTAGCCAGTGTGGGAGCAATACTAATAATAAAGTTGAAACGGGCAGATGATATCTTGCAAAAAAACATGTAATTCAAAAGCTAAATATTTGTAGGTAACGTGGCATCATATACCCGAGCCTTACTATCACGGATTCTTCCTGGTTATATTACTGCTGTCAGAAGATGAGCTGTGATAGTAAAGCAGAGTGGTTTGAGTGATGTTAGAGGCCGTGTCTCTTGACCACGCAACCCCTGAAGCAATCCTTAGAATGATGAGCTGGGGCATCAAAACCTAGCAAATCATCGGTGTAAGACTCAATGTAGTAAGCGCATGCGAACGCACCACGAAGGTTCCCCAAACTATTCCTACCGCCGTCGCACTTGGGACGCCTTGGATATAGGTAGCAAGGTAGGCGATTCCCAGAACTGTGAAAGGGAGGGCAGACTCCACCAGAATTTCCGCAATGCCCGTGTAAGGACTCCACTGTTTCATCGTTGAGGACACATCGTACTCTGCGATGAAAGAATAACAGCCGATAGATTATCAATGCAGTTACAATAATGTTAAATCCGACAGTTAATGCGACCCATGAAATGCCGAATTGTGCAGCAAGGCCCTGCCATAGATCTGACGTTGGCATGGCACTCTGAATCACCATCATGACAGCCATAGCTGTACAAAGCAATGATTAGTTTGGTGCTGGATCAACAGCGTAGCACATACTGGCAGATCCCAAGTATATAATCGCAGGGATGACAATTACCGGCCAGCTTGACCCCCAAATAATGTAACAGCGATAAAGCTTTCAAGATGTATGGGCACCAGAGCTCAATAACGATATATGTCGTAAACTTACCAAGAGTTCCGTCTGTCAGAATATTTGCGGCACAGTCTGCCGCTGTGCCAAAGACATTGTACCAGGCGGCCATATTTGCAGCAAGAAATGCAGAGGTGCCACCAGGGTAGTTTTGTCTCTCTATCCACATCAGTTCGCAGAAAGCGTTATTACTTGCAAAGCTGATGGTCAAAAGAAGCAAGAGAAGGCCTCCGAAACACGTGTAGAATATCCTGAGCCGCACTGGCTTGGTTGAGATCATGAGCAGGTAGGTCGAGTAGGCATATAAGAATAAATTCCCTCCTATGCCGAGTACGAGCTGTCAACAAGAGACTATTACTCATAGGATAGAAAATCACCATAAACAACTGTGGAAATGGTATTTCCAATATACAGAGCACGCTCCGTAGCGAGCTCGGCGGACGCCATGAGGGACACGGAAAGGGAGACTGTAGGTTGATTGTAGAACTATCACTGGCTATCAGCACTTCAGCCGCACTAATAAATCAGCGATAGTTATAGGTTTACAGAAACGGCCGACGGAATCCTGATATCATTGTCAAGACTGGTCATCTAAATCATTGCCGCCGGCTTGATCCGTGATATGATGAGTGGCAGAATTTAGTAGCGGCAATTTGTAGTCTAGTACCAAAGTGGGAGCAGTGAATTCGAATCCCTCACGATGCGGTGATGCCGATACGGGCCCACCGAACAAATTTGAAGGCAGAAGGGCGCGCAAGTCACGGTTATTAGTCAGCACGGGCTAGCAGCGAGGCCGCCGGAAGGTAACGTTAAACCACTTACTCTAGCTGCTAGCATTTCCAGACCATGAACCCATTTAACTGGTAAACCGTCGCATCAGAATGATTGGACTACTAGCATTGGCAAGGTCGTAGAAGTCTCACCAACCCAAACCCATGTTTCGCTCTCCTCCACCACACGCAATCTTTTCAGCGAGGTTACGCCCTTTCTCGATTTCCCGACCGAAGGACAGGGTTTGGAAGGACTCCGAGTTCAGGACGCAAACCCCACCCAGGGAACCGTGCCATCCGAGGATGAGACATCACGTTTTACATACGAGGAACAGTCCTCTGCCCATGATTCGCAGCTTTGGGACACGAGTCAAAGAATGCCGTCCAGTAATCCGGAGGAAGGTTTGAAGCACCTGTTACTCAATAATAATACGTTGGTCATCACAAGGTGTGTTTTCTTATTGAACTACATAAATGGCTGTCGAGCTGATCAATTCGTCATGATTGTAGAAAGCTTGAAATGCTGAGCATATTCATGGGTTTTGAGCAGTCGAACCGGTATACTATTGGTACGTGATACTCAAGTCTTATTGTGGGTCATTTGACAATTGTAATCATCAATATCTGTTTTCAATTAGCAAACGAAGCTGGTGAACCGCTTGGCTATATTGCTGAAGAGCCACGAGGTATCCTGTCGATGTTTGCCAGACAAATCTTCCGCACGCATCGTCCGTTTCGTGCTTTAGTCATGGATCTTCACGGGTCACCTATTCTTTGGGTGCGGTCCATATTACTCCCTCCCTAGTCATAATAAATCCATCCAATCCCGTAGATTCGCCGACCATTCGCGTGGATAAACTCACGCATGTTCGTGCAACGGTTAAAAGACCTTCACGAGTATACACCAGAAGGAGAACCCGTCCTAGACACATTCGCAGAAGTCCAACAGGAATGGCATCTTTGGCGAAGACGATACCATCTCTTTCTTCGGTAATGCAATGCATCGCTTTTTTGTGTTGCCGGTACCGACTCCCGAGACTTGTGCCATAGTGATCAGCCCAGGCGCATCCTTTCCACCACCTCCGAGCCCCAGCCTGAGCCTCCGACAGATTCGTTCACCCAATTCGCCAAGATCGACGAGGGGCTCTGGGCGTGGCACTTCAACATGCTCGATGCGCGTGGGACACCCATTGCATCCGTCAACAGGGCGTTCCGCGGCTTTGGAAGAGAGGTAAGTTCCATAACCTATCGCCGCATTTCAAATGTCGTTCAGGGGCTCAATGATTCTTCGTAGATTTTCACTGATACAGGTTCTGACATGCCATGTTGCCGAGATGCCGATCTTACTGATGTGATTGGGGCGTATCACGGTTGATAGGACAATATGTCGTGACTTTTGACGCCACGCGCCCAGACGGATCTGATTCCAATCAGACGCCGCAGCAGCCCACAGTGATTAGGAACCTCACTCTTGACGAGCGTGCGGTAAATATATCTTGGTTGTTTCATCGTCATCACTTTTCTGACACTTTTCTTTTGTGCGGTATTGACTATTGATATTGTAGCTCGTGCTTGCGGCGGCAGGTCAGTAGCTCGAGCGTTTTCATGGATTTGGATATTGACGTCTGGCAGTTAACATCGACTATGATTATTTCTCGAGACATTCGGAGGGTCACGGATTGGGGTTCCCGATGTTGTGGAGCTCAGGGGAGTGAAGGTATTGGGTCATTTTATCGCACTGCTTTATGGCGCCGTTGGGACGCAGCAATTATATTGATGCAGAGATAATATCAATGTACCACAGCTAATCACCTTCTGGTCTCCAACAACTTCAGATCCTCCTGCTCGCGAGCACGCTGGCATCAAAGGTACTGCAGTTGTTTTCTTGATCGATGGATGCTAGACCAAATCCCAGAAAATCGTTGTGGTGGGCAGGTTTCGAACCTTTGAGACTGACAAACGTTGTTCGGGCTCATAGACATTATATGCTTGCGTTTAATCGTCACCGACAAGATATCTCGCTTCCTCGATGTGGATGATCGACCCAGCGAGTCAGACCTAAGATGAGGTGATGTAGTAACGACGGCAGGGCAGAAGCAACGGCAGATTTGTGAACGAGAGCCGTAAGGAAGAGTTTGGTGATAGATCTCGAACCACTCCCAACCGCACCATCCAGCGCCACCCTATAGTACTCCAATCATGACCATGTACACCCCGCAGTGCCTCTCCGCGCTCCTCCAGCCGTCCAGCGAGCCCAACTGCACCATCCAGCATCCTTCCCTACACCCTCACGTTGGTCCGTCTTGGTTCCCGGAGGCCAACAAGAACGAGCGGCAAGCATGCTCGACGTTGTTCGAGCGATTTCGTTGCCCACCACGCGTAGCGTCGAAGGAACGCGGGACTTACGCCAATGGTTCGTGGTACTTAATTGTAGCCTCGATACAGACTTTTTTTTCGAGTGGAATGAACTTCAATTACATTGACTAGTGTCACTATTGGATTCATAGCAATGTCATCTCCAGCTTCGCATGTAGGGTGCCCTCGTGGTCTACATATTCAGTCGTACTATAATAGCACAATGTCAGTCAGTTCGAGTTATGGAAGAGAAGTGTAAGAAATGCCTCCTCAATGGATAAACAGACTTACTCGTGCATTACCCAATCGCCCAGCTCTTTCCGATATGCGCAAAGTCATTTCGGGAGGAGGCTCACAATCAATGCCCTTAGTGGACCTTTAGTAGCCATTGGCCAACGGAAGCACGAGGAGTAGAGTTTATTGTGGATCATAAGTGCACCACAATTCATGAAGTCAAAACAAATTCAACCTACTGCCAAGGTGCAAGGGCCAGAAACTTTGTGTCTGTCAATGATAATGTGATTTTCAGCGCTTCAGGTGGGGTTGCACGGCTAAATTTCCGGCTGTGTGCCTCGATTAAAAGTACAGCGTTAAGACGCGCTGGAGGGCTAAGCCGACAAAGACCAATCCGGGCGTGCCATATTCCATCAGTAGACATCCTGAAGCGCAACCACCATATGCGTCCTGCAAGGGGTGCCATCACATCAATGAAGGAATAAAGCGAGAGACGTGGACCACGCACCCCCTGCAACAAATTCGTTGTAGCAGTGTTTAGTAGTGCGCAGACGTTTTTGGAACATCCTGATTCGCAAAACAACGTTGAACTGGTTGGCGAGTTCATCGCATGTATGTACCTGAATCTCATCTGGCGGGCAACTTAAAAAGCCTGTCAAAAGCCTGTCTTCGCGCGCTCCTAAGCATCAAAATCAGTGGTCTCTCCAATGGATATTACTGTGTACTACTTACGACCTCCAAGATATAGTTGCGTAAACATTTCATGGTCGCTAGTTATCGTGCATGCAATGCGCAAGTCGTACGTGCAATCAGAGGGATACCAGGAAGTCAATTCTTCGAGTGCCCAAAAGGCTTCTGGCCGATTATTCACAATTGCCCAATACAGTGCTGTGTGGCCCTCAATATTGAGTTGTGTCAGGATGTTGGAGAGCTCGGCAGCTGGAAGAGCAGCAGCGCAGGCATTGACATTTGAGGTCAAAGAAGAAGGGGTGAAATCAGGGGCTAAGACAATATCACGGATGCGGGATAGAACAGCTGCACGTTTCTGCTTCATGCGACGAAAGGAAAATATGAATGATTGACTGTATTGAATGGGATTTGCTGAGATCGAGCCATAGTACGAGGGAGGTGCGGTAGTGCTAGCAGTAGAACTGCTGTCATCAGAGGCTTTGGAATTGGTAGCCATTGATATCGTGGCAAGTGGTAGGGTGCAATCTTCCCTAGTCATCGAAATGCTGGAAAACATGCCTTTGCCATGCTTGCCGAGACTCGCGATTTGCTTATTCCTGGATCAAATAATACAGTGAATAGTGTAGATCTCATTCAAAGGTTGTCAGCTAAGTACGATGAGGTATATGATCGTGTCATCGCACTGGCAGCCTTCTCCATCCTCGTACTGTGAGCTTCCTTGTTTCACCCATCTTTCCTGCATGCAGCGTCCTTTGTTCTTACCCCACAGCTGAATGAGAAGCAGCTGATATATCGTGGGTGATACGACTGAAAGATTGACTAGAGAACCAAGCACGTAAACTAGCCTTCGCAGCTTCGTCACTTGCGTTCATCATAGATAGGTACGATTCCATGGCTTCTCCAAGTCTACCTGCCTGAAGGAGTGCAACGCACTGTTGCTTATGGGCAGTTTGCCACAATGACTCGAGGTCCCACCCGAAGAGCTGCACAAAAAAACTCAGTTGAGCACGAGAGTGATCTTCGGTTGGACCACACCAACATACCACAGTAAATTCCTCGTACATAGAATGAATTGGCGATCGCGAGAAGAAAGCGCCAGCGTTAACAGCGGCAGTAAAGTGGCTAACAGCGTCGTTGTGGTGCGTGGCATCCAAGGCTATGGTTCCAAGTTGGACATGCAGATATGCCTAATTTATGAAGTGCAGAACAATCAGTTAGAACACGAACTTGGGACTGGTTAAGTGCGTGGCACTCACTTCTACAACACGACAAGCAAGTGGATCGGTATCGGGAAAAGCGGCAGCTAGCTCCTGGACGCGTTGCCTCTTCATGTTCGTTTGCATTGAAGAGTGCAATAGTCTGAAAACCATAATGATTAATGAAGCACAGGGTATGCAGTAATATGACAACCTGCCTTAATCAAAAAAAGGATATGAGCCGTCTTTGGATCTCCATTCGCGGACACGAATGCGAGGTCAAAAACTTTGGCCGAGTCCCGGACTTGACCCTTTCCGCAGAGGGCAATGCCCTGGGAGATAAAGCCTGTCAAGGAGGGCTGAATGGTGACGGACTATGCAACGATGAAACTTAGTATTTCGTAAGGAGCCCTGATGGATCAACATATGTCACCTTGGTTGCATCCTCAACTGCCCGGTCCCAGTGGTGTTTGCGTGCCATAACGAATGAGCGGTTGGCGTACGAGGTGTGGTTGTTGTCATCAGCGCTGATCTCTTGTGTGAGTAACTCTTCGGCGGTAAATAAGTCGTCTGCGATGCATGCATTGCGCACTGCCGTGTTGATAGTGAGGATCCGTATAAAGCATGCTCAAGTTGCGGTATTAGGGTCAATGATGGAAGCATGCCTTTGAATCAGAAATTTCGGCTTTGGAATCAAAAAGACGCGAGACGAGACGGCGAAGGGGTGGGAAGTAGACGTACGCCGGTTTAGGGTCCTCGGTGGGCACTGCCCACTTCGAAATCTTATTATCTACATCTCCGCTGAGGATGTACTTGCCGTACACGGAGAAAGTGACGCATGTCACACAGCTTGAGTGTTGGAAGATGGCGATGGTGTGTTGATCTGAGAGCCGCCAGACGCAGACACGGTGGTCATATGATGCGGTGGCAACGAGCAAGCCAGCAGTTGCAGTGTACACAGCAATGCAAGGGATACCATCCAAATGTTCTGTTCAAGGAAAACCGACCCACTGCCAGGTCGATGTATCCCATTCCCGTATGGTAGGATCTATTTCATCGCCCCCTGAGAGAAGGCGAGTGCCATCAGGCATCCAGGCGAGTGACAAGTTGAGTTGAGTGTGAGCCTTGAACTTTGCGGCGCATTCTCTCGTTCTTGGATCATAAATTTCGATATGGCTAGATGTTGCGATCGCAAGAAGTTCACCAGATGGCGAATACCGAACACAGTGAACATGGTCACTACACTTAAATGGATTTCCTTGCGACTGCCATGTGTTTGTACTCCAGATCTTTGTCGTTTCGTCTGACGAGCCTGTGGCCAGTGCTGTTCCATCAGGAGAAAAGTCCAACGATACGAGCCAACTGAGGTAGTGGGCTTTGACTTTGGTGAGAGATTCCCCGCTCTCCCCGTGCCAGGCGATCAACACTCCGCTCTCATCACCGCTTGCTATCAATTGCCCGTCTGGTGATACTGCCAATGTCCGCACCTCACTGCGGTGACCCTCCATGTTCTTCAAAACAGCACCTGTTTTCAAGTCCCATAGACGAAGCGAGCTGTCCATTGAGCCAGTGACCATACGTCGTTCGTCGGGAAAGACTGCGATGGCGCGTATGAAGTCTATATGACCTTTGAAAGTTCGAAGGGGTTTGGTGCTTGGTACAAGGTGCGACTCCATTTCACTGGATTCGGGTTGATGGTGTCGAACGCGGTCGAAGTGCGTGCGATTGATTCTTCACTGCATGATGATTGACACGGCATTAACCTAGACTCCCAGGACTATCAGACGGCTAGGACGCGTGAGACTGCCTCGGCCCTCCACACCTGCTGCTGCATCGATATCAATATTGTAATAGGATCGATCATACCTGGGAGCTCTCATGGCTTTCGGGAGGGTGTCTCTGAAATGGCCGGTGATAAAGAGTCGACCGGTCCGAAGTGAGTTCAAAAGTTGTACTGAACAACTTGCGTTTGGTATTAGTATATAGCTCAGGGCACGCGTTGTTTTGGCTTATTCGAGAGAAACATACCGTTTTTGGACGCATGAGCCAGCGTGGGATTCGCGCCGTTCTCCGCGAATCATTTTGTGCCTTCGCTCCTGGAAATTGACAGTCCCGGTCCCCGGACTCCCAACAGGACCCAATTTTGCATTACAAATGTCGGCAGTCACAATTCGCAACCTCTCTGGCAACGTGCTTGCGTCTGGTAGTTATTCCTACTCATTCTGGCCAGCATGTGCACATCTTCCTGGTTGAACACATTTTTTCGCCACATCATGACTGCACATCTCGGATTGCAAACCTCACCCATTGGACCATCAGTTTCTCACATGAAAGGGAGACAGTGGGCACTATAGCTAACGCTCACTGACTGCAAGTCTGAATTGTTTATTTCTAACCCTCTTGCCAAACATGGTGAACACAACAGTGACGCGACGACTTGCTTGTTCAATTGCTATAACTTGGCTATGACGGTACAATGTTGTCTCGACCGTCTGTTTCCATGTATGCTTACCAAGAACCGCTGATCGCCAGAACTTATGCCTTAGGCTGTAGAACTGTATAAGCGCCACCTTCGAACTTCTATAACCCGGACAGGCTCATTTCGGAGTTTTCTCCCGTCCTCCAGTAGTATGCTGCTGGCAAAACCATATCGATAACGTGCAGGCTATAAATACAGATCAGGACTCAGATTCAGAGTCAAGGCGATTTAATTTCGCTGCCAGCGTCTTCTGCCTCTGGGCTCACAGAACTCTCGCTGGACTTTCAGCCCTGAGTCCCTAGGATGGATACCTCCAATTCTCATGAGATCATAGTAAACGAGATAACGCCGCTGTTCCATGCAGAGGCCTCGAAGAAGCCTAAAACACCTCTTCCAAAACGCCAGATAGGCATACTTATGATGCTGCAACTTGTGGAACCCATCGCTTCGACATCGATATACCCCTACATCAATCAGGTATGATTTTACAATGTCAATATTTTTCCTTGACGCAAATTTTCATTTTATTTTCAGCTTATCAGCGAACTTGGAATCACTAGGGGCAACCATGCGGCTGTAGGATATTATGCTGGAATCATTGTAGGTGGCGACATGACGACTTACGAGAATGGTTTTCTCATAGTCCACTATCGGATATACTCAACAGGAATCTCTGTTTTTCGTCGCGCAGGCACTGACGGTGCTGAGGTGGACTAGGCTGTCTGACCGTATTGGGCGCAAGCCGGTGTTGGTAATTGGTCTCTCGGGTGCTTGCATTTCGATACTGTGTTTCGGTCTCTCAAGGACCTTCTGGAGTCTTGTCATTAGGTGTGTCTTCAGCTGAAGGAGATACGCGATGCTGACATGCTAGGTTTGCCTAGCCGTTGCATGTGCGGTTTTCTAAATGGCAATGCGGGAGTTATGAAGACTATGGTGGGGGAATTAACGGACTCCACAAATATGGCTCAGGCATTTGCCATGTTCCCGATTGTCTGGTGCATTGGAGGCTTCGTCGGGTAAGTGGGGCCGTTGATTACGAAGATGGCAAATGATGAAATGGGCATGCCAGTCCTTTAATAGGTGGAATACTCGCGCGGCCGCAAGATAGTTGGCCTGCATTATTCGCCAATTCATTTTGGGGAAAATACCCATACTTTCTGCCTTGCGCAGTGGCAGCCTGTTGGATCGCCCTAGCCCTTTTAATGATGTCGATCTTTTCAGAAGAAGTAGGTTCATACCTGCATTATCGCACACGTTACTCACGATCGGGCAGACATTATCAACACAGCGTCGACCAATGGCATCAGCCACGCTCGGCGTTCCAAGTAGTGAATCACTGCCTCAACAATCCATGGCATATACCCCCTTGCAATATCTGCTCACGCCTACCGTTGTTGTTACAATTGCAAACTACGCCATGCTCGCTTCTCTTGACGTTTCTTTCGGGGCTCTTTTACCGCTGTTCCTTTCGACACCAACCAATCTTGGCGGCCTTGGATTTACTCCTTCGTCTATTGGCTCATGGCTGGCGTTTTTTGGAATCATGGTCGGTGTCTTTCAGGTATTATTCTTCGCCAAAATCGTCGATCGACTTGGTCCAAAGCGTCTATTCTGTATGTCAGTGTCATGCTTCCCATCAGTCATGGTCATGTTTCCGATAATGTCATGGCTTGTAAGCGCAAGGGGGGGTATTGATCATGTAGTCACGTTTACCTTGCTTTGCCAACTAGTCCTGATGATGATATGGAGTATGGCCTTTGGTATGTGTTGCGATAAAATCATTGTCATTATAACTTGTAACCTACTTCACTGGCATTACAGGGACTGTCTTCATGTTTATTACAGCCTCTGCCCCTACCAATACTGCCCTTGGCGCCATTCATGGTCTTGGCCAAACCTCGGCGTCAATGGCTCGTGCGGTTGGACCTGCCTTGGCGACTTCACTCTTTGCTGTATCGAAGGAACGCAATCTTCTTGCGGGAAATGCAGTATATGTCGTTTTGATTATACTGGGTGGCGCGTTGAGATGGTTGGGGTCGCAGTTACCGGATGAAATACAAGACAGGAATGAGTGAAGGGTCGGCACCATCTCACTTCACCATGGACAAGTACCCAGGAGCTTCAATAGAAACGTCAATTTTTACAGGGAATGCCACCATTCAAGCGCACTTCATACCTCTCTGGCACAGTCCACGTGAAGAAAACAATATTAATTCCATGTAGATTCGAAACATCACCTATATTTCAACATCAGCCACTTACCGTAGCGGTGGGTTTTTATATATATACAATTTTATGTCCATTGAGAATGAGACTCTATGTAGGGCAGTACTGACTACTAGTCTTGGAGCTTCGTGCTCCGTGCCCTCCTCCAAAACCCCAAATGCACTGGTGTAGGGTGTATCCCCACCAGCCTGCCGTTCCCGCCGGCTGTTTTAGATGGGCAATAGCGATGAGTTTATAACGGTATAGCCTTGCAACGCAAGGAATGAATTAATGTCCTCCCAATCGTCCGTGCATGGACCGGGTGCCCAAGCCCACCCTCAGACACAACATTCTAAAGTGTAGTTCCGAGTCGTACTGCACATCAGACTCCGATATGAAATTTAATCCGGAAAACAACTAAACCTCACTTCCATGAATTAATTTAATTGTGAAATACGAAAGAATAAAGTGCGGCGTTCAACGTACTCATTCTTATGTAGACTATCGATTCATGAAAGGCTTATGGCAACTTGGTGATTGAGAATCATGGCACGAAAAAAATGGCCAGGGCGACAGAGCGCCAGGGCAATCGTGATTCGATGGGGCTCAATGGCCTTATGCAGGAAAACGCTGCTGCTCGGATCTGTCATGAAGGCTATCAGCAAGCTTATGGAGAGATGTGGATCAACGAGGATGACCAGTGGCACAATGTCCTGCTTCATCTGCTGTGTTTTTTAGCAACTGCTCTATTCCGCTGTTAAGCGTCTCACTGGCACTAATGAGTATACAATCGAGTGAGATCACTGGGCCGAATACATATGTTGAACGAGCAGAAATTGGACCGATGAGAAGCATCTACACCGCCACCCGGACCACCAGTCGGCACCAATACCTGAGGCCAAGAGTTCCACGTTAACCCACGGGCCACGGGCGCGATGGTGCAGTGGGAATGCAACGCGAACTTCTCTAAGTGCTACGACTTAGAATAATGAAGCAGCAAACGCAAGTCGGACCAGTCCCGCTTGACGTCGAAAAGTACCCCATTGCACCAGAAGGGCTGGACCTAGAGCAAGTGCACGTATACGTGAGGCATGGTACGTCGAGTTCGCGTTCGCGTCAAGTTGCGTCATCGCTAATAACTTCCATGCACACTCTACTCTAGGCGAACGTACGCCGGTCAGAGTGCGCATGTCGGACCCTCCAGCATCCATACCAGCAGACTGGCAGATGTGCAACACCGCGAAACACTTTCACGAGGCCGTAGCTGGACATAGTCCTACCATAGATGACGGGTTGTGGTATAAGAATGTTGTTGAGAACAGGCATGGAAAGACAGCTGAGGGATTATGGTACGTTGATCTGCGTATATGGTTACTCGCGATGCGCACGTTTCAATACGGTATATAGCCTCCTAGGGGAGCTCACAGATATCGGGAAAAAGGTGAGAGGCTTCTATGCGACACCCGATTGCTTAGCTTACGCGTCTGAGAATAGTCCACATATTCCTTCGGGGTGGCACTGCGAAGCCTCTATGTAGACAGGTAAGCATTTGAGCAGCTTCTTGATTTCATCTCACTCGCCCGATCTTTCCGAAGATTGAAATTTCTTCCCCCAAAGCTCGAGGATGAGCGTTTGACTTACTTCCGGTAAATCTATTCACCTTCGCCTCGTGACTCATGATGAAACCCGCACACAGCTCTACGAACATCGCGCGGACGATTGAATCTCTGCAGCACATAGTCCATGGAGTGTACCCTCCATCTACTTGCGCTCCAGGTATGATACCCTCTATCATCATACGGTACGTTTTCGCACAGGTCACAGAAGTCAAACGCGAACTCGTTACTAACGATATCTTTGGTTTCAGTAATGCAATCGACGAGAATCTCGTCAGCAATATCTTAGCCTGCAAGCGACTGGCCCTCTTAGAATTGCAGTTTGCTGAAGGTAATTACATGCCTTTGACCAGTATTCCGCCGATTTGTCTGATATGTTACAGCTGCTGTTGCTGTTTGGAACTCACGTTTAGAACCGTTGGATAAGAAAGTCTCCAGGTATTTAGGCGGTAGGCCATTACGCCTTGATGGAACTCCTCGAGCTTCGGGGATTCTTGATACAGTATGTTTTTCAGGGCAGGACAGACGCAGCTGAACTCAGTGCTTTCACCCAAAGGTACGCTCGGCAGCTGCCCACGGCTTCCGAGTTCCACCAGAATTCATGGATGATAACGTTATTGGTTTAATTGTGCGATAATTTCATTACTTCATCGCATTCTTCGCTCACTTATGAATCCCTAGGAAGCAGCTGTAACAGCCGAGTGGTTTGACAGTAAGTCCTAGTCTATTACTCTACATCCGTACGCGAGTATTAATCGCCGTCCTCTAGTTTGTAAGGATACTTCCTTACGTTCATCGAAGGTTCAACTAAAGTTCTTCTATTGATCATTAGTCAAATCAGAAGAAGGCCGTCGACTTGGGATGGGTCGCCTCCTCGCGGACGCTTCGGAAAAAATGCAACGCAAGATCCAACTCGATTCAAAAGACCCAACAAAACTCCTCGTGCACACGACGCATGACTCGACACTTGCAGCGTTACTCTGCACATTCGATGTATTCGATGACAAGTGCGTCAATGCCACCACTTTTCATCTCCATACTAATAATCCTCATCTTCTCGCGTGCAAGGTGGCCACCATTCACTTCATCAGTAACATTTGAGCTCTTCCGAAAACGAACCCCGGCTTCAGAACAAACCAGTCTCTCGGGCCTCCGCGCGCTTTCATCAGTTTGGAGACGACAGGACGAACACTGTGAGTATCAAAATTCAAAATACGCTCTGAGAGACGGCTCTCGGTAAACATTGTCCTCCTCTTTGCTAAATCCAGATATCCGTATGCGCTACAAGAACAAGAATATGGTGCTTCCGATATGCGCCGAGGAGGGGAAGCATTTACCTGGTTCACCAGAGTTTTGCACGTTTGAGGCATTTCGGCGGAGAGTGGGGGAGCTGACGCCTAAGGATTGGTTTGGAGAATGTTTTCCACGGACCTGCGTATGATGCTGGCGTCGTTACCGTTTCTAGCATGTCGTTTGGTATTTATTGATGCTTCTTGTTTTGAAGGTTCGAACTTGCTTGGATGCTTGATAGTTCTGCAAGAATTAAGCATCAGTTACATGTCTGTAAATTGGGGTCACGAGAGTACCCAAGTACGCAGCAAATTCGTTTTCAATTAATTTCGTCGCTAACAGCTGCGAGACTCGGAGGATCTCAGCCGTGGGGCTAAAGAATTTATTTAGATTTCACGCACTGGCTTTTGTGTGCCCCGCTATGATAACGCTAGGAAGCCTAACGGTCAACTGACGTCCATAAGACCCATCAGTCCAGTAGCCCGAACAGCGAAATTCAAATTCTTTGACGATACTTGCATGCACAGCGCATACAAAGAGGAATCACTACATCAATGATTTGTAACATTGATCTAAACGGCTATATTTCTAGACCGGCTTCGAATTTGGGAATTTGCCCAGTTTCGTGAACATTTATCATGAGACTTTGCGATCTCTTTAAAAGCTTTATGAATACGCCATGCAACCACGATGTCCGACGGGCCCTTGATCCATTTCTGATCAATTGATGGTTAATACGCGTCCCTTGACCAACATATTCAAAATAGTCACCAAAGATAAACAAGTCCTTCTTGCTTGTCGGAGAGTTGAATACGTGTAATGGATGTGACTGTCTCCTGGGGCCTGCACCCAACGTGGCAGTGTTTTGCCTGTAAACTGATCCAGCAGCTTTCGAAGTCTTGGGCTAGGATAAGCCATAGAAAGATGCTTATTCCACGCCCAGAATGGATATGACGTTGATGGGGGGGACTGTCGCAAGAATAAATGGAGGCAACAACATGCAAGGTGTTCGTGAGCCTGTGCATCATTTATGTGATATTCCTTTGACCGTTGAGGGTCGCTCATGAAGTCGCGGAGCGAAGCGTGATAGATTTCAACGTGTCCGACCCCATCATTCAAGATGACAGGCGAAAATGCTTCAAGCATCACAGCGAAGCTTTTTTTATTCCTGTGGAAGATTTCTTGGAGTTCCGCAAGTGGCAACGGTCTGGCTAGATGGATGATGGACGCTAACAACTGGCACTGCACAAGTGAATCCTCTGAAGTCCCGATTATCTGCCGATAAAGCTGATCAATGTCAGCAACCACGGCCGACTTCTCGCATAGCAAGAGATCTAGCCTCTTCTGTGGATGATGACCAGGGGCAGATATAAAGTTCACGGCCATGGCAGCGTAAATAAACAGACCGCCCGCCTTAAAGGCCAATGTCTCAAATTCGTCCTTTGATGGCCAGGGTATGGGTGGCTGACCAAAAACAGTAGGACGTATCGTTCGTGTTTTTTCCAGTGATGCTCGCAGAAAGAGACGGACATCTCGTATGGTGTCTTTATCACGAGTGGTAAGGATAATTTCGTGGACGCCGGAGGGCCTGGCTGCAAGGATATGCGCCTCAGGGCGGCTTGTGAATATTATGTGGACGAATGGCAAGGCTGGGCCCGCGAGGGCCTCTGTCAATAGCGTAACCAGCCTGGCTGCCTCTTCAGAGGAAAGACACTCGTCAAGAGCATCGATGATAATAGTATAGGGATGTTCGCGGAATCGCAATATCTGCAGTGGCTTGATGACGAGTTCCCGCAGCTGATCTGCGTGAGATTTTCCAGGTGATAAGAGCATATCGTCTCGCTCGATCGCTTTCACGATATCCTCTTGAACGCGCGGAAAAGCCAGTGCCAGCTGGTATGCGATGGTAGGAATAATAGCGGCAGTTTTTTGTGCATGTTTGTGCGAGAAGAAGAAAGTACCAGCAAGCCTCTCCGCTGCTTTCATCTTCTCGGCTATGGTGAACGCGATGGATGTCTTTCCAACACCGGCAAGACCGTTGAGCCAGATGTTTGTCCGATCACGTTGGTCAAGGACTTGAGTTATCCTATTCTGGAGGACAACGCGTGTGTTTTCCATGCACCGTGAGTGGGGTTGGCGATATTCAGAATCGAAAATGCCGCTATATTCAACGACATTGCATAGACTCTTCCATGAGCTGTTAGAAGATGAGGGACGTGCTTAGAGGCGAGGTTAGTGGGAGGATGTACTTATCGGAGGGAATACCTACCAAAGTCCATCGCGGGGGGAGTTGAGAGGGAGCAGCGCGAGAAGGCAGCTAAGGTGGCTCTGAAGCGCGTTCAACGTTCAGATCGTTCAGACCCCACATGTCCCGACATATCCAAATCCGTGACTCCCACACAATACTAGTACGGTTCTAATTGAACTTAGAACTAGAGCCGGGAGAGCCTATAAAAAGACACCGAATGTCATAACAATGTCACAATGTCAGCTACAGGAGGCCGGCGGCGAAAGACTGTCACCGCACTAATAGGAAAATGTGGCCGCCTCAGTTGCAAAGTCAAAGTGTAACTGTAAGAGAGAGAGAGAATTTATATTACTATACCGCAACAAACCACAGAAACTGCTGAGACGTGATACCCTACGAGTTGTCCTGGGGATTAGTGTAGTCACCGAGATAAGGGGAATAAGTACTGTAACTGTAAGAAGCACATTGACAAACGCACGTTGGACAACTTCCCGCAGCGATTAGAACCCCATTCTAGATCTAAGTCTATGTTCTGAAGTCCTCGTGCCGACATGCCGCCGTCCAGTGTTTTGCAAGTCCGCATATCAAAGTGGTTCCTTGATGTTCATCCTACAGCATGCTCAATGAGTACCGGAAAACTCCGAGTCGAGCTCATCGTTGTCAGGCGCAGTGGCGCATGACAGTACTGTAAGTTAGCGGCTCCTACAATTTGGGATCCGTGATTCATTTTGCTCCGTCGCTCTCACTCCTACTACCATAGGAATAGCAGATTTTGACCCCAGAGTGTCCATTTCCTGGATGTCCTCAGCTCACCTGCCCAGCAAGCCCGATCGAGCAAGGACCATAATTACATAACTGCGCGCAAAGCTCAAAAAGGAATGTGTAGTAGGAATCACGTGAAAATGTGATGCACAGCACAGGGGTGAAAGTACTGGAGCACAACTTCCTGTGGCCAGTTCATCACCGATTTGAACTCACTTGCTAAAGCAAGCTGAATCGATGCCACTGATAGTTATGTAACACACGATATATATATTCCACCGTATTGTTCCGCTGACTCTAACTCTCTCCGAGTCAATAAGACTCGCCCACCTCACTCTTTTTTCCATATCCTTCACTAACCACTTCTTTCTGAAGATCCTCAAGATACTATCATTCAAGTTCTATTTAATAATTATAGTCATGGTAAACATCAATCTCAGACATGATTAAGCACTGGAAGGTATAAGTGCTCTACCTCACATCATCCCTCTTCCCATCCTTACATCTGTACATGCAGTGATCGCTAGCACAAACCTTCTTGTTTCATCTGATCGTACACCAATTGGTAATTATGTCTGTGTCTTTACCTCAAATAATGGGTGGAACACCACCATCAAGGCTGCAGAGGCGGGCCACAGCGTTTCTTGGAACGAACTTCTCAACATCTATGGGCTCCGAAGGACATTTTCCCAGCAGCTCTTCTCCTGCACATCCGAAAAAATCCGCCTCGAAATTCGTGCCTTATATGAGTCCGAGTCTGAGCCTCAGTTGGTGTGTGAGTTTGAGACGACTTTTGAACAATTGCTCGAACACAATGGACAGTCCAGTAAGTCCTCAGTCCTTGCCTTAAACTATTTCTTCGTCCCCTTACACCAGTTCCAAAGTAACACTCTTGGCTATCAACAACCAGGACATATCTCTTATGTTGAAAGCGCAGCGTAGTATCCAAGCAACTCCGCACGTGCCATTGAGAAGCCCCGAACTTGAAGTATGTGGCCAACTTCTTGAACTGTGTCACGCCTACTGATAAAATGTAGCAGGCGCGCCATCGGGAAAGCAATATTGTTATCTTTGGCGAGACCGGCTCAGGAAAAAGTTCCTTCATCAACAGAATCGCGCAACATGTGCTCGCGAAGACATCCAATGACGCACTTGGATGCACTTCTACCCCTGAACGCTACCCAGTAGAAATTTCTGGCAGGAAATACGTCCTGATTGATACCCCAGGTCTTAATGAGGGGTTTGCAGGCACAGTACCAGATGCGGAGGCAAAAAAACGGTTGAAGAACCTGTTGAGTGAACTCATGAGCTCTAGGTCAGATGACATTGGCCTTCTGGTGTACTGCGTGCGCAAAGAGACCCGCCCTCACGCCTTCGTTAAGGCCTACGATAAGGTCTACTCTGATATCTGCCATCAAAGAGTACCAATCATCCTCATCGTCGAAGGATGGAGGAACGAGCAGGAAATGGAGAGCTGGTGGATTGCCAACGGAACACAATGAAATAATCATGGTATGCATTTCGCAAACAATCCAGCCGACCCGGTGGCAACCCATGTTGCAGAGCTGAGTGACTTTTTGCGCAACCTTATTGCAAAACACTACGTGGTCGACACCAGTCGGTCCTAACATGTTTCAGGAGCATGGTGCATGTTGTCTCGTGGTCAAAGGTCTCAGTGAATAATAACAAATTTGCTCATTATCGATTCAATCCTACTGGAGACCTTGGAGATGATTCTGTGGAGCAACAGGCAGCGCAGGACTTACATGATTTTATCAGGCACTTCCGTCCTCATTCAAAATGTGGGAGGAGATTAGAAGCTTTGCTGGATTTTTATGTAGAGCGGGCGAGTTCATCATCTTGTCACGATGTCTTCCTGTACATAATATTTTTCTTGTTGAACATGCAGTCAGTGTCGTTTTGTTTTCGTACTCATCTCCACTCCACCGTTTTACTCACTCCTAGATCTTCTTTCAGTGTATACCTCTTCCTTCGGATCACCTCTCAGTCCTTCAATCAAATACTGAGGTGGCGAACACTTACTTTATTGAAAACTAAGCACAGTGTATCTCGACAGTTTTTTATGCGGTACAATGCAATATATAGTTGATCATGAGCAAAAGGATCAGTTCTGAAATCCAGAACTGTGCAAGAGAGCGTGAGACCTTGACAGCCATTGAAAGTAGTTGCCTAAGCTAGTCTCAAAGGAGCCTGTTTGTGATTCACCGTCCAGCTGGAGCAGTAGGGATGAAAAGACAATGTGATACAGTGGTTTTCGAGATTGTTGAGCAGTTGGACTTCGATGAATTGATGATGTAGAGCTGTTATCCATACTCGTGCATTGATCTCACCAATCCCTTTTTCGACTGAGAGGTTACGTTGTACGGCGTATATGCTATTCATTTTTGAGATCCAGTCAATGGGGAGGAATTCCGGGCGTGGTAAGCATCGCCATTGGCCAAGTAGTCTGGTGTTTGTTCAGGTCGTCGATAGGTGTATGGTCTGCTTCTTTTAAAACATCCTATCTTAAATAGCAATCTTGGATGTTTTTAGCCTTCATTCAGTGGATCATCATTCTACTCACAGTAGTCACTAGGCAGAGTGTCTAGAATTTTGTCAGTGAATTCATTGACAGCCGGCGAGAGCAAGAGGTGAGGGAAATAAGAATTCATGACATACACCTGGCGTAACTTCAGACGGGTCCCCCCCCACCGTGACAGCATTACAGTCACTGTAATTTAGCCATATATAGTAACTATTTCGATCACACAAATGAGGTCTGAGAGCAACAACATCAATTGAAAGCGAGTCATACATGAGTGTTCAGCGATAACTAAGAAGCAGAAAGACAACTAATCAACCGACAAACTAAGCTGGAGGGATGTACGCACTCGTTTGGAGGCACGGGGGAGAGACCCAGCGGACTCAAGGGCAGGACATTTAGGACGAGATCCTGATGCTACAGGTATGTTCTCCTTGTCCTGCTCAGATGAATCTCCGTACGAGGGCTGCAAGCGATCCTTCGGGATGCGCGAAGCAGCCTGCTCAAGATCCGTAAGTTTCATCACCCTCCAAGTGCTTACTGGCAATGGGACCCCCCGCCTCTCTATGTCCAGGTATGGTGAATTCCTCGTGCTGGCCCAGGATATGCGCCGTCATGTTGTAGCGCCACACAGCTTCGACGGGGAGAATGGGTACTTTTCGTGTGGTCTTGCTGGGTTGAGGAGGGAGCACAGGGTGACAAAGTCTGCATTTGAGGGGTAAGTTGCGACAGGGCTTGTTTTTCAATCCAGAATCGACAGATCCGTACCTGAACGTGTGCTTGTACTTGCACCCCGTTTCCCTGGTAGGTGCCCCGCTGCTTGGTACTGTGATTCTGATGGTGCACTCAGGCACTCCAGAACAACCGCAGAATCCACACGGGCTTGTAAGACCAACCTGGTTACGATAAGTTAGTGAAGGAAGATGATTGATCTAGAAAAAAACTCACCTCTTGCTTCAAAGGTGGCTCCTCGGGAGTGTTGGTCAATGCACGTAAGATATGGTGTCCTATGTGATCGCGCATGTCGAGGACCTTAGTGTCGCAAAGCGGACACATTGTGATGCACTTGCCTTCGGATACTGTGAGTTGGCTGCTGGCTCTTAACAGTGGAGCTAGAAGACAAGTCTCAGCGTTGTGAAGAGAACCGCTGTATTGATTATACCTAGAAGACAAGTCTATAGACGAAACACAGTGAGAAAGTGACGGCGTGCAAACAGAACGTGATACATACCTCAGCGTTGTGAAGAGAACCGCTGAGGTATAACTAAGGTAGAGGACGAGCTTATAAGGTATGATATGAAGTCCGATATTAAAAGACGAATAAGGAAATGTAACATGAGCAATGACAATGATGACGATTTTGAACTCTCAACACACCCCCTCAACGAGACAGCGTTCGAGAACGTCAATGGGAGAAAAGGGATAGGCCGGAACAATGATGAAGGAAAGCAGGTCGAGGCAAAGCCTTGGTGAAGATATCGGCAGTGTTCTTCTGGGTGGACAGCCAAACGGGTATGAAGGTGTTTTCTTCGATGTGGCGTCTGATAAAATGATACCGAAGGTCGATGTGTTTCGTGCGGATATGGTTGGAAGCTTCCTTTGAAAGCGCTATAGCGCCTGCATTGTCAGCGAACAGCTGAAGGGGCAAGGAAAGGGGGAAGCTAAGGCACTGAAATAGAGACTTGAGCCATAGACCGTCCTGTACTGCTGCAGTAAGTGCCATATATTCTGCTTTGGTGGACGATAAAGCCTGGGTCGTTTGTTTCTTGGCAGAGTGTGAGACAGGCCCGCCATTCAGAAACCACACGTATCCAGAAATTGAGACGCGGTCATCAGGGCAAGACGCCCAGTCAGAGTCGGAGAAGCCATGAAGGTCTGCATTAATCCCAGCACCCCCGTAGTGCGCGTGTATGGTGACCGTGCCTGCCAGATACCTTAGAACATGTTTTGTGGCTGCATTGTGCTTCGCTTCAGGGTTGGAATTGTGTTGAGCGAGTCGCATGACAGCCAGGGCAATGTCCAGACGGGTGTACATGGCTAGATAGAGAAGTTCGCCAACGAGTTTGCGGAATTCCGTGGCAAGGTCTGTGACATCGGGGAGCACGTCGGTTGGACGACCGAAAGGAAAGGTAGGGTCCATTGGCAGCGATACGGGGTTGCAACCAGTCAAACTGTGTTCTTCGAGCAGATACGTGATGTAGTCTTCTTGATGCATCCAAAGTTCGCGTGTTTTACGGTTGCGAACGAATTGGATACCTAGATATTTTGAGACAGCACTGAGATCAGTAATCCCGAAATGTTCTGTGATTTGGGCCTTTGTGCGATTGAGAAAACTACGATTGTTGGACCCCGCAAGGCCATCGTCGACATGCCATGCGATTATGCATATCACCCTCACCCCCTGGCCGTCGACATGGTCGAAGATGAAGACTGCGTAGTCAGCATCGCAGCGAATGAAGCTGAGATGTATGAGGACCTCGCACAGTAGCTCATACCAGTCATAAGCGGCCTGTTTAAGACCATAGAGAGAGGATAGCAGGTGAGCGACCAGACCAGCACCATCAGAACCAACACGCTCGAAACCAGGAGGCTGACACATATACACATCTTCCTGGAGCTTTCCCCAGAGGAAGGCGTGTTTCGCATCGAAACAGTCCAATTCCCAATCATTTGCCGCCGCGTGTGCTGCAAGAACCCGGATGGAAGCAGATTTGGCCATGGGAGCGAAGGTGCGTCCAAAATCGACGCTGGGAATTTGCGAGAACCCTTGAGCTACGAGCCTCGCTTTAAAGACAGGTCCTCCCTTCAAGTCCTCTTTGAACTCGAGCACCCACCGACATCCGATGGCCCGTCGACCTTCTGGTAGTGGCATCAGTTCGTAAACACTCATCTCTGACATGAGGTTTATTTCCTTCTGCATCGCTGCCAGCCAATGGTCTTGATCGGGCCGTCGTAGTGCTTTGTCATATGTGGCGGGTGGGATGTTGAGGTTGTAACCAGAGGCGAGCGGATTCTGGCATGTATCACTGCGGATGGACAAAGAGGCGACTTCAACAATGATCAGATTTGCGATGACCTGAGGAAACCCAATCTCCTCTTCGTTGGGAAGGATGTCATCTGGATCGACGGGTGCAGGCACAGGAGCCTCGGGCATCTGCGTTGGCGTGGTCACAATAGGCGCATCTTCGACTTCGGTATTTGTCAGTGCTGGTGGAATCCCATTGATTCGAGCTGCCTGAAGCTCTTGTTGATGCGTAAGTCGTGCCCTATCTGCTGCTATGCGTCCCTTCAAGATTTGGCCTCGTTCTGTGGGTACCGGAATGCGTCCTGAGCGACGGATTATGGGGGCATGAGGAGGTTCGGGAGTGACAGCTGGGACAGGAGCTGTTGACTTGGAGACGACGACAGGAGCGTCCTCTTCGTCATCACTCTCTGGAAACGGACGATTAGAGATACTCTCGTCAAAGATAACGTCGTGTGAATTAAAAAACGCGCCGGTGGCAGTATCTTGACAACGCCAGGCTTTAACACCAGGTGGATAACCCATGAAAATCGCTTCCCATGAGCGAGGTCCGAGTTTCTGTTGCAGTTTGGGAGGGATGCGAGCGAAACAACGAGCTCCGAAGATGCGAAGATGAGCAAGGTTGGGCTGGACACCATGTAACATTTGATACGGTGTTTTTCCTGGAGGGAGGGCGCGTGATTCCGTTCTGTTGAATAAGTAGCACACGGTGAGAGCTGCTTCACCCCAGAGAGACGGAGGCAAACTGGCAAAGTCGAGCATTGCGTACATCCTCCCTTCGATCGTCCTCGTCACTCTTTCTGCCTTACCATTCTGCTGGTGGGCATAAGGAGCAGAGCATTGACGTAAGACACCCGTTTGTTCTAAATTCGCAGTGAAATCGTCATTTAGAAATTCCCCCCCATTATCACTGTGAAAGACTTTAACCCGGCGCCCAGATAAGTTCTCCCAGCGCGCCCTTAAGGTGTGCCATGCATCTAACGCCTGATCCTTCGTGGCTAAGAGTTGAAGGTCGAGGGTGTGCATATGATCATCAAGAAAAACGATAAAGTACCATTTGCCGTGGGGAGTGACAGTGGGAATGGGGCCGCAGATGTCACTGTGAATGAGGTCTAGGAAGGTAGGAGCACGTTCCATTTCCGAAGAGTGGAATGGCTGACGAGGATGTTTAGCGAGGATGCACGATTCATAGTGTGATAAGGGTGAGGAGGACTGTACAGTTACTCCCTTGGTGATGTGATTAAGCCACATGACAGCCTCTCTACCGATGTGGCCAATACGAGCATGCCACAAATCCAGGGAGAGTGGAACGTCAATGAAGGCAGACAGTTCCATATGGGCGACTGCGGTGGTGGGAGGGTCAGTGAATGGGACTCAAGGTCAGGTGCATATAGCTTCCCCGTCGCTGGGATGAACCCGAGTGAAGACCCTTTAAAGGCAAGCTCACATGTCATATTTGCCCTAAAACTCACGTCCCATCCTTTCGCGTTCATGCAGCTGACTGATAACAGGTTTAGCAAGGCATCGGGGGCGTGAAGGCAGTTGGAAAGTCGAATACAAAGTCGACGTTTACCAATGGTGAGCCAGGCTACACAAGTTCCCGCCCGGTCGTCTGAAGGACTCCATGGTTGGCAGTGAGCACATCAACTGGCTCTTCAGTTGAGTAAGTATGGAAGAACCTGTGGTCCTTGACCAGTGTAACCGTAGTGCCTGAGTTCAGGATGGTGCTGAATGGAAGGTTCGTGGCGCAGGTGACGTCCGGGATCTCCGTAACCGACGCAAAGGATAAATCATGCATGAGGCTGGTGAGATCGGCAATGGCGGCAGCAATAACGGGTACAGATGGCGCAGAAGGTACTGCAGGTGTGGTCGCTGCTGTAGTAGCAGCTGCAGCGACTGCCTTGGTGTTATCCTTCTTTTTATTGCGCATCCAGGGTGCCTGCCCTTCTATCCCTCCCCCCTTGCCGTAGCAGTGAGTGTAATCGTGATCACCCTTGTTGCAACCAGGAGTGGTGCAAAAGATGCCATCCGGATTATGTCTGTGCTTTCGAAGCCCAGTGATTGCATTGACGGAGTTCGTTGTAGATGTGGTAGTCGTGTTCGCATATTCAGACCCGGTGTCATGCATGGTATGCAACTCATACCATGACAGATACACAAGAGGTGTGATAAGGAAGGTATAATAGACCCTACTGTATCCTATCACCAAGTTACCCCATCATTTTCCCCTTAGTTATTAGCTAGTATTTTCACTTTCAAACTTCACTTCCATTTTTCCATGTATTTCTATTTTGTTCTATGACATTCCATCTCTTTCTAGTTTCCTCAGGCATATTCAGCCAACAGACTTTCTTTTCAGCCACCAAGCATGTTTGTAAGTGTGTCATGTGACTGGTAGATATCATGATTTGTAAAGATTGAGCTTGACTCATCATGTTTTGTCATGATTTGTCATGCTTTGTAAGATTTCTAACTGTATTTATAAGCTACTTAGTAAGAAGGCTGATTCAGCACACCAAATGGCATTGTTAGTAAGCACATCCTTACCAATCCATGTGATGACTCATGCCATGATTCATCATGCTTTGTAAACTACACTGTATTTATAATGTAAATTAGTAAACAGGCTGACTCAACACACCAAATGGCATTGTTAGTAAGCACATTCTTACCAATCCATGTGATGATTCATGCTTTGTAATCATGGCCTCCAAAAGGTATATAAGGAGCCCAATTTTGCCATGTAATAAATGGAGCACTTCCCACCTTCACTCATCTCAAACAGTGTGAGATTAAGTAAGAACCTAAGTACAGGCAAATCATTAGCCTCAAAGTAAGACTAAGAAACATTTATTCAATTATATACTACCTTACAGGGGTTGATTATATAATCTATCAGCTATTCTAACTAAGTTTAACCCATACTATTTTCCTCTCTCTTTTACAGGAAGGGAGACACGATTCACGCTACACGATTCACGCTACACGATTCACGCTACACGATTCACGCTACACGCTACACGAGCACGCTAACTCTCAGACACAAATCATACTGTAGACTCAGTATACAGAATCAAATTGTTTTAAACTAATCAAGGAACAAGGAAAGAAGGTATATTGAAATAAATCCTCCCAAGAACTCACACGTTATCTACCACGAAAACTAGAAAAGTCGTAGACCATGTACTTAAGGACTGGCAATAAGTCTTATCCTATATAGTTGTGTTGTCACTATATAAGCGGCGTACATAAGACCCTTAAGTAAGAGGACACCAGGGCGAGCAGAGTGAGCAGACTGATGGACGTGACGTGCAGCTTCTGCTGTGATACACGACACGCAGCTGTCTACTGTAAAGGTGGACGGATTCGTCGCAGTAGCTGTCATAGCTTCGTCGTGCATCCGTTGCTCGAGCATCGACCTGAATTGTTGCCATATAGGCGTCTGCGGAAGGCCAATAAGAAGGCTGTAGATGCCGTCACCGTCATGTAAAGGTGCTCCAGAGTCACTCAAACGTTCTCACAACACAGCATGCTGACCAATGTAGTTGGTTGCGTCCGCTGAATCTTTCATGTGCAACACATCTAGACGCTGATGTAACTGATATTAAGCACTTGTGTTGGTGCAGTTAAAATGCTCTGCAAGAATTTGCCATGCCTTGTGAGCTGAGACGGTGTGTGAGCGTGATACCAGCGCCCCAACAGAAGTGCTAAGACGATGTGTGATAAGGTCCTTAGCCTTGATGTCACTTAATAGCCACTCGCGCATCGCCGCTGTCTCAGTGGCCGTTATATTGTTAGGGTCAGTGGGGACAGGTAAGACAGAAGGTGCCCCGAGAAGGTCTGACGGATCGGCCGTTGTGTTAATATGACACCAAAGATCTTCGCATGTGAGTGCGTATTGCATTTTTGTCTACCAACCAACATAATTTTCCGTCCCCAATAATTCAGGAATGTGATCGTATTTCCCCATAGTGATACCACTGTGAGGGCACAAAGGAGATATGACACAAAGAGTGAGCGGCGGGCAAGCGCGAGGGAGTTCTTGTCTTGTAGTCTCATCTGATGGCTCAGTAAGAGCCGGGGCTCATAACCTCTTAACAGTGGAGCTAGAAGACAAGTCTCAGCGTTGTGAAGAGAACCGCTGTATTGATTATACCTAGAAGACAAGTCTATAGACGAAACACAGTGAGAAAGTGACGGCGTGCAAACAGAACGTGATACATACCTCAGCGTTGTGAAGAGAACCGCTGAGGTATAACTAAGGTAGAGGACGAGCTTATAAGGTATGATATGAAGTCCGATATTAAAAGACGAATAAGGAAATGTAACATGAGCGATGACAACGATGACGATGTTGAACTCTCAACACTGGCCTCAATATAAATGACTGCCGGAGTTCCTAAAATACAACATTGTTAATAGATAGAATGCACGGTGAGAGAAACGAGACACTTACCATCTGGAAATTGATAAGGGAACAATTTGATGTCAACGGGGGTGACAGATGCAATCGACTTGACCGGCACTTTCAGTTCAACTGCTTTTGCCCATAGTATATCACATGCTGCTTGGAGTGCGTCACGAGAGACTTGCCAGGTGCTTTGGCCACCACTGACTTGTGAAAACGCATCCGTATTGATGTCGTCACATAGACAAATGAATGTCGTCTCAGGGTTAACAGGCTCAATAAGAGTGCCAGGAACGGTAATGATAACAACATGCTCTGTTGAGTTGGAGGTCCCTGGAATCAGTGAGCAGGCGGTGACATATCCACCGTCCCATAAGCAGTACTGCGCAACGTCAGATGAGGTAGAATGAGTTGGGATTATAGTGAGGAGCTGTCCAGTGATCTTTGCAGTGGTACGCAAGGCTTTCATGATGGTGATGTTAATAGATGCGCAAGACACACCATTCAGTGTCACTGCTGTTGAACGAAGCACTCTGATAGAAAGTGTGCGACTACTGTGAAGGATAGTGAGGAAGATATCCCCGACAAGGAATAAGTTACAGTCAGTGATTCGCCCCACAGACATGTCGATCCATTTGTTGACTTTCGTGAAACCTCCACGGATGTGTTCTAGTTGATTGAGTGACTTCGAAATGAAGTCCTTGTTGATCACTAATCAGCAGATGGTCTGTTTATGGATCCAACGTCCATTATACAGCAGGTAGTCATCTGGACGGATACTAGGCCCTTGCGGTAATGGAGGGGATGACAGATTCGTTGAGAACTTGCTAGAAGGTTGAGTAGAAGGAGCGGGATCAGTTGACTCATCAATTAGAGCCTCCTGGAAATTTAACATGAGCTCCTTGTCATCATCATCCTCTCCCTCCAACACCACATTAGCATCGCGAACCTCATCTCCATCCTCCCGTGTCAACACCATTTCTAGGCATTGCAAAGGGGGGACAGCTACAACGGCAGGGGGGAGCTTGGGTACGTCACTGGCGTCCTGAAGCTCATCCTGAGAAATCCCTAAGTACTTGTTATCTCCAAATGGCCGCAGCATATTGGTTCTGGGCGTGTTAAAGAGTTCTGCAAATGAGTAATGGATGGAATCAAGCTGGGAGGTTGCTAGGATGGAAAGAGCAGCGTCACGGCCACTGTGCCATGCCAAGGGCAGATCGCATCATCCAGAGATAATATCGCCCTTCCAAACCTCACAATTGATATGATCAACGCCTTCTTGACGTGTTAATTTGAGGCGCCAGTGGCCTGGATCAAGGTTTGGATGACGCCTGAAGACACCGTCAATATCCTTCGCAGTGCCTAAACAATCGAGAGCCTGAGCATATGAAGACGCAGAGTTATGGCCCCCAATTATGCGTGTGTGGCCAAAAATTATCTTGAGGGGATCGTCCCCGACATCGCCAAGGAAAAAAGGAGCGTGTGAGTCCAGCGCTTGTTGCTTGGCAATACAGAACATAGAGTTCTTTGTCATGGTCTGAGTGTCATAATACAATTGATATGACATGAAAGAGCGTCGATGGGCATGGAAAAAGCAAAAGCAAGATGGGAATAATGACTGAGCAACGTGACTTGTTCAGATAGTGAGAGAGAGATGTCGGTGAAAGGTAAAACGATGGACTCGAGCAGAGCACTGAGGAGAGTGATGGATTGGAGGTCTGCGCGAGTCTCGATGTCAGTAGAAAACGAGTCGGCGACGATTGTGTGCTGAAGTTTCGAGAACTCGATGATTGCAAGTATTAATTTGACTGCACGAGGTACGTCTTGAGGGTCGTCGGGATGGAGTAATTTCGTGACAGCGGCTTCATCATAGGCAGGTAGCCACATGAGATACCGCGCAAGCATCATGGAATTGATTATGCGGCCGTTATTGAGCACGACACCTGTGGGTGACCAGAGAAGGGTACAGATACCTAGATTAAGATCAGTCAGATGAACATCTATTGCGATAGCAGAAAAACTCATGTTTGAATATGTGCTTGAAGTCGAAATCAAGTGTCACCTCATTGTCCCCTGTGAACAGATTCAATCCCAGCATGTTGATGAGAGTACCGAACAAGGGTGAGTCTTGGGGTAATGGAATCTTGAGGAAAAGCTTATGACTGGCAGCACGTCGAGTTGCATCACCGTCGGTCGCGAGTGACCAGACTGGTCCGATCTGTGCTGCTGCACCAGTCGCGTTCCATCTAGCAATTGCTCAGGAAAGGTTCTGCTCTGTGTCATAAGTGTTCTCTGTTTTGCAAGTGGGAGCCGCCAATATAGGGAAGATTTCGTCCCAGCCAAAACACGATGCTCCAATGACCGTAAGTTCCTTGCCTAGATGGACCTCCCCATTGTGAATTTTCTGCGCAATGTTCACGGCAGATTCATACGTTTGAAGAACTGGATCGACGAGGTGTGAGTGTTTCCAACATAGACTGCCGACCTTGTTGTATTTGCTGAAATGAACAGCCATTTCTTCCAGGGCGATTTCATCTATCATGAGACTAACACCACATAAAGACGTGGAGCTGGTGAGATTGCTAAGAACTACGGCATGGATATTTTGATCGAAGTGTTCGTTGTGTATGGGGCCAATAGTAGGAGTGAGCACAGTGAAGGCAGATCGGGTGCGTAGAGTGCGGAGGGATGGAATAGTGAGTTTCTGGCTTAATGCAAAGAGGAGCTGATGGCCACCGAGTCTATACACGAGCATAGCGATATCCAGGTCGCTCGCATCATAGCCTTGAGGGTGATACACTCCCTCGAGAGCATCCTCAAGCTTGTTGACGACTGCATGAATACTTGCACCATTACGTAGAGCGACGTTCACGATCTGTTGGAGGCGAGGGATATCTCATTCGGATATAGCCATGAGAAGTCGGTTGTAGTCGTCGAGTTGCATGAGCACACTCATATACTTGCATGAATTGTTTAGCTGCTAATCAAAGTCAGTATATGCACAAAAAAAAAGAAGTAGACGTACCTGCAGCTTCAATTGTTTGATCTGTTCTGCGTAAGTCCTTGTGATGTCCTGCACATGTGCAAGACCTAAAAACTTGTAATTAGTGTGTGCTCTGGGAGTGCGCGCAATGTCTGCCAGATGTTTGACGTGAAGAGGGATCTCAGTGCATTCATCACAGGGAGTACCATATGACAAGCAGCGCTTAGACTGGAGGCGAATAGCGCTGGGATTTTGAGTGTCTATGAAGAAGGGTAGGGCATCCAGGCCATTGTGATAGCGCTCCCAAGGAAAGAGCATAATGAAAGGTCAGAGGTCCTCTGGCCAGGCGACGGGAACTCCAGTGCAAACACTATTAAGAGCAGGTGCAGGTGAGAGAGCACAACGAGGTCTGCAAGCATATGATGTAAGTACATGTAAGGAATGAGAGCCGAAATGAAATATACCTATGATTGGACGTAAGACTCTGGGAACGAGGCAAAGGCGCATCAGACACAGTCCGATCAAACACAGGTTTTTTTTTGTCCATCGATGCCTTGATACACTTGCGGCTGCCTCAATGGCTGCTCAACGAGCTGAACTGCCCAGGATACCAAAGAGGGAGTTGGGATGATACGCTCGTTTGAACCCATTCTTGACAATCAGGGCAGAGCAGCCTCCATCGTTGTTTGGTGCCAATGGTTACTGGTAGCACATGAGCCATGTACACGTTATAAAGTGAATCTGGCATGTTTAATAATAGTTGTTCCTTGATGTCGATCTTGGAATCAGGGACCGAGAGGCAAGAGGAACCTTGCGAGTCTGAATCTGAGCGAGCCCAGTACAAGCTAGGACCTCAAGAAGGAGGCAATAAGTTAGGGAAATCTACCGAGTATGCTGTGATATCATCTGATAATGGTACATTGAAGTCTATGTCTGGGCTATTAGAATGCCCAGACGGCGATGAATCCGTATTGGGGTCTGATCCGACAAAGACCGTTGTTTGATGCGAGGTGGCTATATGTGCCTCATTTCTGATGGGAGCCGAGTTTTCATAACGTGCTGAGAAATCGGACTGAGTGTGTGCATGCAACATAGAATACATAATGAACGAGAGTATGCAAAAATGAACGAGTCGTTACTGGTGATGGTGTGAGGGAGAGAGGTGAGGCGCGTCAATACATGTATGAGGCGCGTCATATCAATATTGACATGTCGCGTTATATTGGTCACATGTTCTCAATTTTTACAACTGGAAATGTTGATTTGGCCAGTAGTGTCATTGCATGCTTTGATCTCATCGATCTGACTATCCATATGTGTTCTTAAGTAGCAAAAACAGGGGCCTTACAGTGTTCAGTCAAAGAATTTATTAAGATCCTAGACCGCTGTTGAGGAACTCAGAACACTGCTCTCAAAACTTCAAGTGGCTGTATATTAAGGTTTTGTAGATTATATAACGACAAGCCCCATGTTGGGAATTAAGGTTTCATTCACCTCTTGGGCGAGAGTCTGAAGACTCTGGCTGCTAGCTCCGCTCTAAACACCGCCAAACAAACACAAAAGTACTCTATTCCACTTCTCCTCGTCATCCAAATCTCCCTATTCTATACAACATGTTTTGTCTCCAGCACCTCTCCAGCCGTCCATATAGCCCAACTGCACCATCTAGCATTCTTCACCACACCCTCACCGTGGTCTGTCTTGGTTCCTGGAGGTCAACAACGAGCGACAAGCGTGCTTGACGTTGTTCGAGAGATTTTGTTACCCACCACACGTAGATACGAAACTCGTGCAAATCATTTGTGGCATTTGACTGTAGAATGAACTTCAATTACATCGACTAGTGTCACTATCGGATTCATAACAATGTCATGTCCAGCTTCGCATGTAGGGTGCCCTCATGGTCTACATATTCAGTCATACTATAACAGCACAATGTCAGTCGGTTCGAGTTATTATTAAGGAGAAATGTAAGAAATGCCTCCTCGATTGATAAACAGACTTACTTGTGCATTACCTGACCGCCCAGCTCTTTGCCCTTGGTAGATCTTTAGGAAGCACAAGGAATATGGATCATAAGACAATCAGCACACCACTCTGGAGTGAGAACAAATTCAACCTACTGTGAGGATTTAAGAGTCAGAACCTTTGTGCTTGTCCATAATGGAATTTTAAGCAGGGGTCGCACCGCCAGGTTTCCAGCTGTGTGCCTCGATCACAAGTACAGCGTTACAAAGACACACTGAATAGCAATGCTGACAAAGACCAATTGCGGTGTGCCATACTCCATTAGTGGGCGGCTTTGGCATGTAGAAGTGCAACCACCATATGTGTCCTGCAAGGGGTGCCTTCACAATTTAGCGAAGGGACAAAGCGAAAGACGTGGACCACACACCCCCTGCAACAAATTCGTAGTACAAACCTTTTTCAGTGGCCATGCGCAGGCGTTTTTGGAACATCCCGATTTGAAAAACAACTTTGAACTGATTGGCGGTCCCATCGCATGTATGTACCTGAATCTCATCTTGCGGACAGCCTAAAAACTCTCTCAAACGCCTGTCTTCGCTGTCTAGCATCAAAGTCAGTGGTCTCTCCGGTGGGCATTACTGTGTACTACTCACAACTTCCAAGGTTTAGCTGCGTAAACATTTCATGGTCACTGGTTATCGTGCATGCAATGCACAAGTCGGATATGCAATCAGAGGAATAACAGGAAGTCAGCTCTTTGAGTGCCCAAAAAGCTTCTGGCCGATTATTCACAATTGCCCAATACAGTGCTGTGTGGCCCTCGATATTGAGTTTTGTCAGGATGTTGGAGAGCTCAGCAGCTGGAAGAGCAGCAGCACAGGCATTGACATTTGAGGTCACAGAAGAAGGGGTGAAATCAGGGGCTAAGACAATATCACAGGATGCGGGATAGAACAGCTGTACGTTTCTGCTTCATGCGACGAAAGGAAAATACAGATGATTGACTGCACTGAATGGGATTTGTTGAGATCGTGTCATATGAGGGAGGTGCAGTAGCGCCAGCAGTGGAACTGTTGTCATCAGAGGCTTTGGAATTGGTAGCCATTGATATTGTGACAAGTGGTGGAGTGCAATATCTCACAAAATTGAAATAGGGGGTCAAATATGATGACCCCTGTCATATATGCATTTCCTTGTTTTGAAGTTTTCTCCAGATAGGGCACCGTCGGGGCACTGTGATTAACTGTACTTGCAGAGGCAAGTCACTGAAAGACCTGGTGAGCAAGGCGCGTGTCCGCATTACCGCTCGGAATAGACTTGCGCGAACACAGTAAGCATGCCGCATGCAAAGTGACTAATCCCACTGCATACCACCACTCGAACGGGATTGTTGCATATTTTTTTTGCTCTTGGTCTGTCCAGACTGTCCTGTTCTGCCAGTGTGCAAGGTCTGTGTCGACGTCCAAGTATGCCCATGTTGTACAGAGCCTAACGAAGTACGCCCAAGTTGTGCGTTCTTGCAGAAACTGTGCAGTTACTTAAAGGACAGCGCTCAGTAATAATGTCATAGGGTCAGCTACTGGCCACAGGACATCACTGAATGGAAGAACATCATGATCGGGTTGTGTTCTTTATATGTTAGGGCATGTTTGTAGAAGACAGTCTATTACACGGTAGTATGGGCCAGCCATGACTCCAGTTAAATAGCACAAGTGAGCCCCCTCTGTAATCGCGTAAGTACTCATACAACACCCGCCAATACACAATGTCCGATACAGAAAGAAAGAATTAAATGGTACACCGTTTTGCTTTACCATGGTTCATCCGGTAGTGAACCAACATCCTCGCGAATCTGAACCCGAAGTCCAGAATCTTTTTCTGCACTGATGTCAAACAATTGCATCAGCTCAAATATTTTATCCAAGGTATCGCGATCCGTGCGTTCCAGGAGTGTCAGTCCTCTAACATACTCCTGAATCCGAGAATGAACTTTTCCGCTCATCGGTGATTTGAGGTAGGAAGCGACCGCGAGTTTGATGGCCCTGCGAGTGAGTTCCTGGCTTTCTGACACCAGATAAAGTGTCTGCAACACGAGGGTTAAGTTGACGATGTATGACATAAAGCGCTGAAGCACTGCATGGCTGAGGAAGAAGTGTCAATATTCTTGCACTCAAGGAAAAGTAGTAATACTACGTACGACATCTGGTACACGTCGTGAACCCATACAGCGAGTACGACACCTGCTGCGATCGGTACCACAATGGGAGCCGCAGGTCCTGCCAGGGCAGACACGATGCCCGCAATAGTACCCACCATGGAGAGCCCAACAACACTATCAATGAGAATATCGAATGAGAAAAAATTATCGTCATGTAGTACTAGAACAGCCTACATGCACTTGTTGGGGTCAGCTGCACGTTCATCATCCGAGTCTAGTTTATTAACCATGTTCACCATCATCGTCCTGAACTCAGTGCTATACAAGAACTGTGCGAAAATCATGTCAGAATAGATGCGATGACAACAATGAAAGAGCCATTACACGATGAGGGTCTGAGAAGTTCCACACAGTAACGATGTCTGTGTGAAGCACATTCAGACAGTCCCGCATCATACGGTTCTTGAATGCCGTGCTTGATGCCAGCGCTTTCCAATACCCTGTGACATATGGAGGTTCAGTTGTGTTCTGTGATCACCAACACGGAACCCGAGACAGACTTCTCTTGCCAACCCTGACAATATGTGAATCGCATAATAAGAACCCAGCAAGATGAGGCCTACTCGATGGATGCATTTATTTTGAGTCTAGGATCCACTCGCTGAGCGATGGAGGTCATCACTGACGCCTCGAGCGCAAAATGCTGACGGACATGGCTTTCAGTTTCTTGGATCAGACGAGCGAGGGTCTCCTTGTGTTCTTCTTTGGCTGAAATCGTATGTGTCAGAGGGACACAGCCTGTGCAAGTATTGGTACCCACTAGAGATCGTAGCAGAAGGGATATCAGGCCCTGCGAATTTCTTTAGGGGTCCGATGCAGATCTTCTGTAGCTCAGTTTCTGCTTTGTTCTTGATGAGTTTCTTGATATCGTTGTCGCTCAATCCTTCAAGAGAAGATTCATCCAGGGTACGATCCATGCGGTCGATGAGCTTATCGTATTTAGTGAAAACGACGATGACAGGAACTTTAACCGAAGAGTGAATTACCGCCTGAGCACAATGATAATCATCATCAACGTACCGTCTCCTAGCTTTCCTTTACGTTTCAACGTAAGGAACTCCTCTGTCCCGGTCTCCAATAAACGCCCGCCTGCGCGAGGTATTTCAAAGCAAAGCCTTTGAAATATTTCGTCAGGTTGTCATACAGACCTCTCAGGATGGAGGCCTTACCAAACAGCATACAGCTGATCTTTCAACGCAGGCATGTTTTTCCGACGTTCAATGAAATCTTGAACTATCTTGAGGTTGTCTTCGTCCCCTGGTTCAAAACCTTTGCTATCATGAAGAACAAATTTGTCGTTCTGGTTTGAGATGAACTCGGTGTCGATATTAGCCCCGCCCGGCTTATCATCCGAAGTGAGCTATGGGCATAGGCATCAGTAATAGTAATATTGGGTATTTCAGTGTCGTGAGCAGCCCACCGCTTTTTCAACCCCGAATGCGTGATTAATCAGTGAAGACTTGCCGACGCCGGTCTATTGGGAACATGCTGTCAACACAGGTGAGAGATCAACGAAGAATTGATACCTTTCCTATCACAAGAATCCGGAATCTTAGTGTGCCTCTGGTGTTAGCCAGAAGAATGACGCTAAATGGTCATCTTTACTACTCACCGAGGACAAATCCGAATGATTTCATCAGTGGTAGGCTGGAGTTCCGGGTTTTCATCGGAAGAGACAACTTGCTATCTACGATTTAGACGAGTCTCGATGCAAGACGTAGACCCTTACTTCGGTCGTTATACTCCCAAAAAGCTCGACAACGATCTTGATTTTCTTATGAAACTTGATATATTCTGTGCAAGTGAAGTTGAGCTCATGGCAGGTGCGTGACGACTAGTGCTTGAGCTATACCTTGTCTCTCAGGTTTTCCTCTTGCATCAGACACACGGAAGATGTCATCGGTATCGAAATCAATGTCTTCATCCTCGGTCTTCATTCCTAACAGTCTCTTGTGCCGTAGATGTAAGGAAAATGAAACCCCAAGAGAAATCTTCCTATGCCAACAGTTCAGACGGGCACACTTTTCTGAGTCAAATGCTTACATGGGTGGAGAAAACGTCTGTCGTAAAGTCTTTCTTGCTGCGCGTTCAACTGGTGTGTGCAACTCGCCGATCCGCAACTCAGCAGATTCTACATTCTTTCTCGACTTGGTGAAATCAACCAAAACATCTAGATGATGTATTCAGTGAAATTGATCATTGGGCTGACGCGAGAGTTGAGTACCAGAGATATAGAGAGAACAGTGAGCCGTTGAGGGCTCGGCCATGCTATCCTTCACGCGGGAAAGGTTACGGTAGATTTAGCTGTAGCACAGGTCATGCCAGTCAGTTACGTCGAGGTGGAGGTCTCAGGTATACTCAACTAGTCTCACCAAGGAAGATCAATCTTGGTTAGTTCGACCTTCTGGTCTCTCGTGTGCATAGAGGATCAAGCCACCAGAGGTCAACGTACAGATATGGTCACCTGAACCCCACTCATACATAGTACCGTAATACAACATAATGATATATATAACTTCATTGTAAGTAGTATTTGATGTGCTCAATTTGGACTTATTGTGAACACACCGGTCAACGATTAAGGATTTTCATTGGCTGATGCCTCATGAAGGGGCAGTGTTTCATGATCCTCATGGCCTCAACCACACAACCCTGTTTAAACTGATGACTTCGATGGACAAGGCGAATTCTGGATCGTCCTTTGGTGCTGTCGCCAACGATGTCTATCCTGCTGACCGCGGTCCAGGGGTCCCAAGGGCAGCTACCGCAGGGCCTGTCGGCCCTTTCCACAGCTTAGTCAGCATGTAGACTGGGTTTCACCATGTTCGTAGCTAGCATCGATATCTATCATCATCTCAGCTTGTCTGCCTTGCTCTGGGCTTAGGCCGCTGGCCCTGCTCCAGCGGGAACACATTGGTTTCCCGTAGTCAAACATTGAAGAAGAGACGTTTGAAGCTTGAGCGCTTGAGCACTGGGCGTCAACGGATTTTGTTTATTTATTTTGAATTCATTGCGGGCAGCAGATTTCACGTAATACCCTGTTCTAAACTTCTACCACTGAAGCCGTCGCGTCTCGCCGCGGCGCTAGGTCACGAATTATCTTTTCGTCGGACAGTCACCTACTCGCCACCATCCGCCATGCCCCATCACCTCAAGGTTTAGGGCTTATTAGTAGTATGTGTGTACAGTATAAAGTTCAAACATTCAAACATGCCTCTTATCTTACCTTCCTTGGAATGACATCAAACTCTATCGAGCACAGGAATATCAATGCTATCACTTCCGATAAGTTCGGAATATTGTCAATGAGTATTACAGGAGATAGAGGATCTGTACACGCACGGGCTGCAGCACATCAATGAATTCTTCGGTCAGCGCGGCTTGACCTCGTGGAGGATAAAACACTCACCAACTATCAACAAATTAGCAACATCTCCGGTCAGCATGGCTCAAGCTCAACAGAGGATCAGCATGCTCACGGGCTATTAGTACATCAATAAATTTTTCGGTCAGTGTAGTTCGACCTCGATGGAGGATAAACCCCTCACCAACTATCAACAAATTAGGGGTAACTTTGGTTATCATGGCTAAGGTCAAAGTATCACCACACTCACAAGCTGTCAGAGCATCAACAAACTCTCTAGTCGGCGTGGCTCGAACTTTGATTGATGATAAACAGACGCACCAACTATCAACAAATTGGCGATATCTTCGGTCAGTATGGCTCGAACATCATGGAGAATCAACAAACTCACGCGCTATCAGCGCACGCATGAGCAATTTGTTTGGTCAGCAAGACTTGAGCTCAACTCAAGATCAACACTCACGAACTGTCAACAGACAAACGATTTCTGCGGTCAGCGAGGGTCGACAGATGATAATGATCGCTCACGGCCTGTCATCAGATCAGCCATTTCCTCGGTCAGCGTGGCACGAACTTGCGGGAGAATCACCACTCACTTCCTAATAACAGATCAGCAAATGCTTCTGTCAGCATGGGTCGACCTCGATACAGTGTCAACACACTCACTCGCTATCGACGGGGTGGCAAATTTCTTCAGTGAGCAAGGGTTGAGATGGACAGAAAATATGCTCACGGGCTGTCAATGGATCAACAATGTCTGTGGTCAGCATAGCGTGAGATAGACGGAGGGATCAACACTTACCCGCTATTATCGTATCAACGATGTCTTGGGTCAGAATATCTCGGCCTTCACGGAGAATCAAAGCACTCACTTCCTGTCAGCATATCAATAAATTCTTTGGTCACCGTAACTCGATCGAGATGCTCACCAACTGTCATCGGAGGAAACAATTTTTCGGTCAGCATGGCTGAGTTATACCGAAATTCAGAATACCCACGTCCTGTCATTGGATCAACGGAACTCTTAAGCTCGGTTTGCATGATTCGAGAATCGACACACTCACAGCCTGTTACAATGATCAATACATTCTTCGGTCAGCATGGCTGAGCTCGACAGAGGATCTCCGTACTCACAAACTATCAATAGATCAGCAAGATCTTTGGTCAGCATACTACCTCGATCTTGACAAAGGTTCAGCACGCTCACGGACTGTGTACAGGTGAGCAATTTCTGTTGTCAACAGGGACCGCACCACTCGAAGGAGGATCTACAAACTCACGGACTGTCATCAGATCAACAATTTGTATGGTCAGCATGGCTCGAGCTCCACTGAGAGTCGACACACTCACAGCCTGTAGCAATCAGTGAATTTTCTGGTCATGGCTAGAGCTCGACAGATATGATCACAACACTCACATCCTATCAATAGATCGGCAATTTCTTCGTTCAGTATGGCTCGACCTCGATAGGAGTACAGTATAGACACTTACGAACTATGAACGGGTCGGTAATTTCGTCAGTCAGCAACGCTCGAGGTTGACACAGGATCAACACACTTACAGTCTGTCATCGGATCGAAAATGTCTTTAGTCAGCATGGCCCGAGCCCTACCAAGAATCAGCACACTCACTCTCTGCCAAGGATCAGAAATTTCGTGGGTCAGCAAGCCTCGAGATTGGCAAAGGATCAACACACTCACAGCCTGTCATCGGGTCAGCAAATTTGAGGTCAGCAAGGCGCGAGCTCCAAAGAGGATCAATAGACATACAGCCTGCAAAAACCGACCAACATCAGTGGGTGATGATTTTTGAAAATTAGCATCTCACTGAAAGATGCGGAAACCATCCAGCCAAGTTGGCTATTAGCTTTTCCCCCTGATCATCCGCCGATGTGGAGATTGTCTGAGCAGAACTGAGGTGTACCGCAAGTGTTCTAGAGTCAAATTCAGCTATTGCTACTCGAAAATAAGGTTTTGGGAGTTGCCTTTCAACTGCGTATTTGATGCATAACTCCAAATTGGTCTGCTGAGTTGAGATGATTAACTGCTTGAGTGTTTCATCATCCAACGCTTCAGCCGTGCGTTCGATGAGTGGACCACAATCTGCACCATCCTCATTCATGTCTGGATGTCAAACATAGATAAGCGGTCCTGTTGACCTCAAATTGATAATCAAACAACGTACTAGGAAGGCATACGTGACGTCTTGGCGGGTAGCGGATGTTGGCAGGGTCATATAAAAACTTCACTTGTGGCCCGTTCATAAACAATTCCATCGCACTCTTGGGAGCCAGTTCTTTCGCATCTTTCCTCGACGCTCCCTCACTTTTCAGCTTGGCAAATTCATCGTCATAGAGGGCGTCAAACTTCGTGAATAACACTATCACTGGAACTGAGGATTGCGAATGACAAAATGAGTTGATCGTAAACAATTAGTGGGATCCAAAAGCTTACTGTTTCCAGTGTCGCACTGAGAGAAAAACTTGACTTCCCCTGATGTGAACCATCTACATTTCTCGTCCATTGGAACGCAGTACCTATATCGATGAAATGATTGCATGCTACCAATGTAGTGAGTTACCATATGGCATGGATTCGATTCTCTAAATGCTTTTCCTGAGACCGCCTCGCGATGAATGCCTTCACCTGATCGAATTCGGAGTGTCCGCCTGCCTCGAAGCCACGTGAATCATGAAAGACGTATCTTGGGTTGCTTGGGAACACCATTTCATTATCGATATCATGCAATCCGCGCTGAGAACCCATTGAGTCACGTTACAAAGTAAAAGTACATATATGTTACCTCGCTCGATGGCATCAAAACAACCTTGATCTGATCTCGATGAGTGAATCAACTAAAACATTCCCAGCACGACATTGTGCACCTTTTCCCCAGTACTATTGTATATTTCTGGGTTCTCCCGTGTTTTGCAGACCGTCTGAAGAATGGTAGTTTTGCCTGCATTCGCTCTTCCAATAATGAGGATTCGGAAGCGACAGAGAAACAGGCGGCTCTGACTCGGAATCCCCTGATTGACGGAAGCGCCAACCTGAGCCTGTTGCCTCGTTAAAAAAAACATCGGGAAGAACGTCATCATCGTAACGAACCCTCAGGCTAGCAATTCTCTCTCCTTTAGCCATCAGGCCTAGGATTCAGTACAGTAAGTAAGTAGTAGCGGTCTGCAGACAACGATGAACGATTTTAATCTTATTCCAGGACCCTTTTAGGGTACTGGGCCCGGGTTCCTGGACCTGTATTAGGGTACTATTACTCACCGCATCACATCTCGTGCATCCCCACATCTCGTGCATCGTTCGAAACAACACTTTTCTACTACAAATCTTCAAACGAATACATGCAAATGAATTAATAAATCATAAGAACACCCTACAAGCTTAAATTATTGACAACGACATTTTAGAATTGAGCAGCCCTTATGGGCGCGGTGAGTGGCACTCCCGAGTCCGGCCCCTGTCCAGACTCCACATGTTAAACAATAATGACCCAGCTCAAGAAGCACCAGGACCATCAACAATTACATCTATTCTTCAAGTTCGAGTTAGAACAAAGTAAATTACTCGTATCCTTCGTCCCAGGTAAGATCTGAGATACCGACCACAACATCAATAAAGCATATGTATTGTATCATACCATAACAATGTGCACGAAAACGAAAGCAAAGATGAAAATGACAAAAAATGCAAATGGTCAAGCACGCACGAACAAACGAAGGGTCCAGATTCCAAAGCACCGACAAACCAACCCCATTCTGCACGTGGGTCTATCCCTGCAAACGATTAGAACTAGGAAGAGGAAGGAGGAGTCCCTTTATCATCATAGCATCAACTTCAACCGCCCCACTGCACCCACGCGCCAGGCAACCCGCGGCGGCGCTTCATCCCCGCACGTGTATGAGTACTGGCGCTAGAACCAGTCCCCTCAATCTCAGACGCTGAAAACGCGCCGTTAGTGCTTCCGTTCCCATACCCGTCCCCTTCATCGTCGTCATCTTCACCTACGACCCACCGGCGGCCTCTACCTGTGCCCCAGGAATCGTTTAGCCAGATATGCTGTCGTGAACCTGGTGCGAAAGACGAGAGTTGGCCATTGATAGTGCTGGTGGTACTGCTGACAGTGGGGGACGTTCGAGGTACCCCTCGGAGGCTGCCTGTTGTACTGGGTGGGTGAAGATGTTTTCGGAGACTGCGAATGGAGGCTTGACGTCTGGCTGGGACGAGTAACCGTTCTAGGTCTAGTTCTCCTTCGTCTTCTTCATCCTCATCTTCAGAGGATGAGCTGGAAAAACACGGTCCTTCTTGTCTATGGCTCGCGGGGAGGTGCCTGCTCATACTCCACTCATCGTTCTCAACCCTCGTACGGGCTAATGAAGGAACCATATCTGATTCCTTGCGTTTTCCCTTTCCCTTTCCTTTCCCTTTCCTTGATTCTTCCTCCCGCTTATTCTTCCTCCGTCTCTCCTCGTCACGTCTATATCTCGATTCATCATCTTCAGCACCAGTTCTACGCACCCTCGATCCCGCACGCGACGTAGGCGTAGACCTACACACGACGCTCGTCTGGCTCACCTTCCCTTCAGTCGTACCTGCGCGCTGCTCCCGCACCTGTGCGCATAGCAATGGTGGGCGTCTCTGTTCCCTAGGTCTATTCGTCGTCTCTGATAACGTCGAGTTCGTTTTTTGCGTAGAAGCAGTCTCAGGCACACCAGAGAGAAGGGCTTTAGCGACAGATTCCATCCAGTTACGAGGGAGCGGCGGAGGGTCGTCTGTCTCGATGATGTCGTCTGCTGTGAGGAGCAAGGCTCGACGGGAAGAACGGGGTTGTGCATGGGGAGTGCGATGGGAGCGGAGGGAGACATTTGATGAGGAGGGGCGTTTAGCTAGGGGTTGGATGTTCGGTGCTGATGCCATATGTCGGAGATATGCGTGAGCGTTTGGTGCGGCTTTGGAGAAGTTAGATGAAGATTGATGGCGCATGTAGGCATTCGGGGCTTGGGACCGGCCATGGGTTTCGGGGAATAGGTTGCGTCGGGCCTGGCCCTGGGTGGCGTGAAAGCGGGAATGCTTACGGAGGCTCTCTGGGGATGTGTTGAAGGAAAATGAGGATGTAGAAGAAGAAGCATGGAGAGCCTTGATGTGTGCAAGCGGTGATGGTGGTTGAGAGTGGGAATTATTGTTGGAGATTGGTTCCCGTGCTAGACTCGAATTGCGGCTTACGAGGCCGGCGAGGAAACCAACGACAGCACCTACACCGCCACGCACGTTGCTTGTGTGTTTATCGGTTGTATGATCTGTGTGTCGCTCGGATTCTGGTGTAAAGACGCGAGTTTCTTTGTAGCCGGCTTCGCGAAGAAGGTCTTCGAGGCGTTCATATGTCTTGGATGTTCCACGGCGATGCAAGGGAACGCGAGTTAGCGTGTCGGGGTAACGTGCACGACCTCTTGGAGGTGTAGAGGGCGGGCTGGCGTGTGATGATAGCTCGGAGTCATCTTGTGAAGTGGACGCGGTCGTCTGCAATGTCAATGTCAATGAGTTCAACCTCCTCGACGACAGTGATCAGACCACGCACAGAATCGCAGGTCTCGACTACGTTTGAAGCGTGCATGAAAGAGATCCTTCTCCTTTAGATGACTCCTCTTTATACTCACGGGTAGTACCCCCCAACGGTTCCTTCCAATTCTAGGTTTGCGATAAGAATGACCAAGAAACAGTAGGCCGTCGTGGAATTTACCGTCACAAGCCGCATCACAGCAATTTCAAAAAAAAAACAGTGCGCATGCGGCGCTACTTCATCATTTTGGCTCATCGTTACATCGCTTAATCTGTGCTCCACTAACGTTGTAAATGGGCGGCTACTAGTTTTGGTTGCTAGGGCGTCGTATTTATCTTCACTCGGTGACACTCACAAGGCTAGTCGACATCAGGCAAGGCGCATCACTCGAGACCAGTCACACGTAAGAATATGCTGCATGTCATGTCATAATGTGCTTGAGGATACATAGCAGTGGAAAACAAAATATGAAACGACTCCCAAGGCGCTCACTATACAGTCATCATTAGCTCCTAGAACCCAATGATAAGCAAAGTGACGTACGAATTGGAGGGCAGCACCCTTTGTCTTTTTCTCACCACCAAGCTCGAAGCTTCAGAAGACATTAGGTTTGTACATGCGGTGAATAGAACAGAGACATACTGTTTGCAACGCTTCAACGAAAGCTGCATCTTGTACTTGCACACCGTGCACTCCAACCGCAGAACGACCTTCTTCGTCGTCTTTGCCTACATCCCCAAAACCCAATAAGCAGAATCCCGTGCCCTCGCACTAAAAAAACGCACCTTCTTGTGGAAGACGGGTTTAGTCTGACCACCGTACCCTGATTGCTTACGGTCGTAACGACGCTTTCCTTGGGCGAACAGCGAATCTTTGCCCTTTTTGTACTGTGTCACTTTGTGGGGCCTGCATAGCGTTCTCAGCGGTCCTGATCCCATAAATTCAAACCATGAACATACGTGTGCTTCTTGCACGTCTTGCCCTTGCAGTCTACATACAGTCATTAACTTTTGCGAATATATGACGAGAACAGAGGTTACTCACAGGTCCGGCGAGTTCTTTTTAGCAACAATTCGTCAGTTATTCCCAATTGGCTAGTGAATGGGACTGGCAACGTACTTGGGGATGTTGACCATGGTTGTCGGCGTCGGCGATGTCTTAGGCTTGAGGTCGACGATAGTAGCGTGGATTTCCGTGTACGGCAATCGCCGGTGTTATGCAGTTTATACAATTAAGGTTCAGGAAAATCCCGAAAGTTAATGGCACGTGATAGGGGCGTCATGATGACCTCACTCAGCTGTGCGCGTCTCCCAGCAATGATCACTTACTCCATGCTATATAACCAGCCATGCTCCCCTGCTTCGTGCTCCAATCGCGATGACAGAACAAGTATTTCGCCTTATTCCTGCAACGCAGAACTTTCCATGGGGGAAGAAAGGGAGCAGCTCACTGGTAGCCCAGCTCGCTGACGGCGCAGGCATACCAGATTTCAAAACAGACGAATCAAAGTCCTATGCAGAAGTTCGTGGTCCACTAAAATACTATGCACGCAGTATAACATTCCATAGATGTGGATTGGTACTCACCCCAACGCGCCAACACGAGTCCATTCCACCAGACAGCTGCTCTCAGAGCATCTCGCAGCCCACCCAGAACTCGTCGGAGAATCCGCCTTGAAGCGGTTCGGCTTGGAAAACGGACAGATTCCATTCTTGTTCAAAATCTTGTCTTTCGACAAGGCGCTCCCCGTGCAGATCCATCTTGACAAGCATACCGAGGAACACATAAATTCAGAACATCCCATGGGTAAGGCCTCGTCATGTTATGAAATGCCATTTGTTAAATAGACGCAGACTCAAACCATAGATCAGGAATGGCTCTAGCCCTCTCCAATTTCAGTACTCTCTGCGGTTTCCTCCCAACATCCCAAGTATCCGAGTTCCTCTCCTTCGTCCCAGAGTTCGCTTCCCTCTTCTCAGCCGATATCATAGCACACTTCAAATCAGTGGCGCGTTCGCCTGACAAATCAGAACGCAAAGCAGCCCTCAAAGACCTGTTCTCATGCTATGCCCAGGTAGATAAGGAAAAAGCTGCGGCGCAACTCAAACGTCTTATAGAGCGATATCAAACTGGAAAAGAAGCCGACGAAGAGAAGGTTGTAAAATCGCTCGTTTTGCGGTTGCATGAGATGTACCCTAACGATAGCGGCATCTTTTGCGCTTTCATACTCAACTACTTCGATTTAAAGCCTGGACACGCCTTCTCCGTCGCCACCGGGGAGCCCCACGCATACATCACAGGAGGTATGAAATTCTCTATCCAAACTGCGCCAAATAAAATAAAATGACTTGTTTCAGACATGATCGAATGCATAGCAACGTCCGACAACACCGTCCCCCTCGCTTTCTCCTCCTCATCCAACCTCGACATCTCCACCTTCCTCTCAAACGTCGCATACAACCCAACCCCAGGCAAAACTCTCATCCAACCCACAATGTTCACCCGCGGGAGCACGCACACGTCCGGATCGCTTCTATACAACCCGCCCATTGACGAACTGGCAGTGATGCAAGTCATCGTGGCGAAAGGAGGGGTTGAGAGCCATCATAAGCTGAGAGGGCCGAGCATTGATATTGTGGTCGAGGGCGAGGGGACGGTAGTGTGGGCGGAGGGAGCGAAGAGGTTAGGGGTGAGGAAGGGGCAGGTGGTGTTCATCGCTGCGGGGACAGAGGTCAAGTACTCGGCGCTTGAGACGGCGTTGAAGCTTTATAGGGCTTTTGTGGAGGTTGCTTAGCGTTTAGGATGGTTCGATTTTGATATTTTTGCCTAGCCTGTGTTCTGTAGAGAATCATCATGTAAGGGTTATATCCGTTGATGATCATCCTTCTAGCGTGATTGTTGGAGAGACTCTCCAATATCGTGCTAGAAGGATGATCAGGTGGAGCGATAGTTTGTGAATATGAGAGTGCACAAAGGGGCCGACTCGAAGGACGATGTCACTTTACACTATAGACTCGTCAAGGAATGTCGTCGTCGTATAGGTGCCCAGATCCAGGACGATGACCGGGCCACCAGACTCCGATGGGCTGGCGACCTCGAAAGGCCATAATCAAGAAGGAACTAGCGTGTTCCTTCTATATGGTCTGGATAGGGGAGACTAGCAGGAAACATCCCCTCCCTGAAAAGCCGACAACTCAGTCCCTGCATGATTTCAAGACCGTCAACATGACATCTAAATCCCAACACCCATTTCCAATCCTCACCGCACATCGGATGAGCAAGAAAACGATCATATGAGTGGCCTGAACTTGAAGCGTCCAGAATCTCGGAAATCGAAGAGTGCTGACATCGAGTGGATGCTGTGTCTATATGCGCGTGTCAAAAGATGTTTCGCACGACGATGGCTCTCAACGACGCAATCTTACTATGCCATAGAGTTCACCGAGAGCATATCATCTGTCCTTTCTGCTGTCTGGAATTGCTTGTTTCCATAGCGTCGGGGGTGTGCGTATCATAACAGCCAATTAAGCTCTGAGTGGCGGCGGGTAATGGGCAGCTGTTGCACAATGCACGATAACACCGTGAGATAAAACGGAAGAAAGAAAGGAGAGTGTTTGAACGCTCACGTTCAATGAAGACGAGGCGACACGTTATATGAGAGTGTGACGTGACGAGTATGACAAGTGACTGTCACACCCCTTCTCAGGTTCAAGTTTCCGAATCCGAGTCATTTCAGAGTCTCAGACTACTAGTAGTAGTAGTAGTAGTCGTAGGGGCTATTCTCCTTCTTTTCGGTCTGCGGGGGACGTCCAACTACTACTGATAGCCTCGGTCCGACTAGTCTGAACTGTTGCAGAGTTCATGATGTGACCGAACATGATGGAACAGATATGATAAAAACAAATACGCGCTCGGTCCCAACGTTATATTTGCGCTGTGCTGCCTTAATGTGATTTTCCCTGTAGGACCGCGTGAGTATGACAGAAATCAAACAGAAAACTGATTTTGCACCGCCATGCTGTCCTTGTGTTGCCTTATTTGGTTCCATGAACTTCCTTCTTCGCCATTTTGGATGGGAGAGGAAGGCCCGGGAGCCCTTTCATCGCCATGGTGGCCATGATCAGCCATTTTGCATGATCTGACATATCAGATCTGTCTACGTGTTTCAGCAAGAAATGGCACAGGATTGACAACATCATAGCTTTGACATATCGCGGCTCGCCACTACCAGCGTGGTTGACGAATCATATCCCGTCTCTGTGCTAGTATCACATGCACATGTTGATAGCTCACTTTGATCTTCTCGACATCTGTGCACAGCAGTAACAGCACACGTTGAGCTTGAACTTAATTTCAGCCTATCATAGCACTTGATTTATACCAAGTACAGGGAAACATGTTAACATTGCTACGTCACGTCACTATGTAATTTGATACTTATAAGAGTGTACAGGATGAGTGTTTTAACACCCTTGCTCTGTTGTATTTGTCTCACTGGAATGTTGGATGTTATTGAATCACAGCAGTTGTGAGTGGTGCTTGCATAGATGCACTGTGTACCCTGATCCTTACGATTTACTAGATGGATGCACTTGTACGCCGTTCTCGTGGCAAACAGTATTAGGGCATTTTATCTTTTATCTCCGAGCGTCGAGCGATGACAAAATGTTCTAGGTATCCTGATATACGACCATATGGCGACCCTCCCAGAAGAAATCATATTTATTTGGCGTCGTCCGAAGGCACTGTCTGCAAAGTTATTTCTCGTCAATCGCTATATCGCTCTGCTCGGCAATATATTTGCTTTGTGCGTTGATTTCCTGCCCATTTCAGATGAGGTTCGATTATTCCATTATGTACACAACTGGCAGGCTCACAGAACTCATTTCCACAGAGGTTTCAGTTCTGGTTCTTGCATATCTGTTATTTTGCTCAACAGAGGCTTAGTTGTGTGAAATACACGTTATGCAGACAACTGTTCTTTCTTTCGCAAGGAATCATCGTTTGCCGTAAGTTACAAGTTTATTGCGAGAAATACACAGACTAAAATTCCCATGGAGTCATATTGACCATTCGCATTTATGCTCTTTACGGCTGTAACAAGCGGCTGCTTACCTGCATGATCATCGTCGGCTTCACTCTTGTGGCAGGAGCTTGTGTATGTATTCACGTAGACGTTTGGACCCGGGTGTCTGTTGATCCTTTCTAGGCGGGAGCCATTGGACACTTCTCAAGCAACGCGACCATTTTCCCAGGAGTTGGCTGCTATGAAACATATACAGTAGCAGTGTACGTCGTTCTCATCCCCGTTCTATGCGTTTGCTCAAAAGTCCTTGCAGAGCCGCCCGTCAGTGAATTCTAAATCACGTTTGTATGCAACTTGTCATGACCTTCTCCAATTGCAGGCGTCGGGCTGTCATGGGTGGCCCTGTTTATCTTTGAATTACTCATTTTCATTCTCACAGTGTACAGAATTTGTAAACCTAGAGGCTTGCGGTTATCTCTGTTTACCAGGAGCAATATTGTTGATATCATGTTTCACGATGGTAAGTCTTTCGTTGCGCCTGTATTGTAAATGCTGAATCGACCTAACGCAGGTGCGATGTATTTCGGGTGAGGCTCTAGCGAGATCGTGGTTCGAGTGAATCTGATCCACATGCCTTCAGAGCGATGACACTGATCAATATACCGAACATCCTGACGTACTACGTGAGTCAACAAATGAATATTAATGGAGTCAAAGCGCTGACAGTTTGAATCAGTCTAGTTCAGTAAGCATATAAACTCACAATATTTGGTTTACTTCCCGACAATTGCCAAGGTTGACAATAGAGGCAGTCTCGCCACATTTACTAGCTCGTGAGTCATTGGTAAAATAAATACGAACCGATCTTATATATTACCTCCAGCATGTCCGCTACTCTCATTTCTCGACTGGTGCTTAACCTGCACGCATCCATGGATACTGGTATTTTGTCCACCACCGTTCGGGGTGACAGCGCCAGCTTCGCTCTTACCACCCGGGTCAACGTACAGTCGGCTATTTCCTCTCACCATTGGTAGGCTGGTATTGGATTCTGTTTTTAGATGTGAAGTTGTAGAGGATTCTTATTTTCCTTATGCGCCGATCACGGTGTCCTGTTGTGATGTAGCACCAGTTCGTTTGGATTAGTTTCATGTGTTAAAATACTGAGTATATGTTGATACTAGCCATGCACAGTGTGCACGAGTACGATTAGCTTTGTAACTACACTATCAATAATTGTTGAGATTAATCGGTGTATACAGCAGTATTAGTTACACAATACGACGACAAAAGTACTATCGTACAGAAATGTTATGTAAATAACCAGGATTACAGAAAATGTGATACTATGGTTTATGGACGCTCAAACTAGACACCCTTGTGAACAAATACGATCCGCTGTTCCATTGGAGTCTTCTTGCGCAACGATTTCACACCCTTGTGCGACGCTACCGCAGCCCATGTGCAAATCAATCTCCCCGATCCATCATTTAGGCTGTCGCACAATTCGCCAATCGCACTGCAAAATCCGGAAAATTGCATAGCCACAGCGAGATGAATCAACTCATCGGGACTCTTCTCACTACCCACGATAGCGTGGCATGCAGATAAGAATTCAAAATCAGGACTCTGCCAGTGAGATCGGATGATTGTAGTCGATTCGGCATTCAGTGGCAGGCCAGGTGAAATCACTGATTCCGTGATGCATCAAATGCTCACTGCTGCACGTGCGGATGCATGAGACGACATCATCTCATTGCATATAGTCATATTTGCGAGGACCGGTCTTCGATAAAGGCAGCGCCAGTGCCACGCGAGACGAGACGAGAAGTTTATCGAGTGGTATGCGGAAATGTGCCAACCGGGTCCAGAATACCGTACGGCTTTGCTCTGCTAGTTATACAGCAGTGGTCAAAGCGCCGCAATGAATACTGCATGAGAAAGCATCCGTGGCAAGGCAAGAAAATGGCTTCCCTGAGGCGTCGAAATGGCGTGAGGAAAGAGCGACATGCTGATGTAGGAATTTCAACGCGGTCTGGTAGGCAAGCAATACAGTGTCATAGTTCATCTCCTCAGCAGAGGTAACCGACTAAGATCATTACGAGAGGATGCGCGAGATAGGCGGGGAAGTTTCGGATATGGCGTAAATGCTTCATCCAGGTCAGACGGGATGCCCCGTTGCTCGAATCGGTCTCGAAGGGTGCTGGCAAGATTGTTGAGAAATGCGATTCGATCAGAATGACCAGGAGGGACAGAGGCATAGTGCAGCCCAACCAAGTTTAATGGCCTCTTCGTGGTCAGACGGGGATGCCCTGCTGCTGGGATCTGAGTACCAGATAAGGTTGATCAATGAGCACGCACTTCGAAATATGAGCAGTGAAACAGTGGAAACCTGTGAGGAAATGACACAGCAAGTTCTGAGGGAGACCTTTGATAAAGCTACTGTAACTTAAAAGGACGCCACAATGTCACAACGAAGCTGAGTGCTGACAACTAGACTGGTGACCGGCCCGTCTATAGATAGTAGAGGGCTTGTAACCAGTCTAGCTGACAAGAGAAATGGAAGGGATGCTGGAGCAAAAACCAGACTGTTGTATGCGTCTGTTGCTGAAACTGTAAGGTAGTTATGCCGACGCTTACTTTATTTTCGCATACAATGTCTTTGAGACTCCTGTAATCAATTTCAACGAGCAACGAAGGGTCGTTTATGTCAAGGTTCTCCCTAACCGCACAAATGACTTCTCAGGACGTGCACCAGCATATCAGCACCGATGCCCCCGCATTGCACCCAGCGCTTTACCTATCCTTAGATGTGCGCCCCTTGTGGTCAAGATACAGACATGTTCATCGCGGAACTTGGGCACATTGGCCTCAATATTATATTGTCCGAGGTCATTGAACCCTGTTGGGATCGTTGTTCCATCGCAAATGTTCGTTCGTCAGTTCCGCGTGGCCTGCGTATGCTGCGAGCATCAATAGAATGTTCGCTAGACGATTGCGTCATGTGTCATTCGGGAAACACCGTGAATGCCTAAGAGTTCCTTATGCACAGCGTCGAAGTTTAACGTTTAACCGCCTGCAAGAGAGCATCAGTGAATGATTCTCACGTGACAGAGTAATATTTCTATCAACAACAATCATTAACAGCGTACTAATAGCACGTTGAGTTGGCATCGCTCAAGTGGGCTCTGAAGTCTACGCAGACTAGGGACACGCCACCCCTGTCAAAAACGTGCTCACCTTCTTGTTCAAGAAGTGCGTGATCATTATCTGAGTTACGCCCACCACGGGTAGCAGGCTGCGAGCGTTGACAGCTTGCCTCTTGGCAACGTTCCCAGTACAGACGCAAGCACAAGTTGCCCGTATTGCGCTTCCCTAGGCCCTTGCCCAACCATAATAAGCTGAGCAGCCCGGTCTCGAAATTGGAGTTGGGAATCAAAGCTGATAATGTCGAGCCCGATCCGATACTGAAACTAATTGTTTCCCATCGCAGATAACGAGTATTAGTTTCCGCTTTTGAAATTAACAGTGTTTGAGCTGGACCAATGAGTCGGTGGTCCGTTGCAACAAAGTTTTGCCTTCGGTATGCGATTGAGGCCCATTGAATCATCTGAACAAAAAATAGGACGCACAAGTTATAGTAGCGACAAACTTGAGTTACTTGATTTGCAGGATGATAAGACTAGAGCACGAGTAAACTCACCGAATAGAACAAATGCTGAGGTAAAACGGACGACGGCGGCGGCGTGGCTACTAATATGATAGGAACGGTTATATAGTTACATGTAAGGTGGCTGAGCGTCGATGGTGAATCACTGTACAGTACCAAGAAGCAAGAAGCAAGACATGTGACAGATGTAGTAGTAGGGAAGCTTTGTATGTCAACACAGGATACAAGCTTTGCTGACTCGGAGTCAAAGTCTGAATTGCTTACATACGCTCTGAAGCTGCTACTCCATCCGAACTTGAACATACTCTTAATCCATTTTCGACTGGGCATGAGTGATCAGGTCGCAGCAGCAAGAGCCTCAGAGCAGGCGACCTCCAGGTTTGTCTTCATAAGATAGCACAGACGAAAATACCACTCACTCGTCATATCCCGGAATCCTATTGGTGATGTCATCAAAGGGCGGCGCTCATGAAACTCCTCTTTTTCGCTGCAACTCTCGCCATCCTACCAATGTCATCGTACTTCTTTACTGAAAAATATGTTTGGTCTGGTACGTCTACTACGGGATGCAATCACGAGTTCGTACTGATGTTTTCTTCCAGGCAACTCCAACTATGCTGCGATCACCGCCGTATGTGCGGCCAACATAGTCCTCATTGCATACATCGTCGTTTCTTTGGTGGAAGACAAGCAATCGTTCAAGGAAGCGGAGGAGAAGAAACTGTCAGAAACCAAGAAGGAGCGATAAATTGGGTCATTACTCGCTATGTATGTCGTTGTCGTCTAGGCACTTTCAATGCATGCATTCTTTCTGTTCATGTCCGCTTTGTGCAGGGGGCTTCAGTCAGAACGATCACCGAGGGCCAGACTATGGTTTTTTAGAAGATACTAATTATTAAAAGTTTACCAGACATGTCTGCTTCAAAGTGGTTGAACAAATACTTCGGAGCAGCGCATTCCTCTTGATATACGTCATTCAAATCATCATCAACGTTCGACTTTCATTACGACATTGACAATCGTCACAAACAGTTTAACATAAAAATTTTCCTCCCAACATCTACCCATAGAACTCCTCTGGCAATTGAAATCTCAAAGTGTCACTGGGATGCAATAGTAATGTCATTCTAGTGCATCGTATGCGCAGTTACTTCTTTCATTACATTTAGAAGCACTCTGTTGCGGGGGTAATTGAGAACAAGTAGAATCATAAGACGAGAGACACGTACTGCGATGAACGATACCAGGACCTGACTCGTCGTACTCCTGCTTTGAACACCACAAGTTCTGGAAAGTGGACAACGAAGCCAAGATGGAGCCACCGATCCAGACGGAGTATTTCCGCTCAGGAGGAGCGACGATCTTCACCTATAAGCGGCGACGAATGAGAATAACGACTGTACACAGATGTTGACACGAACCTTCATACTCGAAGGCGAGAGTGACGTCAACTCCTTCTGCATACGGTCGGCAATACCAGGGAACATGGTAGTACCACCCGACAGCACAACGTTACCATACAAGTCGCGACGGATATCAAGATCGCACTTGAAGATCGAGTTGTACCTAGGACGGGGGTAAATCACACTAAGTTTCTTGTAAATGATTTCTTACGTAGTCTCGTGGATACCAGCAGCTTCGAGACCAAGGAATGCAGGCTGGAAGAGAGCCTCAGGTGCACGGAATCTTGTGATTTTATAAGTTAAGACTATGCAATAATCAGCGTAAAATCAACTTACCGCTCGTTACCGATGGTGATGACTTGACCATCAGGCAGCTCGTAGCTCTTCTCAAGCGCCGATGACTGAGCGGCAGTCTGCATCTCCTGCTCGAAATCGAGGGCGACGTAGCACAACTTCTCCTTGATATCACGGACGATTTCGCGCTCAGCAGTCGTCGTGAATGAGTAACCGCGCTCAATCAAGTTTTTGATCAGATAGTCGGTAAGATCACGACCAGCAAGGTCGAGACGGAGAATAGCATGAGGCAGGGCAAAACCTTCGTAGATAGGAACCGTGTGGGTGACACCGTCACCAGAGTCCATGACGATACCGGTGGTACGACCGGACGCGTACAACGACAAGACGGCCTGAATGGCGACATAGAATGCAGGTGCATTAAATGTCTCGAACATTATTTGAGTCATCTTTTCACGGTTAGCTTTGGGGTTGAGGGGAGCCTCAGTCAGTAAGACGGGATGCTCCTCTGGGGCCACACGAAGCTCATTATAGAATGTGTGATGCCAGATCTTCTCCATGTCGTCCCAGTTCGTGACAATACCGTGCTCGATGGGGTACTTTAGGGTCAAGATACCACGTTTGGACTGAGCCTCGTCACTGCGCGACTTAGATTAGGTGAAAGCTTAAATGAGATAGCCGAAGCTTACCCAACGTAAGAGTCCTTCTGACCCATGCCAACCATGACACCCTGGTGACGAGGGCGACCGACTATGGAGCTGTAAGTCTGTGTGAGTGCTAGATCATCAGGGATGATATACGATCTAAAACGTACGGGAAGACGGCGCGGGGAGCATCGTCACCTAATGAGATGCGATCAGTTTGTATCATTACACCCCACGAACAGCCTTGAGTTACCAGCAACTACGAAGATGCTTATCAGATGGTGAAACACGTAGATCGAAGAGAAACTTACAGCCAGCCTTGCACATTCCGGATCCATTATCGATAACCTGACAACGTGAGGAAATTGAGCGTTTTGTACGGGGTCAAGAGCTACGATGAGGTTGAACATACGAGGGCAGCTACTTCTTCTTCCATGGTGAATTAGTTGTGTAGTAGACTGGGTGGGAGGTGGAGGTTATAAGTTGAAGTGCACCAGCGCATCACAAGCGGAGTGTGCATTTCAAACTCAGACCTCTGAATCAAACAAGGCAGTGCCGGTCAATGCATAACATATCGAACGTTAGACAGGATCCAGCTGGACGGAAAGCTTAACGTTGAAGTAGGGAGTAGCCTAGGGAAGGTATAGCATGAGAGGCGCATTTGAGTCAATTGCTTCAAAATTGAAGGTTGCAATAACCATCGTGTCTTCACCACATGTCATTTTGATATGAACTTTATACTTCATGGATCGACGGTCCTAATTCAATATTGTGCTCGTTGGAAGCCTGAGATAGAGAGGCATATGTAGCATCACGCGTAGAGCAATAAACTAATCCAGCACATATCGTGAACGAACATCACAGCACGATGATGCCTAGCAGATCAGTAGCACGTCAATGCACCGTGCAGAGCGTATATAAAAACGCAGTGTTGGCCGCACTTGAAACAGCAAGTGGTTAGAAAGAGTTCCTCACGTAGCTCACAGTCCCAACAACCGTTCCGCTCTGCGTTGTATCGGTGGTCGTTTGATCATCGCGATAGCCAGCAAATGAAAGCTAGACAGGGTAATACTCGAGTGGAAGAAGTAAACAGCACGATGTCAGGCAGTCATTTACCGGTTCGTTGCTTGGGCCTTCTGTGCTCAAGCCTGATGAATTATGCGACTTCCCTTGAGGGGTTGCATTAGGGAGATCGAGCAAGATCGGGCGCGGGTTCTGCATGAGAGTGCACTCACAACACATATCAACTATTGTAGTCATAGACTTTCAGTCAGATTTTATTACGACTGAACGACGCACCTCTAACACCGTTCCCGGCCCAGATTGACAAGAGCAAGAGAAATCGAGTTATTTGATGTGGGTATATCAACAAATTTACATCAAAGATACTAGATAACCTACATGGATAAATTCCAATTAGTTCCAAACAGCGAAAAGGATGCTATCGGACCTACGGTCAAATGGAAGCCAGTTGGCAACCATTCCACCGCTCACTATTAGCGTCGTTCTCCTATCGGCAAGCGTACTATAACTTCGTGGTGCGTTACCTGTATTGAAGTGGTAAGCATGATCGATAGAGTAAGAATAGAAAAAACTCAATTTTTTCATGATTATCCTGACCTAAATACTTGTACTGGATAGGGCATATCACTGTGCACGAGCAAGTCTAACTCCATACTTATGTGAACCTGTTCCCCATGACCCGAGCCTCAACGGCAATGCATTCGAAGTTACTCGTGACAGTTGTAAAATAACGCACAGTGAAAAAATAGCCCGTTGTGCCAGTGGGACTGGGCAAAAAAGCCAACGCACGTCATCCAGAAAATCAGGATGTTTCGCCTTGTTGGTAGTATTTCCTCGAACTGTCGGTGCCAATATCACATTCGCAGCTACAGCAGGCTGAAGGGCACATGAGTACGACACCAATATGTTTGGATATGAGCAGTCTTACATGTTCAGAACGGTTTCACATTATGCACAATTTGAATGTCCAAGATGAAGTCACTGCCGTTGAAAGTTAGCACTGGCAGCAGGGATCTCGTTGGTTGATCTTTGTAGTTGATTTCGATCTGCAAAGAGTCGGACCTCTTTTCCAGACTCGGATCAGCTCAAAGGACAATTTCAACTTGCACAACATGAAGTATAGGAATAAGGAACCTACAGCGGAATCCGATTAACCATAACTTACGTAATGAACAAGGTTGCACTTGGAATGCTATGACTTGATTCAACTTCTGTTGTTGGTCCATCAATATTCGATATTCAATGTATCGTTACAAGGCAGTGCCAACTGTCTCATTGTCGTTGAAGAAATGGTGGTTCAGATACGTGGGGGAACCATGCACCAAGCGACTTGCTTTCAACGAAAAATTTATAGGAAAAGGCCTTGCAACAGTTGCGCTCCTCAAACTCAAAGCTTGCCGAACTCGACTCCAGTGGACGTGAATCCACTATCATCCATCCACAGGCTCTGCAACTAGCTCGTGAAAACCTCCATTCTACTATACAAGAACAGAGGCGTCAAGATTTGCGCAGCCTGTTGCCTCGCCGACATCTAGTTCGAGTAGCTCCCTGGCCATATATACGTGATGCGTCAAGACTCAACCTTGCTCCCAGTGTAATCGTTCTCAATCCTGCTGAATCCTCGACAGTCCATCCGTCGCTGACTTTGAGCCCCACCGCTTTGGCAAGGAGTTCTATTCAGTACCATCCAACACATGCAGTTGACAGATCTGGATGTTATGGATGCTATCGTGCATTTGAATCGGACGGCGAGATCTTGTTGCGGAGAAATACGAAGGTAGTGCTGTCTTCAAAGTAGCAGATGCGAAGGCTAAACTCCTGGAGCTTCCCGAACCCGTCGCACCTGTCGCATCACACTCATGTCAATCGAAAATGAATCTGCAACTCGCATGCATCGACCGATTGCGCAATACGAAATACAACTGTGCATGTATAATTGGACAACTAGTTCCAGCTCTGACGCAATTTAACATTGGTTTGCCCAAATCGATGATCCTCCAGACTACCAGATATGTTCCGTGCAGAGCTCCAGAGCAATACGGAACACCAAACGCAGGCTCTCCAAATGCTCCCTGCACATTTCCCGTGCTACACAGTGACACTACCCCTGGTTGACACATATCCTCGCTCATGGAAAGCGATCGTAGTCACGCCAGTTCCTTCGTCGGAGTCGGCTACCAGCTTAGCGTGATATTCCCGAATGCTGAGGACGAGACGTGGTCCCAGCACAAACATCTGCACAAACTGGGCGATTTGGAAAACGCCGTAATAAATACCAGATCCCACAGTAGTTGCGTCCTATGGAAATGATGGGTGGTCAGCAAGTGATCAGATGCAGATGTTAGTCACATATTGGCGCACTTCGAAGGTGGGGGATAGTGTGCCGAGGTTGAAGCAAGTCATAGCAACAAAGCTAGCATATGCGAAACTTCAGTGGAACAGGATAATAACTTACAAATTACCGAACTCACCCTACGAAGTATGGTACATGACTTCTTATCAACACCGTGAAACAGTCTTCGATGGTCGATCCTGTCGGTGATTGTTGCATCTCACGGATATGTTTCATAACAATCCAGACGGCGAGAAACAAGGCAATGACCTCCCATACAAGGGTAGGTACGAACATCTCCTGGTTCAGCTTGCTACCGCGGCTCAGACACATACGGTTGCCAGAAAGGACAACATCCTCTGGTATTCTTGCGTGAGTTTCATCCGCTGAAGGCTTTCGTCCGTAATTGAAACTCACCCGCTGAAGCTCTGGTGTTTCCTATTCCTGTCATAACTCCGGAGGCGATCGTGCATGCCAGTAGGGTTACACCAAGGAAGATGAGCATCTTTTTGGATCCCTGATACATAGCATGTATCCGAATAGTCATGATGACTTGCATGGTATTTCAGTCACTTAAATATCAATAAAGTATCCGGCTGAGCTCACCCCCTAGTATGGCATCGACGATGACAGGTATCCATATCTGCATGAAGTAAAGGGTATTGCCTGAAAAACTCGGTGAGCTATGTGCACTGGTGGACTTGATGCTTCAGATGAACTTACACCTGTTGCAGTCGTTATGTTGATAAACAAGCCGGTCAAGAATATCACTCACTCCTATGTAGGAGTGCATTAGTACTTGGCTGGGAATAGCGGACAGCGGTGCAGAATACCCACTGCATCTGTAATCGAGACTGGGAGATTCGCTGCATGCCACCAGTCAGGAGGAGCGAACATATTTGGCTCGACACATACCAAGTATGTAGACACTGGTTGTGATAGATGGCTCATTACCACAGTGCAGTATCATCTAGTTAGGGACGAAAACGTACACACAATATAGTATTCCAGCGCAGCGCACCTGGTATATGTTAAAGTCAGCACAACTTGGCAGCCACACGTATAGCATAAGATACGTACACAAACATAGAGAACAGTCAAGAAGGACCAGCGTCGCCTCTGTCCCGAATCAATTGCATTAGCCTGCTGCGCCTCTGAAATAGGATTTTGCTCACCCAGACCAAATCAAACTGTTCAAGGATTCTCAGTGAGATGGCCGCTGTGTCGGTAACAACAATAACTAACTAACCTCTTGTGCGAATGTCAACACTTGAATACATATTGATGTCAATAGTAATCCCCTCGAAAAGTATCACCCCACTCACCCCAATCGTATACCACTGCAGTAGATGATGCAACTAAACCACAGTCAAAAATAGCGAGGTTAGTCCTCAACATCATCCGCCTTGCATGCTCTCCACGAACCTACGAAATAATTAAATATATAGCACCATTGAATGTACGGCCACCAAGCGGGATTATTTGAGACATGGGACATGTTGGGACTGGCGAACTTGACATCCTCAAGCTGCAGACACTGATATACCACGATCCAGTCGGCCTTATTAATATTCCGAGATTTGTGAGTCCGTTGATCATTACGTTCAATCTTGATTGAGTTGATAGGCTGTGCCAATCGGCACACGACAGGCACTGGTGCGTTTCCACGCCATGGAGCTAGAAGCCAATGACCTGACTTCAGTCAAAAACATGGGCGTGATTGTAGGCGATTGTGCGTTGTGAAGCCAAAGCTATGTATATATTATACCTCGCCTTCAATTGACACTTTCGCTAACTTGATGACTTAATCTATCAGGCCTCGACGCCCAACATGGTCACAACAGCAATCCATACTGTAAGTATGACGTACAGGATATTGCCTGAATTACGGATGGGCGTTAGCCTTTGGAACTTGGACCATGATGCTGAGATGGACAAATTGGGTAAACAATGGTACCGTTGGATTTCATAGCAGTGCAGTTACCAGCTGTGTGGCTCGACGGATCATGATATTGATGTACATGCAACTTGAAGGGTCAGGGTAACTTATGCGAGACATCGGATGGCGGAGAGGCAGACCCAGTGCTGCATAAGAAAGGCTGAGTCGCTGTCAACTTCATCCTAACGGCGCATCAGGGAATATAACTTCATCGATGTGTGGTATCACGGCATATCATCAGTACTGCTCATCCTGTAAATTCCTCATATCACCGAGGGTTTCTCTTTCCACCATCCGATAAGAACGTAACGACGGACCAGAAGGGCCTCTGTTGGTAAGGTAATTCTCTTCTCCATGACTGCGCCCGAAAGTCAAGACTGCCAGTACTGTATGCACGCCATGTATCTCCTTCGCTGGAAGGATGTCAGGCGTACTGAATGTAGATATGTGCTGTGCATAGTAGAGCAAGAGATGGGTAGACCAGATGCCTCTTCCGGGTTCGATTGGTGGTATTGAGGCCGAGCCAATCGAGTAGCACTCAGTGACCAGTGTTCCCTCAGCCCTGACACGTTGCTGAGCTGTGTCATGCGCAGACATAATAATGACTCCAATAATATTCTCCCATCGTTCTGGTAGTTGATGGTGTTTGACACCAGTGTTGTTACTAACCCGTTAAATCAGTTATAACTTAAACCCGGTTATAACCGGTTAAGAGGTTAGTTAAATGGATCTGTGATTTTGGGAGGGTTAGTAGGGTTAATGTACTAGGAGTTAATTGGGTTAATACTAGGAGTTAATTGGGTTAATTGGGGGTCACCAAACTTTTAATCGTTATCATCAATCTCTCCGATTCTCTCTGTGCCAGCGTCCTGGGACTGTATTACCTCTCCAAGCCGCTCCGATGGGTAGGGAGAAGTCCTGGATGTGGGATCATTTTCATCAGGGGACTGCGAAGGTTGACAAAGTGCACTGGCAAGCACGCTGTAAATATTGTGTCAATGTGAAGGCTAAAGATCTCGCAAATGCTGATCAACAGGCTGTTGCACACGGAATACTGCAGGCTGTCAGAACTTTCACAATTTTGACGCAGGAAGGTGAGTTTTTGTCAATTGATGCCATGTAACATAAATGATTAATGTATACCGTATAACGGACTCAAACAGCATGCGACAATGTCCCTTATATATTGCCGGAAAGGTCGAAATCATGGCAAAAGGAATACATATCGGGGTTAGGACAAGTAGTTGAGGTTGAGGATGACATCTCAGGCATTTCGGATTCGGAAAGTAGCAGGCAACGACAAATTCGTTGCTTCTTCAGTCAGAAGAGAGTGTTTCGCATCCGCGACATGTTCAATTGGTCTGTTGAGGTTGGATGGGACGATTTTTGGTTCCAGGGTGTGAAAAACATGGAGAGTGAGGCTTTATTCTACGAGCTAATGTCACGCCTGCCCGAGGATGAAAAAAGTACTAGTAGGAATGTCCCAGGGGAGTCATCAGGCATGGGAAATAGTCCATCGAGTTCAATCGTTATTGACGACTCAGAGTAGCTAGCACTTTGAAGTAATTAACTGTTTTTAACCCCATTAACCCCAGTTATTTCGCGGTTAATTCAAATCAAGACGCACCAGTTATAACCTATTCAGTTATAACCCGGGTTAATAACAACACTGTTTGACACTGCATCAGCGACGAGAAGGCCGGAAGAAACAGTATCAAACTGTCGGTGTCAACATAATACTGTCATCACTGTAGCCACAGTAGGTCAGAGGATACATGAGTAATACACCGTGATGGTTGGATAGGAGTGGCCTTACATGTAAGACCTACTTCGCGTCCTGTACAACGCCGCCATGTTCAAGACGCACAATTGAACACTAATCACTTGCACAAGTTCCACTGACCACCCACACTTGCTTCGTTGGTTGACTTTTGTAGTTGACTCCGATCTACATAGAGCTCACCTCATGAGCTCCGATGTAAAGGACAACTTCAGTATACAGGAATCACCTCTAAGTAACAGACATGTGGCTGCAGCGGGATCCGATCAGACAAAGACCTTCCGCTTACGTAATGAGCACAAGGTTGCACGAGGGCGTGCTTTGAGATGAGTCTGGTTGTCATCTTTTCAAGTTACAAGATACAAGTCTCATCGTCGTCGAGCAAATGGTGGCTCAGACGCGTGCAGGGAACTCTGCACCAAAGCGACTTGCTTTCAACGAAAAAATTGTGGGAAAAGGCTTGGCAACAGACGCGCTCCTCAAGAAACTCAAAGCTCTCCACACCGAGCTTGCCGAACTCGACCAGGAGCTCGTTGACGTGAATTCACTATCCACCGTCCGCACACAGCTCGTAAATACCTCCATTTTACTACACAAAGACAGAGGCGTCAAGGCCTACGCAGCTTGCTGTCTCGCCGACATACTCAGGCTATACGCGCCCGACGCCCCTTATACTCATACCGAGCTCAGGGACATCTTCCAATTCTTCTTCAGACAACTAGCAACCGGCTTGAGGGGCGCAGAGGCATCATACTACAATGAATACTTCCACCTCCTTGAGTCCCTATCGACGGTGAAGAGCGTTGTCCTCGTCTGCGATCTACCACATGCCGAGGAGCTTATGGTCGACATATTTCGCGACTTTTTCGGTCTGGTACGACGAGACCTTGCAAAGAAGATCGAAATTTTTATTGCCGATATCCTCGTCGCGCTCATAGACGAGTGTCAAGCACTTCCGTCCGAGGTATTGGAGACTATTATGGCGCAGTTCATGGCCAACGACACGGTAACTATTACACCGCCCATCCCATTACTACCTCCACTGAACTTGCATTTCCTCAGCAACCTGCATATCGCCTTGCCGTTCAAGTTTGTAATGCCACCGCGGACAAGCTCCAGCGGCACGTCTGTCAATATTTCACGGACATCATCGTCGCGCACTCCCATGAATCAGATTCTGAGTCCAACTTCGAGGAGATACGGAAGGCCCACGAACTAGTGAAGCAGCTGAGCAGGTCCTGTCCATCTTTGTTGCACAGCGTTATCCCGCAACTCGAAGAGGAGCTTCGTGTGGAGGAGGTGCAAGTGCGTCTGATTGCCACCCAGGCACTCGGTGAGATGTTTTCGGAGAAGGGTGGGGCAGAGCTTGTTAAGAAATACCCCACAACGTGGAATGTATGGTTGATGCGGAAGAACGACAAGACTGCAGCAGTGCGATTGAAGCTTGTAGAGAGCGCTAAAGGTCTTTTGGTGAATTTGCATGATCACCGGGAAGCTGTAGATGGTGAGGCCTCTCCTCGTCATCATATTATCTATGCTGATGTGCGAGTAGAGCTAATGAGGCTCAAGTTGCTCGATCCTGACGAAAAAGTGCGTGCGGCGGTTTGCAAAGTGTATTCGCAGTTAGACTATGAAACTGTATTGCACTATGTTTCCGAGGATCAGCTACGTTCTATCGCTGGTCGTGGCATGGACAAAAAGGTGTGTAACACGCGTCGGTTCTAGTGATTTAATTAAGCGGTATTCCAGAATTCAGTACGAGTGGAGGCACTTAACAGCCTCGGCAAACTCTATAGCACTGCATATCCTGAAATGTATGGGTTTGCCTCTTCATCGGTATCAAGCCCCTGACCCCATCGACAGCGAGAACAACGATCCAGCAGCGATCAGACACTTCTCCTGGATTCCAAACGAGGTTCTTCACATCTCCAACTCCACACAAGAGGCAAGGTAGAACTTCTGCTTGTCCGCTGCATTTCTTGTTTTCATTGGTTATCACAGGCTTGCAGCAGAGCAGGTTATTGCAGACTTCGTATTTCCGCTCCCTTCTGGTTCTTCAGCGTCAACATCAAAGAACGTTGATGTAAATGAGGTCGCATGGACCGATCGACTGCTGAACACAATGGGCTACCTCGACGATCGGGCGGTTAATGCCGTGCTGCTCCTAAGTGGCATCAAGGGTAGCAGACCCTCGCCATACGAGTTATATCTGCAAAGTTGTGTACAACACAATGTGAGTTCAAGCCTTGGCTGTAGTGGGACTGACCTCCATCTACACTTAATTAGGGCGGTGTCATCGACGAGGATGAGGACGTTGTCAAACAGCGACTCAACAACGTCATCCGCCACATTTCCCGTAAGCATCGCTATTTATGTTCATCACCACATAATTGATCTCGCCGCAGGACAATTTGGGGATCCTCAGAAAGCAGCAGAGGACCTGCATGCATTTGCAAGGACAAACGAGAACAGGTCTTACAAGTTACTTAAGACATGCTTGGATACCCAGACAGATCTCAAAGGACTCGTGAAAGCGTCAGTAAGTATCTGTTGTACTCAAATTTAGACTCCGTACTCACCCTGCACGAAGAATGAGTTCCTTCGTCGGATTGAGTCAAGTTCGGAATCGATTCTAGGCACCATGACCGTATTCCTTCGACGGGCAACGCTTCGCATAGTTAACCAGTCATCTATTCCAACCTTGATTAAGCGTGTGCAGAGAGCAGATTCGAAGCATGCACAGACGCTCTTGACATACTATCTCAAAACACTGCCCTGCTCTGTACAAGCCCCATACTAGCGAACTGACAAAGGCGATCGCGGACGAAAAGAACGAACGGCTCGTAGAAGTAGGTATGCAGGCACTCGCAGCGGTTTCACAGAGCGATGAAGCGTTAGCAGTTAACGATAAGTGAGTGGTCCCTTGGTCATTTGCTCGTTATGGCGCTCAATGATAGCACAGACGGACGCTGGAGCGTGTAATGCGCTATGTTTTAGGTTCAAATGCTCGCGTGGCGAAGTTTGCTGCCCGAATATTGGTAGCCTCTAAGGAACACGATGATTTGTGCGCCGAAGCTGTGGAGGTGAGCTTGCGGGGTTTGATTTTGACTGAGCGCTTATCCTAGGACCTTTTAGTCAATAGCGAGGAAGTTGTCAACAGCAGAACCCGATCTACTTGTTGCACATACCGCCGTTCTTGCCCAATTTGCTCGATTGGCGCCCGATGCATTTGAGCGCAAGAGCGACGTCTTGATGGCCTTTCTCGTCAAGAAGTTGCTCATGGTACCCAGTCCAGCGGATCCCTGTGCGTAGTGATATCATTCCGTGGGCCTAAAAGACGACGACTTGCTGATATGTGATGCTATAGGATGAGATGGACTCAGATGCCGATTGGGTGGAGGACGATGACGTACAACCTAGGCTCCGCGCTCGAATATTGGCTCTCAAAGTGTGCCGCAATCGATGTCTTGCGCATGCATCTACAGACACAGCTCTTGAAGTTGCCACTCCTGTCTTGAAGATGCTGTCAACTCTGCTTGATCATGCTGGCTCGTATTCAGCTGACGCAACGGACGAGTCAGTGTCGCATGTCTTTATTAGGGTACACTTTACTAACTCTACGGTTGGTCGTTGACAGTCCGAAGGTCAAGTCTCGCATGCGGTTACAGGCTGCGATATCTCTTCTGCATTTGTCTGTAGTAGACAAGTTCGCGACTGCCATCAACACGAATTTCATCTCGCTAGCCATTACCGTGCAGGTATGTTTGAGCCGTCTGCATCAATTTGCACAAGTTAATCTGGTGTAGGATCCATGCTATAATGTTCGCATGGAATTTCTCATGAAGCTTTTCCCCCTCCTTACTGCACGCAAACTTCCCCCGCGATACAATCTTATACCCTTTTTGACCGTGCATGATCCTGAGGCGGACGTAAAGAGCCGGGTTAGTGATGTTTTATGTATTATCGTACCTGTGTCTGATACCGTTGCAGGCCATCTCCTATGTTACACACGCATCACGAAACATATCCGCAAGTGAGTTCTAATGATAGTGCATCTCGAGCGTCATTGACGGACTTGCGTCTCCTTAGCTGCCAAAGTCGACCTGTTCGAAATCATATTCATCCGCTTGCTGCATCTTCTCGCACATCACCCTGATTTTTCAAATGCACATGAAAATTTGCAAGAAATGGCCAAGTAAGCTGCATTCCCTGTGACATCTGTGGGGGCAAGTGGAGATGCTGACATTTTGTATAGATACATCGACTTTTATCTGGATTTAATAGCATCTGCCGATAATGTGTCCCTGCTTTACCACCTTGCCATGAAGGCGAAGACTGTTCGTGATGGACAGTCGCATACACATAGCGAGGTCCGTGCTGGTGTTGTCTGTCGAGTCTGTGATATTAATGGTGGTGCTGCTTTTAGAATCTTTACGCTATGAGCGAGCTCACGCAAGAGCTTATCAAGGCCCGCGCACAAGCACGTTCCTGGAGTTTGCAGAGCTACCCGGGAAAAGTGAAACTACCTTCGGATATTCTCCGTGCACTACCAAATCCGGAGGCGGCCACGAAGGTCATAGCACTTTACGTAGGTTAGCTCAAAAACTGATTATTAGCCTTTTTCAGATCTTGAAGACCGTTTATCTCCCTGAGGAAACATCAGCTTGGCTTTTAGAATCGTCCAAAACACAGAAGCCTGCGGGCACTTCCAAAGTAAGCTTCCAGGGCTGTGGGGGTGTTGAGTGCACCTGATCATTTGCTACGATAGGAAAAACGACGTGAATCCCGGGAACCCAAAGATTCCAAATCCCCTCCAAAAAGGAAGGCGTCACGGCACAGGACCAATGGGACCACCAAGTGAGGATTCTCCATCTTACGGTTATTGAATGTATCTGATGCCGTGTTCAGACGTGCAAAAACAGCTCGATGGAACAGTGATCAGTCTGAATCCGAGGAAGAGCCGTCCTCGGATGATTCAGAGCAAGATGATAGGGAGGACACGCCCACCAAGCCGAGCTCGGAACGTGAGGACGGGTCTAGTGGACAAGAGAGTGACAAGGAAACGAACGAGAAAAAAGGGGAGCAAAATCGTAAGCCAAGTCGCAAGGCGGGGACGCGTGCAAAGGTGTGTTGGACCTCTCGTTACTGCGCCCTGTCGAGTCTGACCTTACTCTCACAGAGGAAAATCAGTAAGCAGGTGAAGAAGAAGGGTAATCACGCGAGGAAGTCATGATTTTTTTTATTTTTACTTTGCTTACTTACGCCCATCAGTTTTGTGCTGTAGTTTTTGTCTATCTTGCTTACTCGTTTGTACTGCTTTGTATCCCCACACCGTAATCTGTGCTACACATGAGTAATCTACCCCCAGAGCTGTGTCTTCGAAATCTATATGCCGAACTTGCCGAGGTCCATCTCACGGTGCACGAGTGCCTCCACAGGTCCATGAGGCTGACTGCAGTCAACGTTCTCCATACAGCAAGTACGCAAACCTTCCGAACTAACGTCAACGCACTCTTCACGCGCTCAACGTGAGGCAAACGCAACAGCCTCGTCCCTGAACCTCATATACCCTTCAGGCTGGCCTTTAGCGACTTGGACACCACCAGCAAATGGCACCACCTACTCTAGCACAAAAGGACAAGAAACTATTCGCTGATCTTTTAAGCCAGTATGAAAACAGACAGCTCACCAAGGGCAGGAAGACAGCCGATCAAATACTCAAAAAGTATCCCGAACATGGTGGTACGTCAGCCTGAACTGACGCTCGCACCTTTCATAGCTGATTTGCAGTGCTGCAGAAACAATGTGCATGAAGGGTCTGATTCTGGTGCACCTTGGCCAGCGCGATGAGGGCATCAATCTCGTCAAGGAGGGCATGCGCAAGGACCTGTCTTCTCATATCTGCTGGCACGTCTGGGCGCTCATCCAGAAGAGCGAACACAAATACGAGGATGCACTCAAGTCGTACATCCAGGCGTTGAAGTTTGATAAGGTGCGCTTGAGTGGTAACTTTGTTGTTCTGGCGTGTCTCAATGCTTGAATCAAGGACAACTTCAATATCCTGCGAGATACTGCTGTCCTTCAAACGCAGACGCGTCAATTTGAAGGCCTGGTAGAAACACGTCATAACCTTCTCCGCCTGCGGCCTTACAACCGACATCACTGGGTCGGTCTCGCGGTCGCATATCAGCTTAATGGAAACCTCGCTGAGGCAAAACAAGTTCTTGAATATACTGAAGGGTTTCTTCGGGTACGTGCGTTTACATCATTGTAGCTGCTCACTCATATAGCGTATCTGCAGAATGTAGGATCTTACGATGTGGAATTCTCGGAGCTGTTGATGTACCACATTCGCATACTGGAGGATATGGGCGACTTCCAATCCGCGGTAGACATGCTCGAGTCACATGACAGGACCAAAGGCGGCTCTGTCCTGGATCGCATGGCGGGCACGGAGGTGAAAGGTGTGATTACATTCCGCTTATGTCTTGAGAGAACTTCATTCTTTACAGCTCGCTTATTGACAAAGCTGAAGGAAAGCAACGCGGATGATGACCAAAAGACTGCTTGGACGGAACGGGCAGATGCTGCTTGGCGCTGGCTTCTGTCACAAAATGCCGATGGCTACGAGTACTACAAAGGGTTCCTTGCTAATCAAGGCATCGACCTTGGTGGGTGCTACTTTGTGACACTTTCATCTAGTGTAATGACGGTTTCCCAGCTAATGTCACTGACGAAAATCGGGAAAAGGCGCTTGAAATGCTCCGTGGCTACTTCAATGTCCAGTTTGCTACCGCTCCTCATCGACTGGCTCTTCATGTGGCCACTGGACAGGAATTCAAGGATCTAATCAAACCCTACCTGACCAACGCGCTCACGAAAGGGATTCCCTCCCTCTTTGCTGACCTTAAGCCGCTGTACAGGGATCCGGCCAAGCGTCAAATAATCGAAGATACCGTGGAAGAGTTTCGTTCGACCTTGGCGATCCCATCCCCTTCGACCGGTGATTCTGTTGAACCAACAACCCACTTGTGGGCGCTATATCTCCTCGCACAGCATCACTCCTACCTAGGGCGGCACAAACAGGCCTTGGAAATATTGGACGTTGCAATAGCACATACTCCGACACTGCCAGAGCTCTATATGACACGAGCCCGCGCGCTCAAACGGGCGGGCGACCCGCATGGCGCTGCGAGGGCCATGAATGATGCTCGTCTGTTGGATGGGCAGGATAGGTTTATTAACACAAAGACGGGCAAATATTTGCTAAGGGCTGGCATGGTTACTGAGGCGGACACTATATTCTCCAAATTCACGAGGGTGAGTGTGTCACATGGCATGAAGATGTCTTCTTGTCGTTCATTCATTTCCGGACCTAGGGAGGGGCGTCTGCAGCGGTAGATCTGGAGGAGATGCAGGCAATGCATTACCTTGTCGAGCAGGGTGATTCATATCGACGGGCTGGCAAGCTCAACCTTGCTTTAAAGAAGTACTATGTAATACAGAAAGTGAGCTCACTTAGTTTGTGTCTTCGTCTGGACATGGAGGCTTGACCCTCGACAGGTCTTCGAATCGTTCCGTGAAGACCAGTATGAATTCCACCAGTATTCTGTACGGAAAACGATTCTCAATGTTTACACCGAGTCAGAATTGTACGCCGTGGGTTTGATTTAATTGGCTGATGATACGCTTTTCCAGGATGTTGAAATGGGAGGATAATGTGCGGTCACATCCAGGCTTTATTCATGCAGCAGTCGCCACCGTTCAAGTGAGTTTTTGACATGTGTATATATAGACAATATCCTGATGTTTCTGAAGATATGGGTTGCATTGTACGACGACGCGACTCTCGGCCCTAGTCTTCAACCTGCAGGCGAGTAATGTGTTGCAGTTCATCGTCATTAGCTGATTGTCAGATCTAGAAACAACCGCCTCAGACGTTTCCTCCAAGAAAGCCATCAACAAGGCAAAAAAAGCTGCTCGTAAGGGGACAGCCCGAAGGAGACGGTGCAAACAGCAAAAAGGGTGAATCAACACGTCGTTCTGTAACCTTTGCATTGTCTTCTTTACGCAGCCGCATTCTTTCCGCAGCCACAGCTACCCAGACTGAAGACAAAGGCCTTGAGCCCCCCCGTCTGAGAGACGATGATCCAGAAGGCCTGAAACTGGTCTTGGCCGAAGACCCTCTCGAACGCGCGGACAAATATTTGACTGGCCTATCAGAGCTTGTGCCACAAAATATGGACATTTGCTTTGCGATATATGATGTCGCTATTCGACGAAGTAAGTCGCGTGTCGAAGTCTGCAGCAAGGGGATAAGCGTCTGATTCGGCGACAGAGAAATACTTGCAAGCAGTTAGGATGCTCACGCGTGCCCATTCGCTGGACTCCGAACATCCGGATCTGCACTCGCGGATAGCGCATCTGAGGAACACTGGTAAGATTAGTTGCAACTTCACGCTGTTATCTGACAGAAGTCCAGTTTCCTCATTGCCCGAGCCAATTCCCGCACCGGTCGGACCAGTGCTTGCTGAGTCCATTGCCTCACTACTTCCAGCAGAGGTTTCCCTTGAATTGTTCAATTCCCAATACCTCCAGAAACACTCTTCATCGCCGATGGCTATTGTAGCACATGCTAAAGTCGCGCAAATATTGAAAGCACCGCAAGACGAGGTTGACTCCATACTATTCACAACGTTGAAGGAGCCCGTCCAACTTGATCACGAGGTCCGTGTTCACCCCTTCTATCTGAACCGCCCATTTACATACGACGGGCAGGCTGCATTCGCGGTACTATCGTACTTGAAGGAAATGAAATCTCCACGCGCCGAGGAGTTCCGGATAGCGTGCAATGACAGATTCGAGCTGAGCACGTTGTTCAGGAGCGACGAGGAGATCGCTGCTCTCCGGAGATCTTTCACGGAATCGGGGGAGTCTCCGGCTGATGGCGAGGCCCTTGAGACTGTTATATGATTACAGATATCACACCTACGTACATACTGCTTTATCTTAGACCCAACCCTCCAGTCTTTGAGCCCGTTCGGAAGAGTGGCATCATGAACCTGTCGTTTCCGACAAATCTGTCCGAAGATACAACATTTCATACATGATGAGTTGACTGTTGCACTTTTGTTCTGTCCTCCGCTCATCTTTCTTTCCTATCTTGACATAAGCAGTGCAGTCACATGCGAGTCGTAAAATCCATTAATAGCTTCAAATGAGGAGGAATAAAATAGGCCTAGCTGGGCGCTCGCCGAGGGCATCGACGCCTTCGACGAATTTGGATTACATCCAAATATTGATGGGCCTTTCGAGATTCGGAACTTTCTGGAACTTCATCACTGATCCATATAATGCGCTAACTTGCCTGTAGTATTCATCACAGTTCCCCGTACTCAGAATTGGTCGTTACACTGTATTTACGAAAACTTCAAAACGACAGGAAAAAATGTTGTCATCATATTTGACCCCTATTTCAATCTTGTGCACTTTACCACTTGCCACAATATCAATGACTACCAATTCCAAAGTCTTTGATGACAGTAGTTCCATTGCTACTGCACCTCCTTCATATGACAAGATCTCAGCAAATCCCATTCAATGCAATCAATCATCCATATTTTCCTTTCGTCGCATGAAGCAGAAACGTGCAGCTGTTCTATCTCGCATCCGTGATATTGTCTTAGCCCCTAATTTCAACCCTTCTTCCGTGACCCCAAATCTCAATGCCTGCGCTGCTGCTCTCCCAGCTGCCGAGTTCTCCAACATCCTGACACATCTCAACATTGAGGGCCACACAGCACTGTGTTGGGCCATTGTGAATAATCGGCCACAAGCTTTTTGGGCGTTTGAGAAGTTCATTTCCGGTAGCACTTATTCCTCTGTTTGCGCGTCCGACTTGTGCATTGCATTCATGATAACCAGCAACAATGCAATGTTTGCACATCTAAGTTCTGCAAGTAGTAAGCAGTACACAGTAATGTCTACCGGAGAGACCACTGATTTTGATGCTAGCCATCGAAGACAGGCGTTTGAGAAGCTGTTTAGGTTGCCCGCCAGATGAGATTCGGGTGCATACATGCGATGAACCCACCAACCAGTTCAACGTTGTTATGCGAATCAGGATATTTCAAAAACGCCTGCGCACTATTACTGGAAACCGTTTGCAATACGAATTTGTTGCAGGGGGTGTGTAGTCCACGTCTCCATCGCTTTGTTCCTTCATTGATGTGATGGAACCCCTTGCAGGACGCATGTGGTGGTTTCGCTTTGCCTTGCTAAAGCCTAGTAATGGATTATGGAGCGCCGAGATTGGTCTTTGTCAGCATAGCCATCCAGCGCGTCTTGACGCTGTACTTTTGATCGAGGCACACAGCCGGAAACCTGGCCGTGCAACCCCGCCTGAAGCGCTGAAAATTCCATTGACATTGACAGGCACAAAGTTCCTGGCCCTTGCACCTTGGCGGTAGGCTGAATTTGTTCTGACTCCACGAATTGCGGTGCACTGATTGTCTTATCATCCACAATGAACTCTATCCCTTGTGCTTCCGTTGGCCAATGGCTACTAAAGTTCCACCTGGCGCATTGACTATGTGCTTCCTCCCAAAATGACTTGGCGCATATCGGAAGAGCTGGGCGATTGGGTAATGCACGAGTAAGTCTGTTTGTCAATTGAGGAGGCATTTCCTACATTTCTCCTTAATAAGTCGAACCGACTGACGTTGTGCTGTTATAGTAAGACTGAATATGTAGACCACGAGGGCACCCTACATGCGAAGCTGGAGATGACATTGTTATGAATCCAATAGTGACACTAGCCGATGTAATTGAACTCAACAAAAAGTGCTACAGTTTAATTGCCACAAACGATTTGCATAATTTCCGACGCTACGCGTGGTGGGTAACATAATCTCCCGAACAACGTCGAGCACGCTTGTCGCCCGTTCTTGTTAGCCTCCAGGAACCAAGACGGACCAAGGTGAGGGTGTGGGGCTTGATTGTGTAGTTGAACTCGCTGGACGGCTAGATGATCGCGGAGATGTGCTGAAGGGTGTACATGATCATGACTGGAGTACTATAGGGTGGCGCTGGATCCTAGTGCGGTTGAGAGTGGTTCGAGATATGTGTTTAGGAGAGCAAAATAAAGACGTGATGGTGCGCATTTGAACAGTTGGAGTCCGGACCTAAGCTCGTCGATGCATCAATCACGACTTAACACACTGGTGATTAAACAGTCAATGTGGGGCTTAAATTACTCAACAGCATACAAGAGCATTCAATCAGCGACTGGCAATGTTATGAATGCGTGAAATCGTGGATACCCTGGTGAGCACTGGAAGGAATGGATAGAAGAGGGCGTCATACGGATAAAGGAATGATCTACTCGCTGTCTTCAAGAACTTCCTTCGACTTCTTTGCCTTGGAAGCTACCTTTGCTTTCTTGGCAGTGGATTCTGGCTGCGAAGAAGCGGGCTGCTACAAAGGACTTTAGTCAATCCCTTTGGAAGAACAGAAGCTTGCCGATCTTGCGCCTCACGTTAGACTATTCTGCATTCTCCTCCTTCTGATTCTTGAACCTCGGCAACCTTTCACATACGACAAATTGACTGCTGCACTTTTGTTCCGTCCTCCGATCAGAGTCTTTCTTTCCTATCTTGACACAAGTACTAGTGCAGTCACATACGAGTCTTAATGGCTTAAAATGAGGAATAAAATAGGCCCAGCTAGGCGCTCAGGGCATCGACACCTCGAATTTGGATCACATCCATTAATGGGCCTTTCGAGATTCGGGACTTTCTGGAACTTCATCGATCACCACTGATCCATATAATGTGATGACTTGCCTGCAGTATTGATCACAATGTCCCATGTGAAAACTTCAAAACAAGGAAATACACTTGAGAAGTGCCGCCTGCGTCGGCAGAAACCTTGCTTGACCAATTAACATGACTGGTAAGTTATGGACCTACTTACAGTTACAAGTTTTTGGTTGGCGACTCATTGGGATCGAAAACTGCACTACAAGGAAGTAAGCACTGTGTGGTTGCAGTAAAGATGCATCCACTCACATCAGTTACGGTTCCTTTTGGTTGGTGACTCATTTGGATTAAAAGAGACAGTTCCCTTGCGAGGTGTTCCGGGACGAGGAGTGGGCGGAGAAATGACACGCATCATTACGATGTCAGTGGTGTACGTGTCAACACCATCGTTTAGTAATGAGCCTACCAGCATATATATCAGTCAAGCTTAAGCTGGTGGAGAGCCACCAAATCTTTCCAGATCAAGATAATTGCCCTCAAGGAGCGAGAAAATCTTGTCACAGAGCTGAACACCATGCGCACGACGGATAGGCGAAAAGGCCGGGCAGAGAGTGAATGTACTTGTGGTGTGAGCTCTCAAAGGCATCACAGCTGAAATGACACCAAGGTGGCGTATCACAAAAACGACGATACCGCACCTGTGCGGTGTCCAGTTGTGCTTATCGGGCACATAGTTGTATGACGACAGAGAATGAACTAGACGCCCGTGTATACGGGAAGTCAGGCAGGAGATGACAGTCATATAGTGCGAGTGTTAAACCTTGGGCTGGATGGAAGGAGCCATTCGACACATAAGCATCCTCAAGCCAAGGAACCACAAAAGAAGACAGATTACACTCCACAAAGCCATAATCAGTGGCAAAAACGGTATAGTCATCCAAGTGGTGCAGATGGAAGAACTCCACCTTTGCGTTGTAATGATTCAGAAGTTGGGGAAGGTGGGAAAAAGGGGGTCCCAGAAACCTTGTCAAGCAAGGTAGTAATACCCGACAGGGGAATCACATTTAACCCTAAATTCTGCCTAGTACGTGCGTTTTTGAGATGGTGTGATTTCTGCGTAGGGCTATGCCACTCGAGCATCCGTGGTAGTATACGCCAGGCTGGTCACGAGCCTAATTTAACCCCCTATTTCAATCTTGCACTCTACCACTTGCAATGACAACCAATTCCAAAGCCTTTGATGACAGTAATTCCATTGCTACCGCACCTCCTTCATATGAAACAATCTCAACAAGTCCCATTCAATAGTGGGATTCAAAGTAAAATTTTGAATATTCAAGAAACACGCTGAAAGCGCGTTGAAACGTGTTTGAAAGAATTGCGAAAATTTTTCAAAGTGTGAATTTAAACTCCGCTCGATTACCTTAGCCACGCATACAAGTCGACGATTAGGGGTTAGGGTTAGACGCAATGCCTCGAACATCCGTGCGTCAAGACCTCTTACACCAGCTAGACGCTGCTTCGCTGCAAGTTGCATTGGCTCGTATAGAGCATGCTAGACGTAATACAGAAGATTCTGAATCATCTGGCTCCGATAGCTCAATCCTAAGTCCTATGATTATATCTCCAATATCTCCTCTATCAGATAGGCTATGTCTGACGGTTCAACTAACTCAAGTACCGACTCCTCCGATATTGATCTACACTTTCTGCGCCTTTTGGGAGATATTGTAGCGCTTCATGATGAAATAGAGAGAGCATGAGTCCTCCATCGCCCTGACGAGCCCCCCATGCGTGCGCCGCAGATTCAGCTCTTACCTCATTTTGCTGCCCATCGCCCAGATCTCTTTTGCCAGAAATTGCGTGTATACCCTGACGTTTTCGATGACATCCTCGACTATATCAGCGATAGTCCCATTTTCCAAAACCACTCGAACAACCGTCAGCTTCCCATCGCCTTACAGCTTGCAATATTTCTAAATTGTGCAGGTCACTACGGCAATGCGATAGGCTAACGAATATGTCTGCCAATGGGCGGGTGTTAGCGTCGGATCAGTTACTAACTGCACCAATCGTGTCATGATCGCTCTACTCGAGCATCATGACAAATTCATCTTCTTCCCAAGTCTCACTTCGAATGACGCTGCTTGTGCCCGAGACTATGTCTCGAAGATCTGCCCACAATGGCGTAACGGTATCTTTGCTACAGATGGCTCTATGGTTAACCTCTGCTATAAGCCGGGGCTCTTCGGAGACACGTTTTACAACCGCAAGTCCGATTTCTCCCTCAATTGCCAGGTATGTCGTTTTTCTTCTCAAATTTCAACTGATAGACCTCTTATAGGTAGTGGTAATGCCTCATAACCTCCTTATAGTGGATTATTCAATCGGCCACGTCGGTAGCGCACACGACGCATATGCTTTCCACTCAACACGCGTTTTTCAAGAGCATGAGACGCTCCTTGGAGACGAGCACTGGATCTGGGCCGATAGCGCTTACCCTTTGGAGACCTGGTGCATTGTGCCATTCAAGAAGCCACGCAATGGTGCACTGAAGTGGGAGCAAAAAAAATTCAACTTTAATCTGTCTACGGTATGTGTATTATTTTTTTCGTTGCGTGTACTTACTAATTTTTGGACTTAGGTCCGTGTTCGTATCGAGCATGCCTTTGCGGCGCTCAAAGGCCGTTTTCAGTCCCTCCGCGAGCTTCGACATCCGATACAGACCGAGAAGCACCTCGAGTACACTTCGTACTGGATCATGTGCTGCTTGATCCTCCATAATATGGTCATCCGGTTCGAGGAACGGCGTTGCATTGACACTACAGATTGGGCCAGGAGGCAGGATGGGTCTGTAGAGGAGCAGGAGGAGGAGGATGTTGGCGAGGGCGGAGCCGGTGATACGACATACGCAGGAACTCCTGGACAGGCGTCTCGCAGTCGGTTGATGGACCACTTGCTTGTCACACTTGAGAGGCGGAGGCAGGCAGAGCAGGAGCAGACAAGGCGCAACAGGTAACAGTAGGGACATATACAACATGTAAAGCATGGACATACAACAATGAGATTAGGAATGCGCATATCAACGTGATGCGAATGAAAGACAAATGTATTATGAATTAAGTGGACGAGGAACCCCCCTTTGACGAAGACACTTCTTTCAGGTTGATCAACTCGATTTCAAGGCGAAGGGCAGCCGCCTTCTCAGACTGAACTTTGGCCTGTGCTTTGAGAAGACGAAGCTCGAGTGCCTTTGCCTCCTGTGACCGGGCGTGCACTGAAGCAGCTTCATCACGCTCTATTGCACCCTGGTCTCGTTGGAATTGGAGCTCGCGCTCTTGGCGGAGAGCATTGACTTTGGCGATTTTATACTCAGAGGAAGCTGCCTTTGCAGAGTAGATGTAACTCATATCGTCAGTGAGAGACCCCACCTGGTCAAGCACATCTGATGTTCCCAATTGAACGCGCCCTGAAAGGTTGCGCTTGTGCTGAGTTTGTCAGCGTGAGGGCTGTGAGTCTACACGGGATGATGAAGAGAACGTCCGTGCAGATGAGCTGGGGGTATTGGATGATGAGGATGCCATAGATGCTGGCTTTTTTGCACAAGGGGGGCCACTGATTCATGGCACGACTGACATGAGACTTGCCAGTGAAAGCCGCTTCACAGCGATCATACTCAGAGGCATGATTTAATGGCTTGAAGGTAGGGGGGGTGAGGGGGATGTTTGGTATGGGCGTTTGCTGCTTAGACGCCGTTGAGTATCGCTCTGATCCCCATAGTTATCTTCCTCCATCTCCAAGTCCTCAGCGCCACCATCCCAATTTCCCTCACCCATTGTGTAGTCCAACTCTTCAGGCACAGGGTCGTAGTCGTTATATGTAGGGTCATAGTTGTCATGAGCAGGGTCATAGGCCTCAGTAAAGGTGGCAGGTGGGGCGCTGTCAGCAGGAGGGTTGCGTATGTTAGAGGTGGTAGCGCGAGGAGCGTCATCATCCACAATGTCATCAGGATCAAAATCTAAAGCCCTCTCTTTCCCCTTTGGTTGTGAGCGTACCGCAGAGCTAGAGGCAATCAGTTTGGTTTTAGGTTGGGTGAGCGTGTGGAGGCCACCAGCACGATCTTTGCCAGGAACAGAGGAGAAGGTCTTCAGAGAAAAGGCAGGGTTGTCCTTCCACAATGCATCAAGGTCTTCGAACCACGGAAATTCAGATGCTACTTGCACTGTGGTTTTTCTAGTTTGATAAGATAATTTAAATAATTTAAAACAAAACTTACCTCGGAGATTTACTTTAGCCTGAGGGTCGAGAGGGTTGACGCCAGCACCAGTCATCCCAAACCGAGCAATTGCAGCCTTATACTTCCCCCTGAGACTGAGATTTTGTCATTAGTATGTACAGATGAGATGGGAACAAAGTACATACTATGCGAGGCGATTGGCAACAGCTTGTCCAAACTTTGGCCTATTCTCTTCTACAGCATACTGGGGCCCATATACCGGGTCATTGGCGAAGATATGTTTGGTGATTACAAGGTGGATTTCGGCTTTACTCCTGCCAGAAGGACGATCAGTGCTGATCGTCATGTCGCATTGCTTTTTGTTGTCGGAGAAGAGTATGCGACAGTCGGGTGAATGTACAGCAAGCCAGGATACAAGAGGGGTAGTGCGATCATGGTTGACAGTTTCCCATCTGATCTTGGAAGGGGCAAAGTTGGTATCATCCCCAGGAGTCGGAGTGGCATCTCCATCATTCAGATCTGCTGCATGTTGATATTGGGGGGGGGGGGGGGTCTGGATGGTCGGTACCTCCTCCTCCTCCTCCTCCTCCCCCTCCCCTCCCACGAGTCACAATAGTGGTACCCCCTCGCCCTCGCCCTAGCCCTAGCCCTCCCCCTGCCACGTGAAGGTTGCGGTGGTTGCGGTGGTTGCGGTGGTTGTGGTGGTTGCAGTGGTGGTTGGAACTGGCTCATATTCAGACCAGCAGATATTTGAGAAAGCTGTTGGAGGTGTGCTGAACGTCTTACAGCGGATGGGTGTATTGGGGGCATCGTTCATGTGTAGCATGAAGTTTTGATTTCAGACTCCGATGCCTGCTGCCGAGGTTCCGAAAAGTTTGCATGTTTGTTAACGCTTTCAGGGAAGTTTCAAGACCAGCTTTGAATCCCACTAATAATTGTCTTAGCCCCTAATTTCAACCCTTCTTCTGTGACCCCAAATCTTAATGCCTGCGCTGCTGCTCTCCCAGCTGCCGAGCTCGCCAACATCCTGACACAACTCAACATTGAGGGCCACACAGCACTGTATTGGGCAATTGTGAATAATCGGCCACAAGCTGTTCGGGCGTTTAACAAGTTCATTTCCTGCTATTCCCCTGTTTGCACGTCCGACTTGCGCATTGCATGCATGATAACCAGTAACCATGCAATGTTTATGCAGCTAAACCTTGGACGTCGTAAGTAGCACACAATAATGTCCACTGGAGAGACCACTTATTTGGATACTAGGAAGTGAACAAATACGTTTGAGAGGCCTTTTAGGTTGCCTGCCCGATGGGATTCAGGTACACACATGTGATGAATTCACCAACCAGTTCAATGTTGTTTTGGGAATCAGGATGTTCCAGAAACGTCTGCGCACTGCTACTGGAAATAAGTGGTACCACGAATTTGTTGCAGGGGGTGTGTAGTCCACGTCTCCATCGCTTTGTTCCTTCATTGATGTGATGGAACCCCTTGCAGGACGCATGTGGTGGTTTCGCTTTGCCTTGCTAAAGCCTAGTAATGGATTATGGAGCGCCGAGATTGGTCTTTGTCAGCATAGCCATCCAGCGCGTCTTGACGCTGTACTTTTGATCGAGGCACACAGCCGGAAACCTGGCCGTGCAACCCCGCCTGAAGCGCTGAAAATTCCATTGACATTGACAGGCACAAACTTTCTGGCTCTTGCACCTTGGCGGTAGGTTGAATTTGGTCTGACTCCACGAATTGCGGTGCACTGATTGTCTTATCATCCACAATGAACTCTATCCCTTGTGCTTCCGTTGGCCAATGGCTACTAAAGATCCACCGAGCGCATTGACTATGTGCCTCCTCCCAAAATGACTTGGCGCATATCGGAAGAGCTGGGCGATTGGGTAATGCACGAGTAAGTCTGTTTATAATCGAGGAGACACTTTTACATTTCTCCTTGACAACTCGAACCGACTGACATGCTGTTATAGTAAGACTGAATATGTAGACCGCGAGGGCACCCTACATGCGAAGCTGGAGATGACATTGTTATGAATCCAATAGTGACACTAGCCGATGTAATTGAACTCAACAAAAAGTGCTACAGTCTAAGTGCCACAAACGATTTGCATAAGTTCCGACGTTAACGCGTGGTGGGCAACATAATCTCCCGGACAACGTCGAGCACGCTTGTCGCCCGTTCTTGTTAGCCTCCAGGAACCAAGACGGACCAAGGTGAGAGTGCAGGGCTGGATTGTGCAGTTGAGCTCGCTGGACGGCTGGATGAGCGCGGAGAGGTGCTGAAGGGTGTATACGGTCATGACTGGAGTACTATAGGGTGGCGCTGGATGGTGCGGCTGGGTGTGTTTAGGAGAGAAAAATGGCGCGCATTTGAACAGTTGGAGTCCGGACCTAAGCTCATCGATGCATCAATCACGACTTTAATAACACACTGGTGATTGAACAGTCAATGCGGGGCTTAAATTACTCAACAGCATACAAGAGAATTCAAACAAGTTACATCAACAACTGGCAATGTTATGAATGCGTGAAATCGTGGATACCTGGTGAACACTCGAGGGAATGGATAAAAGAGAGCGTCATAAGGATAAGGATCTACTCATTGTCTTCTTCCTCTTCAAGAACTTCCTTCGACTTCTTTGCCTTGGAAGCTACCTTTGCTTTCTTGGCAGTGGATGCTGGCTTCGAAGAAGCGGGTCGCTGTAAAGAAGTTTAGTCAATCCCTTTGGAAGAACAGAAGCTTGCTGACCTTGCGCTTCTTGTTAGACTCTTCTGCATCCTCCTCCTCCTCCTGAACCTCTGCAATCGCCTCTGCAAAGTCCTCACCGGATTCTTCCTCTTCATCCTAGAAATCATGCAAGATGAGTTCACGTAGAGTAGAAACTAGTTTTATACATACTTTCTTCTTAGTAACTCGCTTCCTTGCTGGAGCCTTCTTCTCAGCTACTTTCTTCTCGGCAGCAGGTTTTCTCGCAGGTGCACGCTTCTTAGGTTTCTCCTCAGACTCTCCCTTATCTTCGGCGTCTGACGAAGCTGCAGCTTTCTGTAAAAGACAAAGTAAGAATTAAGACATTCAGAGTTCTGAAAATATCGTACCTTTACCCGAGGCTTCCTCGTAGGAGCCTTCTTTGGCTTGTCTTCAGCATCTTCATCTCCCTCATCCTCCACTTTCTTGGCCTTTGCAGGTGCACGTTTTCTCTTTGGCTTCTCACCATCCTCTCCACCTGCGTCTTTCTTGGCTTTTGCTGATGCCCTCTTCTTGGGCTTCTCTTCGTCTTCTTCAACCTCTTCCCCAGGAGCTTTCCTTGCTGTTTCTGGGATATCCTCGTCAGCAAACCTTGCCTTCCTCCCATGCCTTGCGGAGGCGTTCTTTGTCTTCGTCTTTGAGGTCGTCAAAACCATCGAGCTCATCGGCGGATTCAAATTGAGATTTCATGTTGGATATAATCTTGGCGGTCGTGCAACCCCAATGGCGCCATGAGCTGCCGAACGAGTGTTAGAAAGTAGTCTTTGAGTATGATATGTAACCCACTAGCTGGTGTTGCCCCTGAAATCGACGACAGAGCCAACACGAAGCTCCCCTTTAGCGATTTGAACTGCCTGTAGTAAATGTTAGATGGTGAAATATATTATTACAATTAACTGTGCGCACCAGCGCAGGGTTTGGGACCTGTCAATGAAACTGTATGAACAACACACAAAGTCAACAAATAATATGCCATGCCGCACCTTTGCATTTGGATCTGGCAGAACTCGCGTATTCCAGGCGATAACCGCTCTTTTTAGTGGTTCCCTCGTTGTCGGACATCGCTGAGAGTGTTGAATCTGAGATATTTCAAGTGTTGAAGCGGAAGGAAGATATGTTGGGTGGTTCGTCTCGACGCGACAGTTTTGTTGAATGGCCCTACACCTTCAAAGTCCGACCAGTGTGCCTGCCACACAGCGCACGGACCTGTATGTTGACCGCGCGTTTATTGTTTGTTGTATTGTGGAGACACTTCGACAAGAGCATCGCGGTCCTGAGAGAGATTTTCAGTCAGGCTTGTTTGGACAAACAGAACTCAGCATTTCACATGTGGCCACAGTGCTAGTACTTGGTTCTCAACTCGAACAAGGTGGATTTACAGACGGACAACGTCGTTCAAACAATTTTACAATAACCTCTCAACAGTCACTGGTGGAATGACCATTGTGCATTTTCAGTCGGAGCACTGTGATTTTTTCAAATTGTTCATTGCTATTCAGCATCAGCCGAGGCTTAAATTTACAGACGTCGGACTTGTCTTCAAGTTTCTGCAGGCTGTGTAATCGCTGAGGTTAGGGTTTATACTAGATTCATCACTGAAAACCAACGTTCCCCATCAAACCCTTATATATATACAGATTTAATAGGGATCCTCACACTAGGGAGCTTATAACGGACGTGATGGTGCAGTGGGAGTGCAACGCGAACTGCTCTGAGTGCGACGACTTAATGATGAAGCAGCAAATGCAAGACGGACCGGTCCCGCTTGACGTCGAAAGCTACCCCGTTGCACCAGAAGGACTGAACCTTGAGCGCTTGAGCACTAGTGCACATATACGTGAGACTGTATGTTCGGGATTCTTATATCAATTAATGCCTGCTGTGCTTATCTTATAATTCGTTGGTACGCAACCGCGTTCATTGATGGCCTCCTTCAATTTCGCTGCCTGGCCTCCACAGCTAACTCCAGAGCAATTAGAAGCTCTGACCCTCGCCGCAAACAACATACGCGCTCTCGCATGGATTACTATACCTTCCACCTTCCCGATTACCATCCAATACCCAACCACGCATACCAACCACCGCGATCCATGCCCCCCTCTCACTCATTCCCGCGCCCTTCCCCCGTGCGCAATTCCAGGCTGCAAGAGGGCTACAGAGTGTATATAACGTGCTCTACGCACGCGTAGCGATGGATACCCAATTCTTAGATACAGTGATGGGCGCCGAGGAGGGCCGTAGGCAAGGCGGATGAGTTCACTGGGACGCTGTGGAGGGGATGGAAGAAGATCAGGGAGCACAGCGTAGTACAAGTGGGTCTGAGACTTCTTTCTTCTGCTGCATGGCGGGGCATTAATGGCACGTAGCCGTTGCACCTCGGCCTATTTAGATCGGATTATATGTTGCATGCTGCGGAAGATAGACTTGCACTGAAGCAGGTCGAGTTTAATACTATATCTTCGTCCTTTGGTCCGCTTTCTGAGCGTGCGGCTGCTATGCATAGGTGTGTTCAGTTTCCTTGGTATCTTTTGTAGAAACTGATGCGGCATAGGAATATCCTGGCATCTACATCCTACTTTTCTGCATCTCCACATCTTACTGCAGACAATTTTCCAGAGAACAACACCACCTCTGGTCTCGCTGAAGGTCTTGCCAAGGCTCACGAGGCGTATGGCGTTCGAGAGTCAGTTCTAACTTCGTTCAAGTATGCATGTATTCGTGAACTCACGCCGACCCAGCGCGCGCATCTTGTTCGTCGTGCAACCCAACGAACGCAACGTTTTCGACCAACGATGGCTAGAGTATGAATTGCTCGAAAAGTAAATCCCCATATCTCCTACCATCTACAGACTAATCCAGCACGACAGGCATCAAATCCACGTCGTCCGTCAAACACTCGCCGACCTAGCCGTTTCTGCATCCCTCGACCCCTCCACGCAAGCACTCACCATCACCATCCCTTCCCCAACCAATCCCTCACCGTACGAAATCTCCACCATCTACTTCCGCGCATCCTACACCCCCTCCGACTTCCCGTCACCCTCCTACTACGAGACGCGTTTCCTCCTGGAGCGCAGCCGCGCTATCAAATGCCCATCTCTTCCCCTCCAACTTGCAGGCGGGAAGAAAGTCCAAGAAGCACTCACGCGCCCCGGGGTACTCGAGCGCTTCCTCAGTAACGAATGCGCAAAATGGGGCACACGCGCTCTTGATCTCACAGCGCACGCAGCAGACATCCGGGCCACCTGGATGGGCATGTGGGCGCTCGACTCAGAGGATGCTGATATCGCCGCTGCGCTTGATCACCTCCCGGTTTCAGGACAAGGACAAGGAAACGCACCGCCCGGAACACGTCTCGCCCACCTTAAGGCCCCGTCGCTCGTGTTAAAACCTCAGCGTGAGGGAGGTGGGAACAACGTCTACCGCGAAGCCATTCCTACGTTCCTAGACGCTCTGCCCGCTGAAGAGCGCGAAGCCTGGATTGCAATGGAGATGATCGAGACGCCACGCGGGGTAAGCGGTTACCTCGTGCGCGCATCTCCGTCGAGTTCGGGTACGGACAACGCGAGCACAGAGAAGAAAGTCGTACGCGCAGAGGTTATCTCTGAGCTAGGCTTTTTTGGGTATGCGTTGTTTGGAGAGGGGGAGGTGGTAGAGAGGGAGGTGGGATGGCTTGTGAGGACCAAGGGGACAGAGAGTAATGAGGGCGGGGTTGCGGCTGGGTTTTCGGTGTTGGATAGTGTGGTGCTTGTTTGATGCATGTCGTTTATAGGATAGAGGATGTGTAAATTTAGAGTTGGAGGCAATGGATTGTCGCTGGAGAGCAGTGACTCAACCTATTGGATCATGATGGAATACCTGGCTTTCCGATGTACTCAACAAAATGAGGAGCTGCACCTGTAAACCCGAAACCACACACACATGTTGGTGCGTCGAGTTCGCGTTCGCATCAAGTTGCGCCATCGGCGTTGCTTTGCACATTCGATGTATTCGATGACAAGTGCGTTGGTCCCACCACTTTTCGTCTTCATACTAACAATCCTCATCTTCTCGCGTGCAAGGTCGCCACCATCGGTAACATTCGAGCTCTTCCGGCCATGAACCCTGGCTTCACAACAAACCAACCTTTCGGGCCTCCACGAACTTTCATTGGTTTGGAGATGACAGGATGAACATCATAAGTATCCAAGTATGTATTGAGAACAAGCCTCCATGTCTGGTGCGAGATTGTCAACGGGTACAGGAATTGAGAGGAATGCTTTAGACTGTGTTGGGTATTGTAATGTGACATAGAGATAAGTGAGCGCCTATGCGGACCGCGACTAGCAGAATGTTGAAGACTGTACAAAATATTCGTAGTCCCTTACTAGCATCTTCCTGCCATACCAAGATGTTCAGACTGACTGCTAAACCTAGGTCACTCAGCACGTTTAAGAGGGGCCCGAATGATACCGCAGAGTCTGAACATCAGAGAGTGTGATGACTCGGAGGTGAGTCGCTGGGGGAGCCAGACAAGGGTAAGAAATGGTAAATAAACTAAAATAAAACTCACTTTGATTTGTTTCTGATTGAGTTTACGAACCCGGGGGATTGTCTGGACGCCATACGTCACAGAGCCAAACGAGACGACACCTTTGCATACATCTGTAACCGCTCCACCGCCTCCTCCAGGAACACCTCCCAACGATCCGAGTCTAGTTGGCATTTGAGCTCCGATAAGGAGACACCAAGTGCGGACCTGAGCACCAGCTCTGTCCAGATGCGATATGTGAGGGATGGAGGGTGTGTAGGGGTGGAGGGCGTCGTCTGGTTCTCCTTCTTGGCAGGATCGCCCTTCTTGTGCGCAGGCCCGTCCGGCGCAGGCTCGTCCTCCTCAGGCTCCTTCTCCTTGCCCTTATGGTGGCCTTTTTGCGCCGCATTTCCCGACTCTTCAGCCCGAACATCATCCGCCCCTGTTCCTTCATCAACAAGTTGAACCGCACCAGGAGGCGGTGGGTGTGGCGAATGAAGCGATTGTGGCATGGATGGTTGACTCAGAGAGGGCGAGATTGTTTGTGTAGTGGTGGTAGAAAGTTGGTGTGGGTGGTTGACTGGCGCAGGAGCTAACAATCATTCTCCACGTGACCTGATTTGTCCTTCCTCTACAGTGTAGAGGAAGGACAAATCAGGTCACGTGGAGAATGATTGTTTCTGTTGACGTCACGTATACACATTATCAATGTCATGTAGATAATGTCCATATTTGGCTAAAATGTGGCAACGCAAGGTATATACGTGTAGAACGCTATCCCCTATGACCAATAATTATCAAGGTGGCCTTCATTTGGCGTCGGCCACATGAATCATATTTTGTACTGAAGTGACGAAGCACATGTATGTTCGGCAAAGTGTCTCTCATTTAGCATTTCTAGCGCAGAGGCTCTAAGTATAGGTGTGAGGTGGGTCCAATCTAGAGGAGTTGATGCCAATCCATCACGTTTCCAAGAAGAAATATATGGCGTTATATTTGCACATTTATTATTTGCACGTTCCCGCACCTTGCGCGCTGCGCGTTTTGTCATCAGAGAGCTTGCACGTTGTATTCATGAGCTTGCGCATTTTATTTATGACTTCCCGCCTGTGTCCATGAAGAGCTTCGTCTGCAGTGACACTGGCACTGACTCAACACCACGTTTTTCACAAATATGATGAGTGCATCATGAATTAAATCTAGCGGTACTAAACACAAGTAAAACTACGGCTCAAAAATGAAAAAAGTGTATTGTACAAGTCGCTCAAACAACACCAACACAGCGTACAAAACGATAGTAGTACGATTAGTCCGATTCTAAAGCTAGTGACAACATTCACGATTCACACAAGACGCACAGTAGAACGAGACGGATTACATGACCCTCCCTCTATTGGTCGTTCTAGACGAACTAGGTATGACCTCACTCTCATCAGCAGCACGCTTGAGGAAGTTGCGGTGCCATGAGCGGTACCAATCGAATCCGGTTTGCTTCGCTGCTGGCCATAGTTCTTTCCTGCATGTGTCCCAATTAAGGAACTCTTTCGGCGGGGTCCACTTCTTCACAGCCTTGAGCGAGTCGCTGAAAACAATCGAATTGGTGAATTTAACAATAATCACCAAATAGTAGTACTTACAGGAGCTCCTCGTCCTGCGCATGCTCACTCTGCAATGTTCAACAACTGTATCACAGGTTATCTCCAGCATACGTCGAAACATGCGTTGGACTTTCTTGAGGGCCCCCTCATCTTGATTGGGGCAGAGTACCTGTGTGAATAGTCAGCATTAATGTTAGATGACTTTAAGGGACACGCACGGCAGTCACATAATAACGAGAGCTACGAGATTTCAGGTTCAATGGTTTTCCAGGGGGGCGGATCCACGTAGAAATGGTAACCGTTACAGGGTGACACCATGTATGAGAGAGCGACGCGAATCCACCATTTTCCGAATATGTCAACTCCTTCATCTGAACGCCCCTCTTAGCGAGATCCCTCTCAACACCCCATTCAAACGTGGGCAACGAATGTTTCTGCGCTTCAGAAATGTGGATATGAGTGGCGGCCAAGACATTTTCGTTCCGATCAGCAAACTTCTGCAGCTTCGTTACGGCAGCTTCAGAAGTCTGAGAAATGGACACCTCGAATGGCCAGAAGGGAAGGATGTCGTTACCCGTCTGGAATGTCAAAACCATGTCGGGTATTCCAAGGTGATAACTCTCGTCGCTAGGAGGGAGATCTGCAGTAGCAGGCGCGTCCACCATACACGCCATGTGGATAGGTAAGGAGACTTTGAAATCATCTGGAATGATGAAAGAGTTGACAGTGATCCCCATCGCGGTGCGTAAAGGGACCAGGATCGCCTCATGGATTGGGGAAGGCAGGGTGGCGACGAGTTGCTCAAGTCTAGGGATGTATGATGGTCTAAGGCAAAAGTATGAGATCAGCTCCATTTTGGAAAACGACGAAAAGACTCACTTGCAAACTAGATTATCATCGCATCCAATAACATTCAGAACATAATCATAACTTTCTTCTGAAACGTTTGAGAATATCTACCACGGCAATCAGCCTGAGAAAGATAAGAAATACGGAGCTTCTGGTACCTCAACTTCGGGCCCATCGCCACCGTTTCGAATTCTGCTGATAATCAGTTGGCACACACCTGCAGATACTAGTAAATAAATTGAATTGTCTGTAAGTTGCAACGAACGTACTAGAACTCTGTATGTTTGATTCCGCATTTCAATGTTTTCTGGCTTCAGCATTTCTGGTTTTGACTGGGGCACCTTTGGTACTTCCAGGTTCGAAGTTGACTCGACAACAAAGGCGGTGGCTCGATTTTTCACAAGACTTGTTGTAGATGTGGAGTGCCTCTTGACATTCTCTGGGGATGGTCCTTTAACTGATCCAGAAAGTAAGGGAGACACGCAGCTACTGTTGCACTGTAACAAATGGGTGGGAGGCATGATTTCGAAGGGTGGCTTCCTATTAGACTGTGTTTACACCTTATAAGCGAAAGCTGTGGCGTAAGCCGACGGCGTTCAGCTTTTAACCGGGGTTTCCCGCTGAAAAAAACAAACCAGGCCAAGGGTACTGACATCGAACTCCGATTGACAACAAATGTTATTATGAATCCATGTAGAAGATCTTGCCGGCATAAGAAACTCGATCACATTCAGCAATTGGTAAAGAGTGCAAAGTAATGAATGAAATCATGTATGTGATTGCACTATATAAGTAATAGGTAGTGCATCGCGAGGATGCAAGGTAGGAGTATGAGAAGATGTGATGAGTGTCGGATGAGATTGACGGTATGTACTGCAAAGCACAAGGAGGAACAAGAAATGAAATTAGCATGCCTGTCACTCAAAAAATAGACCTGGACCTGTCATGGTTGCAGCCAGATTATGGTGGGAGACCGGTATGGCAACTCTGAATCTTCAGATGAGAAAGGTAGCAGGGTTCTGAATCATCATATAATGAGAATCCCAAGGATTAATACGTTCCGGTGCGAAGGGGTCATCATCTTCTGTTTTGTTGCGCCACACAACATCATCCTTACTGACTGACACAAATTCAGGTGGAGGTGATAATTCATTCTTGAGCCCCAGGACGGCAGCAGGCACTTGACTGTGAAATGAGGCTGTTTCTAGTGATAATGGTGTAGATTAAATAATAAGTCATGAGCGAGCGGAATGGTGAACTTATGGAGGCTACTGGATTGAGTAGGCTGGGTTGACGGAGGGGCCTGAGAACTTGAACTTCCTGAGTCCATAAAGAATAGCGGAATGCTAGTGTCACTCGCTGTTTCTGAATGTCAAATACATACATGGGAAAACAGGTGGAGTGACGAACACGAATCTTTCTTGACTTTCTTTTGAACCACTCTCTTCACATCCAATGGTGATTCATCAGGAGAAAGAGCTCTTTTCACTGTGAAGCAGACAAGTAGTAAGAACATACATGATTAGTATAATTGAACACTCACTGTGATTAGTCCCCCTTGGCAATATAGCTGTCATTTTACCTTTGGAGTCTGAGTGCTTGACTTCATCATCAGTTAAATCTAATTCCATTAAGGAACTCGCGAGCTCGTTGTCTGACTTATAGTCGACTGAACTGTCCATGTTGGACAAAAGCTGGTCACTGCAATCATGTTTGGAATCTGAGCCTGCTATGATAGGTTGCGTGTTCCAGGATTCATAAACGTTCTCAGGGACTCGATTCCTTGTTACTCGAAAATTGAATTTGTTAGCACATAAATGTCGAAGCAATGCAAAGACACATGAACCTACCAAACCAGAGATGACAGTCATTGACACTGGCTTTATCTCGTCCCTTGTGTTTCGCAAGGTCACTTCCAGTTGGAAATGCAACATCAACAACTGTCAACAGCAGTCCGGTCTTGTTGAGGAGGCGCCAAATAGGTTTATCTTCTCGGGTGGGTGGTTGTGATGCTCGCTTGTCAACTTGCCCATCCAGGTATTCAAAGACCTTTGGAAACCAAGTATGTAGGTTTCTTGTGATCGTCGAATATGTCCATCCATTATCAATTCTAAATTACTGGTCAAGGTAGCACCCGTGGTTCCTCATAGCCTGTATTTCATTTTGCCCACCCTTGCCTGGGGCTTTGGTTTCTCTGAGGAAGCCATTCCTCTGTCAAACAATATAGTGTAAGTTTGATCTGTTGAGGGCACTACTTGACTTATGTCGACACCACAGGTTAGCATGGCGATTGACGCAACTCGAAACACAGTGGTCGTTGCTGTGGTATTACTAGAGGGAGTGCTCTGGCGTGTTTGGCTACTAACTGGGTATGGGTTAGTTTCTTTGCGATCCTAGAAGTTATAAAGTAAATTTTTGCACCAGCTGTTGGCCCATCTCGTACCTTGCGCAAGCCAGTCAATGGCGCAGGACCCTTGGCCAACTTATTGTAACTGGCAATCCGAGTAGAAGACAACATTGATAGGGCTTCTTCTCGGGCAGCGGTGAGTGGCAGGCTCCCTCGCTTCATGGTGACCAGCTTGTCATTAACACTTGCACCAGTTATTCGATCCATTATCTTCTTGACAGCGGCCGATGAACTTGGGCGAGGTTCATCTTGGACATTTTCTGATGTGTAGCCTGATACCTTGCGAGGGTGCTTGCTACGGCCATGACCACACTCCACACAATGAGCCTTGTCCTGTGACTTGGCGAAAAATTCCTCGCAGTCGCATGGTTGACTATCAGCGTCGACACCTCTACAATAGACGTGTTTATTGGTGAGGTCGCTCTCGCCAGCAGGATCCATGCAGTTACAGTGGCCTGGGTGAGTGAAAGAGGGTGCAGAAAAACCGTGACTTCAGGAGGAAGCGGCGGAAATGACCTGAAGTGAGGCTAATTGGCGGATTGTGTCCATATTTATATTTGCAACTAATTCTGAGATCACCACTGGTAGGATATGATATTCTGTACACGTATTTGCAGGTACTCACTCTCTACCAGCGGCTAAAAAATATGACAATACAACTGACGCTTGGCACCATAGCTTTGCTTGCTTAAACCATATCGATTCAGCAAGGGAGACGTGAAATTCTTTGGATCCACATCGACCAACGGGGATAGTCTCAAAAATCGGGTATTCATTACTTTCCCACTCGTCCGTGGTCAGCCTGCAATGGCATGGTGTGATATCTTCGGCTACAACTTCGGCGAGAACGGCAGCAAATTGCTGATGTGTTTTGTCATCAACGAAAGGTTTCCTTTGTGATGGAACACTGATGGCTTCATGGTGGACATGGTCCCTTTGCTGGTCATTGATTGACTGTACTATGTTTTGAGGTTCCTCGTCGTCGTCATCATCACTGTCTTCTTCATCCATGGGATGTCCCACTCCGGTCTGGTGTTGTCTTCGAGTTGCAGTATCGCCATGGACCCCATAATATTCTTCAATTACGTCAGGATGAATTCCTTCACAGTCATCTCGATATACGCCGAATTGCACTTGCCCCAAAAAACGTAAATCCTGTGTTGTCCCATAGTGTGTCAATGCCATAGTTATGTCAAAAATGCGACTGTGAGCTTACCTTCGGACTCTTATCATTTGTATCTGGACCACGTATTGGATGACAATTCCATTCCGCTTGGAAATCCAAGCAATCTTGATCGATTTCATCAAGAAATAGAATTTGGAGTAATCAAATGTGACTAGAGATGTCAGGGCGAAGCCTGTGGTAGTTCTCAAGTCGAGTAAAAAATGCTCTCCATCTCCGAGCAAACTGGGTGCCCACCTCAACCCACAAACGCTCGATTCGCGAATTATGGGTAGAACTGGTACTCAGAGTTAGCATGTGACTTAGTTAATCAACAGAATCAAGTATGACTCACGATCCCCACATGAATGATGCTCGGTGTGGTCCATTTTTCATGATCATATAAGTTGCAATGTCGAGGTTTTCTCCACCACGATCTCCTCGCACGCGAGAGGGTGTCCCAAAGTCTCGTGTTGCATGCTTGAAAAGGTCTAAGACAGTGACTGAGCGGTTATTATTACTTGCTCTAAGTCCTGTTATCTGATGAGAATAGACATTAGAATCAAATACGGAAATGAAACACATCAGACTCGGACCGTTCTACAAAACCCATCAATAAAACCATGAATCACGATTCCCCATCGGATTAGCTTATGATGCCCGTCTACATGCCATAAAGCATTGGGGCGCTCCACATGGTATTTTCGCCTATGCTTGACTCGACGATCTCGTAACACCTGACCCAAGCCATCCACTCTACGAAGTGATTCCACAACTCGAAGATGCTGCACTCAGAGACCATGTCTGCGAAGAAAACCGATTATGTATCTGATGCCTGAGTCCGGTCGCTTTTTTTTTGAACTTGCCAACAAGGATATCCAGATCGCCATTGGTAAGTTCAGAGTACTTTTGTGCAACTCCATGGCCTTTCATATAGAGTCGCAGAGTATTCCTGTGGAGTCCCAATGTCTTAGCAAGTCCTGTCAGGTTAATCTGTCGTGAATTTGAAACTGCTTCAGTGAGGAATTCAATGTCAATAATTTTCTTCAGACGACCTGCATGATTCGTGCACAGCAAGGTTACTGGTTCCAGAAACACCACATCCTTGTCCGTACTTGGTTGCGCAATTAATAACTATTGAAATCAAGTAAGCCAATAGTGTGAATTACCAGTTTTGAGTATTATATTGAAACAATGACAACTGCACTAAGAGTTCTCCTAGCACATTTGCTGCATGAGATAACCAATCACATATCTCGTTGCCTCGAGGATTCTGTGCAAGCGCTTCTAGGAGAGGTATGGCATCTCCTGATAGTGTTTCTATATGAAACATAAGCTGAAGGGGATCAGTGTCTTCTTGATTCAGAATCCGGAAGGCATGCCAGTAGGTATCTGAGAGTATATCATGTGCAGTGAGAAAGTTTGCTGGCAATGGAGCCTGAGTCACTGCACGAGATGGAAATTGAGGAAAGGTCTGTGGTAGTATTACAGGCATGATAATCGAAAGACCTGGCTTCAGTGGTACCCAGAACCGTGATTGCAGCAAGCATGAGCGACCCAACACAACCAAACAGCAGATGCTGAGATTCGACAATATTCGGTTAACCTTCAAGCTCAATTGGGGCCATCTTGAACGTCCAACTTCTTACCAGCATTACTATGTCTGAAACTGATGTCCCAACTCAACACCCAATCTTTTATTTTCACGCTTCAAGTCATGTTTTTCAGGTGAGTTTTTTTTCATTATCGAATCATTCCTTGTTTGAAAGTTCTGCTGGAAGGTCGAGAATGTGCTGTACAAACTCTGCAAATCAATATTATCGACATATTCAAATGTTTTTCGCGATATGTTTGCTGCCACGCAGGATGGACAAATAGAACTGGATGGAATGAGTGATGATAGGCCCATCCACCTCAACGGACTGTCCCGGGACGCATTCAAATTGTTTCTTGAACATACTTTTGGAAGGTATGTCGATATGTTGTTTATGCTCCTCACTATTCAGCCATTGAACTGCCTGTAGAGTGCGCACCGGTCCTTATACCACTGATGAGCTCTCAAAATTCCTCCACTTCTGCGACATGCATCAATGCTGCCATACACGAGAATTTGTTGTGCACCACATATTTTCTGCACGTTTCCGCTTCCATCCAGCTCAGTTGATCAACCTGGCCATCAAATACCATGTCTGCTCCATCTTTCTGTTCGCTTTCCAGCTACTGGCAGAAAACACCCGTTACTGAAATCACACACACACACCGGGAGCTAATGGGACATGAGGTATTTTGAACATCGTTTACGTTCAAGCGGCACTCGATCATCATCATCGGATCGTAGCTGCGGAGGAGCTGAAAATATTGATGCACTCGAGTGACTGTCAAGACCCAATAGGTTGTAGTGAGGATTGGCATGCTATTTGGTGGAATGGAATGGCCCGGTTCCTTCTCGATGGCAGGAATCCACAACCATATAGTGATGCCGTCAAGCGCTTCAAGGAACTGATGTTCGGACAGGTTAGTGAGGGTTGCAAAGAACTAATGTTCAAGATCCTGGATCAAGGAACTGCGTTTCATCATGCAGAACATTTTGTTTCTGAAGCTTGTCACTTTCTAGTCGAAAAGTTAATTTTTGAGCCATAGTTTTACTCGTGTTTAGTACCGCTAGATTTTATCCATGATGCACTCATCATATTTGTGAAAAACGTGGCGTTGAGTCAGTGCCAGTGTCACTGCAGACGAAGCTCTTCATGGACACAGGCGGGAAGTCATAAATAAAATGCACAAGCTCATGAATACAACGCGCAAGCTCTGAATACAACGCGCAAGCTCATGAATACAACACGCTGTCCTGCATGACTTGGGAATCATGCATGGACATGACTACTAGGTATCCCCCTAAAAGACAAAGTCTGTTAGCTTAGTCCTCAGACTAGTCAACCCATACCTTGGTATCAAACCTTGGTCCAATAGTTTCAGTTTTCCCTCAGTGATTCATGAATCCACCATGTTTTGAAGAAAAGTCATATGTGAGATGGGAATCACATAATGACCTAGTTGATATGAGAAGCAAAATGAAGGTTAAGGTATTGCCTTTCCTTTGGCTTATTCACTTTGGCTAGAGAAACCCATAGAGAAAAGTTCAAAGCCTAACAAAAACCTATCTAAAAAGCCCGCGTATTGTGTACTATTATTTGTTCCATTATTTCTGAGTTGTTTTCTCTAGTGTTTCTTTACTTTACTTTTCTATTAGGATGCTCTGACTAATCAGATGCTTCATAAAATTGTACCTACAGGGTATGATGTCATAATGATGTCATAGGACTTCACCTACACTCCTGCAGGTATTTTGGTTGAAAGATATGATATCATAGTGATGTCATAATGATGTCATGTTCCATGGAATTTGCTAGAACATTCCAATGACTCATAATGACTCATAGTGACTCATAGTGACTCAGAATGATGTCATTATCCCACCATGAATATTCTGGAATGTTCTTTTGCACCTGCTAGAACATTCTGCTCCAGTTTTTGGAATATTCTTCTCACATTCTGAAGTCATTACATCACCTTTTTACTTACATAATATTCCCACACAAAATGTATATAAGGAGAGCCCATTCTCCCCCAAAAAATAGATCTCCCACTTGTTGCATTCAAGAACTCCCACTTGAGCAAATTGAACTCTCACCTAAGAAGCTTCAGTCTGAACAAATTGCTGCTTACAAAGCCCATTTCCTTTGTAAGAACTGTCCAGACAAGTGCAGGGAAAGTGTTTCCCTTGACATTACGTAAGTTTCTCGCAATAGAAACCCAGTTTTGTGAGACCAGTGTTCTCACCACGTAGTGTTTACTGACCAATACAAGCTTTGGTCAACGTTGTTATTTGTGAGACCAGCGTTCTCACCAGGTATTTGTATACTGACCAACACGAGCTTTGGTCATTGTTGTTATTTGTCATTGTTTTTTTTTATTTGTCATTGTTGTTATTTGTGAGACCAGCGTTCTCACCAGGTATTTGTATATTGACCAACACGAGCTTTGGTCCACGTAGTCACATTTGAGACCAGCTTCTCAACAGTTAACCGTATATTCAGGAAACCAGTTCAAGTGTCTAGACGGTATATCCTAGACAATCCCATAGTTTCAATCAGAGATAATAAAGCTCCGGCTAAGTTAATCTGACTGATTGGTTTAGCGAGCCTCCCAAGAACTCACACATTATCTACCACAAAAGAAGAAAAGTCGTAGACCGTGTTAATCGAGGACTGGCAATAAGTCTTATCCAGTGTAATTGTGGTGTCATTACATTCTTACACGTATTTATATAAGACCCTCGGTTATTAAGACAGCGCAAGCTCTGAATACAACACACAAGCTCTCTGATGACAAAACGCGCAGCGCGCAAGGTGCAGGAATGCGCAAATAATAAATGTGCAAATATAACGCCATAGAAATAGACAGTGCTCGAGTACACGAAACATATGGCATTCCGCAGATGGCCTAAAGTGACTTACCATGTTGTAAACTTGTTCCGACGTCGATATCGCCTATACTATTAGTTACCACTAGTTTGTGCATCCCCACATCTCGTGCATCGTTTAAAACAACGCTTTTCTACTACAAATATTCAAACTAATACATGCATATGCAATCATAAATCATAAAAACACCCTACAAGCTTTAACGGATGCGATCCAACAAGAAACAAAAGAGATAATTTTTTGGTGGTGACAACGGTTTGTGTCACTCTCAATGTCACCTGCCGGTACTGCCGCAGCAAAGTTTGGAACTCAGACACACTTGTGGCAACGCGTCGCAACACATCTGAACGCGTACATGGTGGGTAGTATGGCACGCACTCAAGTTGGTGGGATGCAGGAAGGTCCCAGAGATCCTACCAAAGAGGCTCGCATTCAAGCTGCCATCCACGATACCTTGACTGGTGTTTTATAGCAGTTTCTGAAGTGCTGCTATAGCTCACAAGGTAAGCACTCCCTCAGTAATTTGGATGCTAACTCCATTTTCCTTTAGGTGCCCCCACAGACTGTACGAGATCGTGCTTCAGGCAATCGTGGCACTCGGAAATCATTGCTCAATGAATCCCAAGAAAAGGTACTGGTGGACTGGTGCCACCATAACTCAGATTCAGCGACCCCTCTCCATCCCCGCAAACTCGGTGCTCAAATATTCGAGATGGTGAAAGCTTACCCAGGCAAGAATTGGGTCCGCCGCTTCCTTTCCCGTCACGCGGATATCCTTGTTTTGAAACCCCGAGGCCTGGATCCAAAACGCGCACAAAATTTCAACAAGGCAACAATCACGGAGTATTTCGATATGCGCAAGGCCTTGGACGATGAGTTGGAAGGAATTCCACCAGAACACAACTGGAATGTTGATGAGAAGGGGTGTCAGATGGGAGGTGGCCGAAAGGGAGACAATTCAAAATTTATCTTCTCGAAAAACAATTGAGAACGCTATCGTATTCACAGTGATAATTTAGAGCTGGTCACAATAATTGAATGTGTTTCAGCAGCTGGCGATTCCATTCCCCCATCATTTGTTTTGGCCGATGGCCCCATTAATACCGAATACTGATGTGCTGGATTTTCACCAACTGCTCCGAGTCCTGTTGCATCCACGTCATCACAACCATTAATATTGCCGTCTGGGCATCTTAATAATGATGACAGTCTATATTACTCTGGTAACCCGCAATACATATTTTAGATTACTACATAGCAGTACACTTCGTATATACAGTATATCTTCCTTAGTAATGTCTAGCGCTGAACGGACTTTGAAACTGGCCAGTGTGACAACCATGACTTTCCGTTACATTTGTGTGACTGCACGAGATGTGGTGTGCATGAACTGGTGGTAACTAATAGTATGGGACGAAATCTGACAGACTAACTGCCAATAATAAACATCAATAAACATCAATAAACCATGAGTCTCTTTGTTGTTGAACATCATCATCGTTGAAGCCTGCAGATATTAAACACGATCCTTGCTACTATGGTGAAGTGCAGCTCTGGAGGAGGTTTCAGTTACGCGCTGTGCAGATACTGTCAAGTTTATAACTCACCACTTACAAACAGATATAGTACAAGAAGAAGACATTGCCACTATGATCCTGGCAATGTTGACAATAACAGACGTCATGATGATATCTCGTACTTGCTGTGCAATGCACCAAATAGCACAGGGCGTTGTGCACCGACATTTCAGACGTATTATATCGCCATTCGCTTTCGACATGTTCAATTTTTTGGTATCAGCTCTTCGTCAGTCTCAAAGCCTAGTCACTGGTTCCGCAGCCCATGCAATGATGACCGGGGACATATCCCAAAATGTGCAGGATCTTAACATTTTAGTCCCACATCTCAATTTCAATGACCTCAATGACTTCTTAACGACGACTTTAGGCTACAGGCAAATCTCAGATCATTGCCACCCAGCTATAGCTCAAGTTATCGACCATTTTGGCAAATATGCACACAATTTCTGTGTCATCACACTTGCATGTCCCAAGCCCAATACGCATATTCTTCATCTCATTCTCAATGCGCCCTCAACTGCAGATATGGTACAGTGGCTCAAAAAACTGTCCGCATGTTTTGACATTTTTCACTATCTATGATATTGTGTGAGAATGAACAAATTCCTCAAGGACATACTTATACCACATTGTAGTATGGCTTCAGGGCTTTTATTTGAGCCCTACACCGTGGGAATCGGCGGAGATATGGTGGAGATATAAGGCTTATAAAATGATGACTCATGTGGACAGTTTTTTTGAGTGTATATTAAAACTATATAAATCATTATTTATGACACCATAAAAATCATGCCACTATTATATAAATTATAAAGTGGTGTCATTATGTTATTTTATGACTATATCTAACTATATAAACCAGAATATCTCATGTATCATAGTCATAATCACCATGAAAGCCATCTCCTCTGCTCAAAGAGATAATATCCTCTCTCTGTCTTATGCTGGCCTCTCTGCTCGCCAAATTTCCTCTAGAACTGGAATATGCAAGTCCACTGTGGCCAAGTTCATCAAAGAAAGCCACCCAGACAAGGAAAACTCTTGTGGAGGACGTCCATCCAAGCTTACCTCTACTGACAAAAGGGCTATTATCCAACATATCACTACAGGAAAGGCTGATAATGCTGTCCAAGCCACCCATTATATCAATTCCACCATCACTACCCCTGTCTCTTCACAAACTGTGAGGAATGTTCTCAAGGCAGCTCATCTCAAGGCAGTAACAAAGAAGAAAAAGCCTCTTCTCTCCATCAAACATAGGCAGAGAAGACTAGCCTTTGCCTTAGCTCATCAACACTGGACTGTAGAGGACTGGAAGCATGTTATATGGTCAGATGAGACCAAAATCAATAGGATTGGGTCAGATGGGAAGGTGTATGTATGGAAAAAGAAGGGAGATGGCCTAACAGACAGAGAGGTTAATGGGACTGTCAAGTTTGGAGGAGGTTCTTTAATGGTATGGGGCTGTATGGGATGGAATGGTGTGGGAATGCTTGCTGAGGTTGAGGGGAAGATGAATGTTGAGCAGTATGTGGACATTTTAAATGACCACTTGCTGCCTAGCTTGGCAGAATCAGGGATTGATGAAGAAGATATCATTTTCCAACAGGATAATGATCCCAAGCACACATCCAGAAGAGCTAGGGAATGGTTTGAAGAACATAACATCAATGTTCTTGACTGGCCAGCACAGTCTCCTGATGTCAATGTCATTGAACATCTCTGGGGAACACTCAAGAAAAAGCTTCAAGCCTATGAAAACCCCCCTAAAGGAGTATGGGAGCTTTGGGAGAGAGTAGCAGTGGAATGGGGGAAGATCACAGCTGAGGATTGCCAGAAATTAATTGAGAGTATGCCTAGAAGGATAGAGGCAGTAATTAAAGCCAAGGGAGGTCATACAAAATACTAGAATACCTGGTTATTACTGTAAAATACTTGAGTCAAAAAACTGTCCGCATGAGTCACCATTTTGTGAGCCTTGTATCTCCACCATATCTCCACCGATTCCCACGGTGTAGGGCTCAAATGAAAGCCCTGAAGCCATACTACAATGTGGTATAAGCATGTTTTTGAGGCATTTGTTTGTTCTCACACAATATTATAGATAGTGAAAAATGCCCAAAACATATGGACGGTTTTTTTGAGCCACTGTATACATGACAACTGGAGGCATCGCGTACTTTTATCCGCAATGGATGCACCAAAGCATTTCAATACTTAGCCATACTGGCAACCTCATACCATGGCATAACAAGTTGGGCTGCGTGGGAGAATTTCATGATGAGCTGAGAGTCGAAAAAGATACTGATTTTATTCAGAGCGCTTGCGGTAAACCGATGTCCTACTATCTGGCATCATATAAGCGACAAATGTCTTCGTCACTCAGTTGATTGGGACATCACTGACTCAGTGACTCGCACTTTCCACAACATCGACATTGAATGGTGTTTTAAACATGTTTTGTGCTAACAATGCATGTCGTTCCAATTTCGAGATCATGGCAAGTAACTTGAACGGCGAAGGAGCGGTCAATTGTATGTATCATAACCATATCATTTAAAACACGCTAAAATGTCTATGTGGCGCATTTTCAGGAACAGATGTAAAGTATATACCAAAAGAAATTTGATGTCGCAAGCCAGTAAGCGCAGAACCGACATTTACATATTCAGAATCTAACGGTATAGCATAGAAATTCACTGTCCTTGTCCAGGCAGCATTTTACGGTGCTGGCTGCTACAGACCTTTTTTGGTACCTGTTCCTGTTAATGATGGAGTGAAGAAGAAACCGATGCTGGATGACTTATATGTCAACTACTGGGTCCAACAACGAGACACAAATGCGCAGACCTGCACAAGGCGATATATGCGCTGTACCTTTGCAAATATACCTAACTACAAGATGGCGATCGATGGGCTGTACACAGTATTTTTTCGACAATCCACAGAATCATACTGTGACCAATCAGCTATTGGAACATATGGCTCGTATGTCAGGAGCGTCAACATCTATCAAAGGAAGTGTATTAGTGGTGAAACAGAGTTTATTAGCAAACAAGCCGATCGTGGACATGAACAAAGATGATATGTAATTGTCAATATGATTATCAGCAGGTGAGTGATTAAGAGTGGCATCGGCTTTGATAGACTTAATCGTTGACTAGTGCACTGCACCACGGAATCCTTTAAAGTTTGTACAGCATCCGTTTATAGATGTATCGTACATAAACATCAATAAACAATGAGCGCTCAGCATTGGTATTGTACTTGTACATTGCGACGCTATCAATAAACATGTCTCAGCAACTCAATGCCTCACTAAAAACATTAACAATGCCAGAGATTATCGACGCAGTAGGTGCTGAGAATCTGAATCGTGCTGAAAAGCAAAAAACACAGTGACTTAGAGGTTTCTGTGCAAAACTCTACAGATACTCATTCTTGCATCATATCTGCGGCGCAAGACAAAGCTGCGCATATCAAAAATCTTTGCCTTGCATCGCCTACATCACTTGAAATTGCACTCAAGCAGCTCACTGTCAAGGAAATACTTACCACTCTTCATGAATTCAAACTCCCCATAGCTGACAAATGTAATTGAAATAGTTTGTTAGCGTCTGTGCAACATTCTGCAGTCTTTCAAAATGCAGTGCTGTTAGCGGCAGACACAAAAGCCGCTCGACTACGAGATGATGAAGAAAGACAGTTGAAGAAAGTTTGTTTGCAACAGGCCCGAGACATCTCTGTTAAAACATCATTCCTGGAGGAGGTGGGAGACTCAGTGCAAAACAGGTGCTTAACCAATTTCATCGATTGTACTGGAAATGCTGCTTGTTGTGCTACCATATGCGTTGTCTGTGCAGGTGAATTTCTAGCATGCGAGACGACAGAACTCATCTTGCTCTCTATCCCGCACAAAGACGTCCTAAAACCGCATCTGCATCATCACAGTCAACAACTCGTACAAGGGATGTTACTGTATAATCCAGCTATTACGACTAAAGATGATGAACAACTTGGTTTTTTCTGCGAGAAGTGCTTCGACGATATCAAATCAAACAAAACTCCTGCCTTATCACTTGCTAATAATCTTTGGGTCGGCGAAATTCCGGACGAACTCACAATGCTTACTCTTCCCGAACGTATCTTGGTGGCATTATCATATCCAGCTGCATATATTGTCAAATTATTCCCAAAAAAACGCGGCGGCTGTTCACTGGGATGCCGCTGGTTTAAACAGTGGTTTACGTGGTAATGTATCAACCTATCAACTTAACACATCTGCTATTTCAACTATGGTGGAAGGCAATTTACTTCCTCCTAAACTGTCCATTCTAGCAACCACTATTGGTGTTTCTATTGTGGGGCCTAATAACTTTCCCGAACGTTGCTTACCAGCTTTTTCTTGCTATGAGCCGGCGTCATTTGCACAATGCACTGCTCTTTCTAAAACGTGAAAATCTGTTGTACAACGATATTATGATATCAGAAGATAACATTGCGCTGTTCCCAGAAAATGGTATTCCGGACGTCATTACAGCTTCTGTTCAACATCTCGAAGATATTATGGTTGTAGATAGCGAGCGGGAAGACTATGTACCAGAAGACGATTCTCAAGACTATTCTGTGGTATGTATTTAGTCAAAATACATCTTTATTTGATTAACAACGATGTTCAGAACAGAATAAAGCTTTTCTGACAGGTAAAGACACTGTAGAAGACAGCATTGTTAACGACACAGGTAAGCTATCAGTTGCTAAGCGAAATACTGATTAATACAGTGATGTCCGATGTTTTTCCCAGTTCAATCTCATGTGTTACTTGATAGTAATGTATCGGATGTGGACGACGAGCAGCTGTTAGCACACACATTGTGCAATATTTCTGAGCAGTATCGCATACAGCGCGGCTCCACCTTTGTCAATGAATATCCTCACCGAAACGCTGATCAGACACTGAGTATCGGTGATTCCGCCAATCCAAATCACTTACTTGGAGCCTTTCCATGCTTATTTCCTTACGCTGCGGGAGGCTTTGAAATTCAACGACCACGTCCAGTAACATATGAAGCTCACGCTCAATGGGCAATGTGCTATGCAGATCGTCGCTATCGCAAAGACTTGCATTTCATGTTCCAAGTCTTCAGTGTCATACAGAAACGCCAAGTTTGTAGACAAGCTGTACTACAGGTAGCCATCTTTTTCAATTGAGTCGTTCACCTTTACTTAAACCGGATCTTACAAGGTTAAAAAAAGACGACTTTCATAAAAACAAACATCTGTCTCGTTCTCTTACTGTTGCGGATCTACAAAACAGCCAGCGAAGAAGAACGACAACAACAACTATGTTCAAATACTACTATATGAAGTCTGAAAAAGCATCTAACTGCTGTACGATCCAAAGTCATGGGTACAGATAAATCGCGGACCAAAATACGCTCGTTGATCTGGGGAATGTCTGTAATGAAGAATCCACCTTCGCTATGGATTACTATTAACCCAACCGATACGCATGACCCAATAGCTCAAGTTTTTACCAGAGCAGAAATCGATCTCGACCATTTCCAGCGCCTTGCAGGTCCTGATTCACACACACGATCTATCAGAATTGGCAGATGATCCTTATGCTGCTGCCAAAATTTTTTTGCTTCATTATAACAGCAATCTTAGAAGAGCTGTTCGGTATACGAGTGAGTCATAACAAAACTGGAATTATTCAACAACCTGGCATCTTCGGTACTGTTGAAAGCTACATAGGGACCATTGAGGTTCAAGGACGCGGTACTCTGCACTTACACGTTGTCCTCTGGATATCGCATGCGCCCACAGCTACTGAAATGAAGAAACTACTCCAAACAGAAGTGTTTTGGTCCAGAATCGCTTCATTTGTTGCTCATAATATTTGCGGTTATCATGAAGATGTCACAGCAGATACAATGAAAACCCTTCCACACAAAACATTGGTTTCTTATTCCCACCCTCCAGATCCTAGGTCACCTACTTTCACAATGGACAAACATCAAGCTGTTCGAAGTTTAGTTTGCACAGTGCAAATTCATACCTGCTCCTCTAGCTGTCTCAAGTTGTTCGGGGCCGTGTGATTTGCAAACGACGTGCACCTTTGCAATTGCAAGATACTGCGTGGATAGACTCCAAAGGCAGATGGGGTCCAAAAAGGACATTCACGATGATGAACAACTGGAATCCTACTATTTTACTTGCCACTCGAGCGAATCACGACATCAGGTTGATCACAAATGGCGAGGAAACCAAGATATCGGATTCTACATTTCAATGTACACTGCAAAGAACCAGCAACACTCATCTAATGCATCTGCATTGCTTGCAAAGTCTTTTGCATTTCAACAAGCTCGGGATAGATGCCATTCAGATGTTCAAGAACTAAACAAACACTTGATCCAGCGCTGTGCTAATTTGCTCAGTCGAGAGCAGGAATTTAGCGCGCCAGAAGTTGTCACTTATCTCATGAAATGGGAAGATCAGTATATCTTACATCACTTCGAAACCATTTACTTCTCCTCCGTCATTAATCTGCTCAAAAAAACATGGCCACAGCTCGTCTCTCAAAGGTATGGAATTGATATGGTTTTGAAATCGATTATGATACTGAATCAGTTACAGTCATGTAGCCAAACTGTCCAGCACAGGAGAGTTGCATGATTGGCCTGACTCCGCACAAGCTTTTGATGTATGTTAATTTTCTCCGTATGGTTTAAGCGCTATCTGATTTAAGTCTCTAGGCAGAATACGCTGTACTGCATTTTGAGGAAGAAACACAGTCATTACAACTCTGTGATCAAATCCATGAATATATTGAATGAGGTGACACTCTTGAACATTTCAGTTACCTCAACTTCTTCCTTAATACATATGATGCTCCTGTGACCAATAATGACCCAAACAGTTTCTCTTTGTTGGAAAGCTCATATTCGTATCCTGTACAGAACATCGTCGGCACGAAACCAATATTGTCGAGTGTTGCGCAATGGAAAACATGAGACAATGCCTTACTTTCCCGGACCTTGGCTTCCTCGCAGGAATGATAGTCAAATCTATCCCTTGTATTGCACAGCTATGCTAGCGTTATTGCAACCATGGAGATCATTACCAGATCTCAAACCAGCTCACCTCACATTCGAAGACGCGTTCAATGTGTTTACCAGAGCAGCGTCTGTAGATGTACTGAACATAATCGAAAACGTTCAGTACTTTTATGAGTGCTCTGACCAGGTGCGGGAGAGACAAGTCAATCGGGCATTTGATTCTGCATGGGGAATAGCTGCTGCTGAAACTACTCAGACTGATGAAGATGATGCCGAAGAAGGGATTGATGATGCGCTAGGAGAAGAAGATTCAGATGACAAAAGCTCAGCCAGAATCATCACTGAATCTGATATCGAAAACGCACTGCAAGATTGTCACTCTACTCGAGAAATGTTATATGCCGACGTTGCAGTCAATATTGCGGAGGATTTCGCAATTTTTGGTGATGATGCTGTCCAAATTGTGTCATGTCCACCAAGGCGCATTGTCACTGCAAAAGAAATGGAGATGTGCATGCAATGGCAGGAGATAATAAAGCATGGTCACGGAGCTAATTTGAAACCGGTCGAAGAAGACAAGCACAACGTTGGCGCCGTTACAACTACTTTGCTGCCTTTATCTTCTAACAACAACCGTCCCAGAACTGTGGAGCTTGAAGTCGACACTACTCTTTCAAATGCTATAGCAAACTGCGCAACATAACGCTTCAAGTCTAAATCGTGAACAACTCATCGCCTATACTATCATGCGCAATGCTCTACACGCATATCTCGCAGGACAACACCACGAACAATTACTCATGTTAATTACCGGCAAAGGAGGAACAGGCAAAACTATGTTGCTGGATACTATCATGCAGTTATTCACTGCTCATGGCTGTGAATCAAAACTGGCACTCACTGCGATGTCTGGAGTAGCAGCGTGCATTGTAAAGGCTCGACTCTGCATTCCTGGGCTGGTCTTCCGCCACGACAGATGCCTCATACCGATAAATGGGTCACTCATCCTCGACCTGACATGGCGCTGAGACGGCACCATAATATGGACCATAAGTTTCTGCTCGCCATCGATGAAGGAAGCATGTTAACTACCAAACAACTCACATTGTTATCTCAGGTAAGCCATGTCTTTAAGCTATAGTTTATTAAACATTTCACAATCTTACACTGCAGGTCCTTGGCATTGTGAGATCAAGGGATGACATTGACCCGGCAATTCCCTTCGGAAATCTTAATATCATCATCTTCGCAGACTTTCATCAGTTTGCACCAATTGGGAACATCAAAAAGGCACTGTTTGCAAGCCATCCTCCCAATCAGAAATGCGAGCTGGGACACCACTTATTTGAGCAATTTCAAACCGTAATTAAGCTTCGACAACAAGTCTGCATCACAGATCAGGAATGGAGCCATATACTGCTCCGAGTGCGTGAAGGAGAATGTACTGCACAGGACTTGCAAGACATACGCAGTCTCGTCATTACCGATAAAACTTGCAAAGTTCTAGACTTTAACTTGCCACCATGGAACAACACAGTATTGATCATGCCTCGAAACAGTGTTCGAACCCGATGGAATACGCTTTCTGTCGTCAAGCATTGCAAGTACAGCAGAAATTTACTATACATCACTCCTGCAGAAGATTCCGCAAAGGACATGCCACTTTCTATGAAACAGCGACTTGCGACTACTAAATTGTCGCTCAACCAGACCCAACACTTGCCAGTAGAAGTCCAACTCTGCATAGGAATGAAGGTAATGATAACAGAAAACGTAGCGCCACAGTCCAACATTGCCAATGGGACTCGAGGGACTGTAGTCAACATTCTACTGGACCCTCGAGAACAGCTTACAAATCACGCTGTGACAAGCGGCAAAGTGTATTTACAGTATCTGCCCTCCATCGTAATTATTCGTCTCAATTTCGCTGCAATGCTACATCTTCCTGGACTTCAAGAACATGAAATTCCCCTCGAACCTTCTGTACATCAGTTTTCAATCAACTCAGCTAAACCACGATATACAGTAACACACCGGCAACTACCACTTACCCCTGGCTACACATTTATGGACATCAAATCACAAGGTCAAACTATTGACTACGTGATTGTTGATACTGGCAAAACAACGTCTTTTGCGCTGAGTCCTACTAACGTGTATGTCGCATTATCTCGGAGCAAAGGAAAACATTCCATACATTTGCTACATGACTTTGAAAACAGTCTCTTCACGCGCCATCCGTCGCAAGAATTAAGAGTGGAAAATGAGAGGCTCAATGACTTAGCCAAACAGACTGAAGAACAATACTTGAAAGGAAAATATGGTAGCGTCGAACTGGGCTAGTCAACTCTTTATGAGAAGGGATTGTTGGCAGTGGGGGCATCGCCGATGAGGAGGAGTGAATTGATTGCGAAGGTGAAGCAGGAATGGAGGACAGCATGTACAAAGCAGTATAGCAGTGTCAGACTTTGTATGAATTGCACTGAAAAATACAATAACAGTATCAGAATTTAATAACCCGAGCAACGACCTCCACTATCAACACCTAAAATGTCGCAAACAACAACATCATCCTGAACATACATCAGCTCGATCCCGAACCAATCAGCTAAAAATCCCACAAGCACTGTCACCATTTATAAATAATAAACCACAACTGAACAAATATTTGACACACCTCTGAGATCAATATGACCACAAAACTGTTTGATGACATGAGAGATATCAATGGCATAAGCCATTAGTGACGTCATGCAAGTACAGTTATGCGAAGCATGGATATGGAGTGATCCACGCCCTTGAAACATTACTGTGAAATATCAACATGCTACATAAACCAATAATATAAAGTAATTACCTGCCAAGAAAGTACCTGGCAATCACTCACAAGTTGAACAACTCATAGCCTAACAAAATATATAAGACGCTAGCAGATTTGAGCGACGATAAGTGGAAGGTACCTCACCAGAATAACGCAATGCCATATATGATAGAACTATGATGCTGTTAAGACCGTACTCAAGTAGTATCGGATCCGAAGGGCTTCGGCCTCAGCTCGTGCGCTGTGCCCCTTTCCCGAGTCTTGCCCCTTATTTCAGAGAGCTAAGGTATTGCGTGTATAGAGTAACGGCCAATCCGGATCGGATCCGGATTAGAAACTAACGGGTGAGGACTGTCCGAAGACAGAGGCGGATATGTAGACTATAGGAATCTATCCTAAGTCTCGGAGTTGACAAGAGTAGCGTACTCAAGTCCGGATGGATAATGGAGGGACTCAGAGTCCAGACGGAATGAGCGCAATCTAAGATGATATTCGAACTGATCTACTACAGCGCATATACAAAGGTTTATATACTACGGATAGCTAACGGAATGATCAATAAGCAAAGGTGCGGGGCTATGTACGAAAGTATAAGCAAAGTCTAAGTGGAGCGTATTGGTAAGTTGGATGGATCACGAATCATGAACTGGGAATGAAGTACAAGTAAAAGCGGATTCGTAAGTGTAGCGGATCAGTAAGCATAGCGGAAGTAAAGGATAACCGGTATACCGGTGTACAGGAATACCGAAAGGAGATGAACGATAGTTAGAGTTATATGAACAGGAAATGAAATAAGAATCAAAGCGGATCTGTGGACCGGACGACGGATATGTTCATCGGATCTGGATCGGATCTGAGATCCAGATCATCGGATCTGTAACCGGATATATGGTATATGACAGTATCCCCCCCTTAGGGCCGATCCCTAGAGGCACAAGAATCAGCGATCCGGAACGGATGGTATGAGTGCGAGACAATGGAGAAGCTGATGGGAGAAGTTGCTGAGTTCGGATTCTGACAGATATACGGATGCCAAAGCGTCGCAGGGTGTTCCTTCCTTTCCCTACTTTTTCACTACCACTAGCTTATCTCAACCATGACTGATAACGGATCCGGCTCTAAGAAGACCGCTAAGCAGACTCTGGCGGATATCCAGGCCGCGCTGGCTGCTGCTGAGGCCGAGGTTCAGAAGGAGGAAGAGGCTGAAAAGCTGAAGCAACAAGCGGAAGAGGCGGAACGGAAGCGCTTGGCAGGGATTAAGAAGATTGAACGGGCTGAGGCCCGAAGGGAAGCGGAGGAGGCTAGGCACAGGGCTATAGTAGCGGAAATGGTGAGTTATGACTTGTTCTATCGGATCCGTCCCTTATCGGATCCGTAGTCTCGCGCCATCTCAGCGGATAAGGATGGGGCTTGTACCCGCTGCGCTAAGAAGGGTCGGGCCTGTCTGTGGTCCGATGCGGATAGCAATTCCTTGGTAAGTCATCCTTGAATCTTCGGATCCGTGACTCTTAACATTCGGATAGATCAAGGCTTGTAACGCGTGCCGGAAGGACAAGGCTCCTTGTCCCGGACGACCTGGAACCGTTATGGATTCCAAGTCTAAGAAGAGGCAGCGCGCTGCTGAGAACCCATCTCCGAGAGGCAAGGGTAAGAAGCGCCAGCAGAGTCCGACTCCGGATCCGGATATGAAGACGGTAGTAGCGGATGAGGTGGAAGTGGAGTATGATGATCAGGCCTGGGTCGCGGCCGCTAATAGCATTGTAGCGGAACTGGCTCGGACCAACGGATTGCTCCAGCAGAGCATCGGAGCGGCGGAAGGGAGTAGGACTGCTATAGAGCGGATGAATACTAACTTGGAGGCGTTTTTGGAGCAGCAGAGGGAGTTCCAGACCATCCTTCTTGAGGGGATCCGGAATGGAATCCGGATTACAGAGGCGGCTCGTTCTGAGGCCACTGACAAGGACGTTGAAGAATCCGGATCCGGATCCGGATCGGGTGGGGACATGGAGATGGATGGCTGAGGATTTTCGGATCTGCCTTCTCTGCTACTAATGTACTTGTATATCCGCTTTGTATATTCATTGTATAGCAATAGGACCGGGTTTGTCTGGATATGCAGTGTGGAAATCCGAGACTAGATCGGACGCGTTTCCGAGTTCCGTGGCTAGTAGCCATGAAGTCTCTTCGTCTGTTCCTTCGTATCCGGACCATCGGACGAGGTATAAGAGTTGGCATTGTCTTCTACGACGGTCCAGCTTAGAGTCTAAGATTTCGGATATCTCATATTCTGGTTCTCCGTCGACTTCGACCGGAGGTGGAGGAGGCTGGATCCGATTGGGAATTGTGTTCGGAACGGATGGTTCTAGCTGCGAGACATGGAAGACGGGGTGGACGGATTTCATGGATTCGGGAAGTCGGATGGTAAAGGAATGGGTACCCGGACGGGATATGACTTCAAACGGACCTAGATTCTTTTCCGAGAGTTTCTTAGACGGACGAGTGGACCGGAAGTACTTAGCCTTGACAAAGACTTGGTCTCCGATATTGATATCCGGAGCAGGTTTCCGTTTAGCGTCCGCGGGTCCTTGATATCTTTCTTGGGCGTGAGCCATTTCTTCTCTAAGGAATTGGTGAAGGTCGTCGAGGTCTATAGCATAGTCGCGAGCGCGGATGGAGGATAGATCGCGTTCCGGATGGACGGATATGTTCGGATGATAACCCTTATTAGCAAAGAAAGGCGATACTCCGGTAGTAGCACTTGGAGCGTTATTGTAGGCAAATTCTGCTAAGGGAAGTAGTTCCGACCAGTTGTCCTGTTGATAATTGCAATATATCCGAAGGTATTGTTCCAGGGTTTGGTTGGCACGCTCGGTTTGTCCATC